GGTGTCTGGGTTGAGCCTGAGGTGGCGATGGGACGGGGCGGGCTGTTTGGGTGGCACGGTGGCGGTGGGTGGGGAGTTGCGCGCCGGAGCGCGTCGCGGGTGTAGGCGGCGGCCTGCTCGAGCGGCGGGTACGGTTCGCGTCGTCCTAGACACGCGTGGCGGGATGCAGGTTGCGGCGTCTGTGCACGCCCGCGGACGGGCTCGGGCGGGGCTGTTGGAGGGCGTGAGGGCTGTGGCCGGGGGGTGGGTGTACGGTCAGCACGGCGGCCGGACGGATGAGACGCGGACGCCCCTCTCCGCCGCGGCAGGGCCGCATTGCGCACTCCCAGACCAGGGTCAAGGGTCGCTGGGGCCGTGCGCGGTGTGGGCGTCGAGTTGGGTCGGTTGTGGGTACTGGGCGGACGGTGCACATGTACGACAACGCGGTCGTCTGATTACGTGGCGCCTAGCCTCCCCCGCGGCTCCTGTGCGGGGCCAGGCGCGCACGGCGAGTGGTTTGGTGCGAACGCCTCTCGCGCGGCCGACGGGGCGCGTTCGGGGGTGTTGGGGCGGCGTGTGGGGCGCACACATACAGAAGACCGCGGTGCGGGCGGCGCCCGGGCCAGTGGGGGTCGTTCCTTCCCCGGTGGTGGCGGAGGGTCGCATCAGCACGGGGCAGGTGTGGCGCACGGTGAGCGGGCGGGCGGGCGGGGGGGGGCGCGACGGCGGGGCTGAGCGGCAGGAGCGCAGCGACGCGGAGCTGCGCGCGGAGCCGCGGGAGGACCGCCCAGCGCATGGGCAGCGTGTCATGGGGAGGGTTGCGGGGGGTGTCACCATGGGTGGGCGGGGCGGCGGGCGAGGGGCGAATCAGGAGCGCGAGGATGGACAGGCGCTGTGTCAGCAGCCGCGGGACCGACACGGGAGTGAGGACGGGCTGCGGGAGGCCAAGCGCATCACCAGTGTCATTACGATCGCTGCGGGGCAGGGGACAAGTGCGGAGGCGGTGAGGGGCCTGTTGGAGGTGTACCGGCGGGACGGGGCGCGCTTCAACGCCATCCACATAGCGGCGTGGGTGCACAGGATGGCGAAGACGCTGTCGAAGGGGAGTTGGAGAGGGTTGAGGACGACAGAGGTGAAGGAGGCGGTGGGGGTGGCCGGGGAGCTGGCGCGCGAGCTGGACAAGCGCGCTGCGGAGGCGAAGCCGCAATCGCTGGCGAACACGGTATGGGGCGTGGCGAAGCTCGCCGAGGCTGGGGCGACGGAGGCGCTGTGTGGGGAGGCGGTGGGGGGCTGGCGGGGGCGCTGGTCTAGCGGGCCGGGGAGGCGAAGCCGCAGGAGCTGGCGAACACGGTGTGGGGCGTGGCGAAGCTCGCCGACACTCACGACAACGCGGCGGAGGCGCTGTGTGGGGCAGGGGGTGCGGTGGAGGCGGTGGGGGCGCTGGCGGCGGCGCTGGGCGAGCGGGCCGGCGAGGCCGACACGCAGGCGCTGGCGAACACGGTGTGGGGCGTGGCGAAGCTTGCCGACCAGAACCAGAGGGCGGCAGAGGTGCTGTGTGGGGAGGCGGGTGTGGTGGAGGCGGTGGGGGCGGTGGCGGCAGCGCTGGGCGCGCGGGCCGGCGAGGCGACGCCGCAGGCGCTAGCGATGACGGTGTGGGGCGTGGCGAAGCTCGCCGAGGCTGGGGCGGGGCAGGCGCTGTGTGGGGAGGCGGGTGTGGCGGAGGCGGTGGGGGCGCTGGCGGCGGCGCTGGGCGCGCGGGCCGGCGAGGCGACGCCGCAGCATCTGGCGAACACGGTATGGGGCATCGCGAAGCTCGCCGACGCTGACCGCAGGGCGGTGAAGGTGCTGTGTGGGGAGGCGGGTGCGGTGGAGGCGGTGGGGGCGCTGGCGGCGGCGCTGGGCGCGCGGGCCGGCGAGGCCGACACGCAGGCGCTGGCGAACACGGTATGGGGCGTGGCGAAGCTCGCCGACACCCACGACAGGGCGGCGGAGGCGCTGTGTGGGGGCAGGGGGTGCGGTGAGGCGGTGGGGGCGCTGGCGGTGGCGCTGGGCGAGCGGGCGGGCGGGAGGCCGACACGCAGGCGCTGGCGACGACGGTATGGGGCGTGGCGAAGCCGCCGACACCTACGACAGGGCGGGCAGGCGCTGTGTGGGGCGGGTGTGGTGGAGGCGGTGGGGGAAGTTGGCGGCGGCGCTGGGCGCGCGGGCGGGCGAGGCCACGACGCAGCACCCGGCGAACACGGTGTGGGGCGTGGCGAAGCTCGCCGACAAGAGCACGAGGGCGGCGGAGGTGCTACGTGGGGCCGGTGCGGTGGAGGCGGTGGGGGCGCTGGCGGCGGCGCTGGGCGAGCGGGCGGGCGAGGCCGACACGCAGGCGCTGGCGACGACGGTGGGGGGCGTGGCGAAGCTCGCCGACAAGAGCACAAGGGTGGCGGAGGAGCTGTGTGGGGAGGCGGGCGTAATGGACGCGGTGGGGGCGCTGGCGGCGGCGCTGGGCGAGCGGGCGGGCGAGGCCGACACGCAGCATCTGGCGAACACGGTATGGGGCGTGGCGAAGCTCGCCGACACCCACGACAGGGCGGGCGGAGGCGCTGTGTGGGGCAGGGGGTGCGGTGGAGGCGGTGGGGGCGCTGGCGGCGGCGCTGGGCGCGCGGGCGGGCGAAGCGAAGACGCAGGATGTGGCGAACACGGTATGGGGCGTGGCGAAGCTCGCCGACGCCGACGACAGGGCGGCGGAGGTGCTGTGTGGGGCGGGAGGCGTAGTGGAGGCGGTGGGGGCGCTGGCGGCGGCGCTGGGCGAGCGGGCGGGCGAGGCGGATACGCAGCATCTGGCGAACACGGTATGGGGCGTGGCGAAGCTCGCCGACACCCACGACAGGGCAGCGGAGGCGCTGTGTGGGGCAGGAGGCGTGGCGGAGGCGGTGGGGGCGCTGGCGGCGGCGCTGGGCGAGCGGGCGGGCGAGGCGACACGCAGCGCTGGCGACGACGGTGTGGGGCGTGGCGAAGCTCGCCGACAAGAGCACAAGGGCGGCTGAGGTGCTACGTGGGGCGGGTGCGGTGGAGGCGGTGGGGGCGCTGGTGGCGGCGCTGAGCGCGCGGGCGGGCGCGGCTGACACGCAGGCGCTGGCAAACACGGTGTGGGGCGTGGCGAAGCTTGCCGACAAGAATCAGAGGGCTGCGGAGGCGCTGTGTGGGGAGGCGGGCGTAATGGACGCGGTGGGGGCGCTGGCGGCGGCGCTGGGCGAGCGGGCGGGCGAGGCCGACACGCAGCATCTGGCGAACACGGTATGGGGCGTGGCGAAGCTCGCCGACACCCACGACAGGGCGGCGGAGGCGCTGTGTGGGGAGGCGGGTGTGGTGGAGGCGGTGGGGGCGCTGGCGGCGGCGCTGGGCGAGCGGGCCGGCGAGGCGAGCCGCAGGCGCTGGCGAACACGGTGTGGGGCGTGGCGAAGCTCGCCGACAAGAGCACGAGGGCGGCGGAGGTGCTACGTGGGGCCGGTGCGGTGGAGGCGGTGGGGGCGCTGGCGGCGGCGCTGTGCGAGCGGGCGGGCGAGGCCGACACGCAGCATCTGGCGAACACGGTGTGGGGCGTGGCGAAGCTCGCCGAGGCTGGGGCGGGGCAGGCGCTGTGTGCGGGGAGGCGCGCGTGGTGGAGGCGGTGAGCGCCCTGGCTGTCTTACTGGGCGTACGTGCCCGCAAGGCTGACACACAGGCGCTAGCGACGACGGTGTGCCGCGTGGCGAAGCTTGCCGAGGCTGGGGCGGCGCAGGCGCTGTGTGGAAAGGCGGGTGTGGTGGGGGGGGCGGTGGGGGCGCTGACGGCGGCGCTGAGCGCGCGGGCGGGCGAGGCGACGCCGCAGGAGCTGGCGAACACGGTATGGGGCGTGTCGAGGCTGGCGGCACTGCGACCTGCCGGTCGCGTCCGGCATGTTGACGACGCAGTGGAGCAGGCAGTGGGTGACATGATGCGCGACCTGTACGCGCGCGGCGCCAAGAACGACCTGCGCGTAGCATACGTCGCCGTGCGCGAGGTCCCGGAGCTGCGGCACCTGGCGGCGGAGTACGACGTTGATGATTGAATCGCAGACCGCTCGTGTGCGGCACCCACGGCAGAAACGTCGAGCGCGCCAGAACGCGGTGTAGGACTGCTCCGTCGACGCTACGGAGCTGACAGAAAGAGTTTCAAGCAGTGGGGGTGACGACCAAACTGGCAGGCAGGCAACAAGTGGCGCGGAGATGCACGGGCTGTGATACGCCGCTTCGTGGTGCCCAGGCGTGCAGTCCTGCTCCGCTGGCAGGTGCATCCTGCCGAGACGACGCTGTAAGCTTTAGCGTCATCCGCAGTCGCCAAGTCCCGCGTGTGTACGACATGCATGACTGCTCACATTGTCTACCCTGTCTGCTGTGTGAGTCTCGCCTGCCGTACCATTTCGGTCGCTCCGGCATCCTCGCGGTGAGGGTGCTCGTAGGTCAGCAAAGTACTATCCCGCACAACACTGTGTTTTATATCACCAGGACATGTGGTCCTGGTCCGCGATTGAGTCGCGCCGACGCGCCCGCACGCACGGGCCGCGCGAGCCGCGCAGGCTGGTGGGAGAAGGCGATGCGCGGCCGCGCGACCGTGCCGCCTTCCGGGCTGGGGGAGTGTGCTCCTGCCAGCGCTCTCATACCAGCGCCTCTCCACGACGTCCGCGGGCGCCCCGGGGTGGTGCGCGATCCCAGGCGCGCGGATCAGTCGAGCCGCCTGCTGCGGCTGTCGCGCGCGTGCCGGTCCGACGACCGGTGTTGTGTTATTTTATACCCCCCTTGCCTGTGTCGGGAAGGGCGGGCCCACACGTCGCGTTGTGGGGCCGCCCGGGGCCGTGGGGCGCGCAGAAGCAGGCGCGGAGCGCTCGATGAGCACGTCGCGGTAGTGGATCGCGCGGGCAGGGACGGAACGCCTCGGGAGCGCGTCGAATGCGGGCGGAGTAGCAGGGAGCAAGGCGCAGGCTGCGTGTGCGCGGCTGCGGGGGGCTGGGCGCGATGTGCAATCACCTGGACGACGGCAGCCGTCGGCGCGTGGTGCTGGCGCTGCAGGCGGTGCTGTCGCGGCTGCAGCGGCTCGCGGCGACGGAGGGCAGTGCCGCGCGGCACGTCTTCGTGTGCCCGGAGTGCGGGCAGGTGGTCCGGACGCGGACGCACCGGTGCGACCAGGAGCACGCGTTCGTACTGGACACGCGGCACAAGCTGCTGTATTGCTTCGAGTGCAGGTGAGCGCGTCGCACCGCAGCGTGGAGCTGTGCTCGCGAGCGCAGCCTTCGGGGCCGCGTTGTCGCCGCGCGGGCCGGGGAGCCCGCGCGGCCGACGGGCCGGACGCTCAGGCGAATATCGAGCTTGGCTGCGGCGCGAGGCATTGCGTGATTCGCGGCGTGTGCGGCCCGCGGCGCGACGTTTTCCTCGAGTCGGTGCCTTTTTGCCGTGGCCCGGGACCAGGCGCGGACGCCGCTCGCCCCTGCGGCGCACCGCGATCCCCCTGCGCCCGCACGGCGCTCCACACCACACGCTCCGCGAATCTGGGCACGCGCTCGACGATGCGGCCTCGCACGCCCCACAGTTGCGGGAGCGAAGTGCAGAGCCTGAGCCCACTGTCGCAGCACCGCACGCGCGCCCCCGCCATTGATATGCCGTCGCCGAGGCGCTCCCGCTGCTCAACTACACCGGACCGTCGCTCCCATCGCTTTTTCGCGGCGCTCGGCGGCTCGGCCGCGTCGTCCGCGCCCGCAGTGGCCCTGCCCACCACCAGGCCCGGAGCCTCGTCCGCGAGCCCCCGCTCCGCCGCTCGATCCCCGGCCTCGACGCACACCTCGCGCCGACCACGCAAGTCGCGGCGCTTGCGCCGCAACACCCCCCTCTTCGCGCGTCCTTTGCCCCTATGCGAGACCAGGGTCTTCCTGCCCCGATATCGTCCGCTCTCACGACCGTCCGCGACGTCGTTCCGGGGCCGCAGCACCGCTACGCTCCTCCTGCGGCCGCGACGGCCCCAATGCGATATCGGTCGCTGCCGTTTGGCGGCCCCGCTGCTCGCACGGCGCGGCCGAGCTGGCGCCGGGCACCTCGCTGGCGTGCGTCGCGTTTCCGCGCTGTGGCGGCTATCTCACGGCGCCGCCGCCCCCGGACGCGCGTGGTGCGAGTGCAGGGACATCGTGTACGACCGTGAGCTCGACAGGTACGTCCAGGGCGTGATGTACTTGGCGTCGGGCCGCACGCTGCCAGCGCTCATGCTGGGCGCGGGCAGGGAGGCCTCGCCGCATCGCAAGCGGCGGAGGCTCGACGACGCCGACAAGTTCGCGGACAAGGCCGCCGCGTTTCCGGCAGACAGCACCGGCAAGGCGGCCCCAGGCGACGGTGTGTTCCCTCTCCCTTCATTGCCGCCTCCCGCGCGCGCCACCGCCTCAAATCCAATCCAACACTCCCCCGCCCTTCAATCGCCCCCGTCTCCCACACCTCCGCGCCCGTACACGTCCACACATCCCCCGACGACCCCCCCCCGCGCCCCTTGCAGCCCCCAAGACACCGGACCCCGCGCAGCCCGCCGACGCCCGGCGCGCCGCCGCAGCGGACGCCGTCTCGCTCGGCGCCGTCCGCCGCCCGCACCGCCCGCCCGCGGGCGTCCGCGGCCTCGTCAACCTCGGCAACACGTGCTTCATCGCCAGCGTGTTGCAGGCGCTGCTGCACGCGCCGACGGTGCGCTCGTTCTTCCTCGGGGGCGCGCACCCGCGCACGACGTGCGCGCGCCTCCGCCTGCGCCGCGCCGTGGACCTCGGGGGCGGCGTGCCGCCGTGCATGGCCTGCGAGGTGGAGGCGCTCTTCAGCCAGATGCTCTCGCCCGACGGACACGAGCCGGTCGCCCCGGCGGCGCTCGTGACCGCGTGGTCCAAGGTCTGGCCCCGCGTGAGCGCCAACGACCAGCAGGACGCGCACGAGTTCTTCCTCGCGCTCATCAGGTAAGGAAAACTTCCCCCTCTCGCTTGCGGAGGCGAGCAGGCGCGCCCCTGGGTCAGGCGCCGTCCGGCGTCGACGCGGCGGAGCGCGCTCCCTCACGATGCATGCGTCTCCTGATCCTTAATTCATCAATCTGAATCAATGATTGATGATGCACTCTCTTGCATTAATTGACTCCTGGAACTCACCCCGTCCGCAGCGAAATGGTCGAGGCCGACACCGACGCCCTCAAGGTGTCCGCCCGGATCGACAAGGGCCTCGAACCCGACCTCCCGCAGCTCCCAGCCCCCGGAGACCCCGCACCCCCGGCCCCCGCCCCCGCACCACCGCACCGCCCGGCGCCGGCCGCGCCCCGCAGCCGCCCCCCGGCCGCGCGGCGGCAGCCGCGGCGGCAAAGGCGGCGCGGGGCGGCGCGTGGCGCGCGGCGGCCGGGCTGAGCGGTGCGGCGCCGCAGGGGGGCGTCCCGGTGAGTGCGGGCCTTAGTCAGGCGCAGGCGCAGGCGCAGGCGCAGGCGCAGCAGATGATGGTCGCGCAGTCGGCGCGCACGGAGGGCTCCGGCAGCGCGCCGACGCCCGCGCAGCAGCAGGAGATGGTACAGCTACTGCAGATGGCGCTGCAGCGGGCGGCGGACGCGGAGCTGGACCCGCAGATGGTGGCGCGGATCCAGGCGGAGTTCTCGGAGATCAGCGTGGAGCACCTGCGCACGCCGCTGCCGCCGGTGCTGGTGCTGCAGCTGCTCAAGGGCGACATTCGGCACGCGCTGCGCATGGCGCAGAACCCGTACAACATGATGCGGCTCAAGGGGATGATCATGCGGAAGCGGCGGAAGGAGGCGGCGAGGAAGGAGGCGGCGCTGCTGGCGGAGGCGGAGGCGCGCGGGCAGCGGCCGGTGCCCGGCGCGGGGATGCACCCGGGGGTGTCGGGGGCGCCACGTCAGCAGATGGGCCAGGCGGGCATGGTGCCGCAGCAGGCGTACGGGACGAGCCAGCAGGGGATGTGGCAGCAGCAGGGGATGGGGTACGGGCAGGGCGGGCCGATGATGATGCAGGGCTGGCAGCAGCAACAGCAGCAGCAGGCAATGCAGCTGCAGCAAGCGGGGCGGGCGCAGCAGACGCCGGGGCAGGTCGGGCAGGTGCAGGGGATGCCGCATCACGTGCAGGCGCAGGGGAATGCGTTTATGGGACGGCCGCAGCAGGGCATTGTGCGCGGGGCAGGTGCCGGGAACCCGCAGGGGGGTTACGGCGCTGTGCCTTCGCAGCAGGGCAACGGGAGCTTCCTGCCCGGGATGCCGGCGTACATGCACGGGATGGCGCAGGGGGCGCAGAACCAGGGCTACGCGGCCGCGCGGACGGACGGCCAGAGGGTGGCGGGGGTGTCGATGCCCATGAGTCAGGCCATGATGACGCACGGGCAGGGCGGCATGTACGGGATGCAGCACGGCATGGGCCAGTTCGCCATGGGGCACGTGGCGCCCCAGGCAATGGCTTTCCAGGCCTCTGCGCCGCTGCAGATGCAACAGCAACAACAACAGCATGTGCAGCCGCAGCACATGCAGCCACAGCAGCGCGACGCGTGGCAGTACAGCGTCCCGCCGCCATCCCTCGGCGCCGACGACAACGCCGCGACGAACTACCAATCCTGGATCCCCGCGCAACCCCAGGGCCAGGACGTTCAGCAGCAGCCACAAGGAGATCAGCAGGGCGGCAACGACGCGCTGCGGTTACGTGGCGGCGGGTCCGGCGGGAGCCCCGTGCTGCAGCCGGTGTGCGACGACGAGGTCGAGATCGTGCGCGTCCGGCCGATCGTGATCGACGGCAGCGGGGACGCCGCGCAAGCGGACACGCCGCGCGTGAAGCGAGAGGACGGGGCCGCGGCGCCGTCGACGCCGCCCGCGGCCGCGAAGTCCGCGCTCAACACGCTGTTCACGGGGCAGCTGCTGTCCTCGGTCGAGTGCTGCTGCTGCGGCTACACGTCGACGTTGACCGACGTGTTCAACAACCTGACGCTGGACATCGAACCCCTGATCCGGTCGCGGGTCTGCGAGGCGGACGATGTGGCGGCGGAGGTGCAGGGCGGCGGGGCGCCCGCGGCGGCCCCCACGGCGCCGCCGTCAGTGGACGGCGACGGCGTGACGCCGGTGCCGACGGCGCCCGTGTCCGCCGCCGGCACGCCGCGTGCGGACGCGTCGAAGGAGCAGTCGCTCGACCAGGGCGACGCGTCAGCTCCGCCGGCGCCGAGCGGCGCGTCGGGCCCCCCGGACACCCCCGGGGGGGGTCCAGGCATGGGCGCGGATGCGCTGGGCATGGTCGCGCCCCCGACGGCCCCGGGAGCCTTGGGGGCCGAGGAGGCGAAGCGCGGGAAGAAGAAGGGCGGGAAGGGCGCGGACGGCGCGGGGTTCAAGCAGGCCACGATGAAGCGCTGCGGGCAGTGTCAGACCTGCCTCAACCGACATCTTAAGAAGGGTTGCTTGATGAACAAGGCGGTGCGGGAGCAGATGGGGCCCGGAACGTACGCGGGGTCCGCGCGCGCCACGCCGGCGCCGTCGCGGGGCGCGTCCGCGCCGGTGTCGCCGCGGGGGGGGGGGTTGATTGCCGCCGCCGCGTGGCACGCCGACAGCTGCGCAGTCGGGCGGCGTGCCCGTGGCGCGCGGCCGCGGGTCGCGCCTGCGCCCGCGGGCCTCGACGCGCTCGGGCTCCACAACGGCGGGGCGGTGTGCGCGGGCGCGCCGCCGGCGGGCAAGTCTGGTAAGCCACGCAGCGCGACGGCGGTGGCGCAGCAGGCGCTGCCCGGGTTCGCGCAGGCGAGCTCCGTGGGCCTCCGCGCGTGCCTCGAGCACCTCACGCGGCCGGAGCTCATGTCGGACAAGAAGAACGTGTGGACGTGTCCGCGCTGCGAGCGTCCGCGGCCCGCCGTGAAGCAGGTCACGATCCGCGCGCTGCCGCCGGTGCTGGTGCTGCACGTGAAGCGGTTCCAGCACTCGTGGGGCTCGGCGCGCGGCGGGCGCGCGTGGAAGCTGGACACGCACGTGTCGTTCCCGGAGCGCGGCTTGGACGTGGCGCCGTACTTGTCGTGCGCGCTGCCTGGGGCGGGGATGGCCCCGGAGGAGGTGCGGGCGGTGCTGGGGACGTCCACGCCGCAGGTGTCGCAGGGCGTGGGCGCGCACAGTCCCGGGGGGTCGGGGTCGTGCAGCGTCAGCGCCGCAGTGGGCAGCGACGGCGTCATGCACCCGCCGGGACTGGGGGCGACGTACGACCTGGGGGCCGTGGTGTGCCACTCCGGGACGATGGAGGGCGGGCACTACGTGTGCTACGTCAACGTGAGTGGCCGCCTGTTCGTCCGTGCGTCGACCGACGCTGCTCGTTGTGCGAAGTGCGGTGCCGTAGAAATGGGGAGGAAACATCGCTGCTTGTGGTCGCTCGTGCGTGCAGGAGGGTGGACGGTGGTTCCGCTGCGACGACGCGTGGATCGCGGAGGTGTCGTTCGAGGTGGTCCGGGCCAGCCAGGCCTACCTGTTGTTCTATCATCGCAGGTACATTTGAGATACAACGATACTACCATGCTACGCCTGCGCAGCAGACGGCCGTGCTGCTGGACCGCGCCTCGCCCGTCCGTCTGCGATCGAGCGTGGCGTGTCCTGCCAGCGCCATCTGTCTTCGGCGGCAGCATCGAGGGCTCGAGCGCGCTGCCTGACGCGGGCAAGCTGACCCACGCGAGGCAGGGAAGGCACGAGCCACGTGTGCCGCGGCCCTGCGTCGCATCAAGCCATGCACCAGCTGCTGACATTCAGCGCGTTCCGAGCTGTCACGAACAGCCGGCCCAGCGACCACGGTGACCTCCTGTGACTCACTGATGCGACGCAACGATCACGTGCTGCCAGCACAGCGTATCGTCCATGACGTCGTTACAGTCACCACGTCAGTATCATCCATAAGTGGACAACCTTTACGAAAACACACATCGCCAGATGCTGACGAACTCCGTCGTTGATTGCGCGCTACCTCGGCGACGCAGGCCTCCCCCAGCCCCCCGTCCCGCGCCCGCGCCGCTGCAGCACCCTCCCGCCGCCGCGGCCCCGTGCTCCGCGCCCCGCGATCCCCCCTCTGACATCACCCCCCGCCACCTCCCCCCCGCTCTCATTCGATTCCGTCGGCGCGTCCGACCGCGCGTCGTCCTCCTCTCCATTGTACTCGTCCTCCTCCGCAAACATCGCCGCCACCGTCTGCGCCACCGGCCCCACCAGCGGCGCCGAGCACAGCGCACTCGCCAGCGGCCCCTGCAGCGCAGCCCTCACCTGCCCCGCCCCGAGCCCGAGCGCGACCGCCACGCACGCGATCGTCCCCGTCATCGCCGTCGCCGCGAGCACGCTGCACACCACCGACATCCCCGCCAGCAGCACCCCCGCGATCAGCCACTGCAGCGACGCGTGCAGGCGCGTGCGCCGCTGCTCGGGCGTGCCCTCGCCCGCACCGGCGCCGAGCGTCACCGCGGCGGTGGCCGCGAGGTGCAGCGGCCCTGTCGCGCCGCCCTCGGCCTCCCGCGCCGGGCCCGGGGCCAGCAGCGTTGCCGAGAGACCTTCAGCGATGGTCGCCGTCGTCTTCAGGACGAGGGCCGCGATCTCGACGGCCGCGGCGGCGTGGCACGAGGGCGCGGCGCGCGCGGACGCCCGGACCGCGTGCGCGCGCACCGCCCCGACGCGCGTGTCGGGCTCCGCGCCTGACTCAGGCGCGGCTGTGTGTCTGACGAGGTCGCGCAGCGCGAATGTGCTCGTCGGGAGGCCCTCGTGGCGCGCGGTGGGCTGGGCTTGCGGAGCGTCGCGGCGGGGCTCGGCCAGCGGGTGCGACGCGAGCTCCGAGGGTGTCTCCGGGGGCGTTGCGTACACGCGGCCGGAACCCCCCCCGCGTCGCAACGGGGGGCCTTCGGTGGCCGCCGGCGCGGCGGCGCGCGCCCTGGCCTGCTGCAGGCGGTCCTGCAGGTCGCGGAGCGACGTGCGGCCCGATGGGACGGTCTCGTACGTGCCTGGGGCGGCGGCGGTGTCCCCGGAGGCGGAAAGCGGCACACCCCCGCCCGGCTGGGGGAGTGGGGAGCCCGCGAGGCGCGCCGCGGCGACGCGTGCGGCGTGCGCGCGCTCAAGATTCGCCATGGTGCGCTCCTCGCTGGATGCGCGCCGTGAGCCCCGCCCTGCGAGTGCGAGCGAGAGACACACATGATGTGACGTGGCACTGCGCCGCGCGGGGGGCGTGCCACGCCGTGAAACAGCGCCCGTGTCACGGCGAACAACTGTTTTGTATCGTTCCAGACGGGGCTCACCGCCAGACTCCCGCGGTGCGGCTGCAGGAGCTACGTCCTTGGATGCGCTGGCGCGTTTGTCGTCAGCCGGTGCCCGCAGAGGCGCCGCCGCGCCGTATATGCCGGCCGACGCGGTACTGAAGGCGCCGAGGCGCCCGATGCTCGCTCTCGGCAGCGTGCTGCCCAGCACGATGCGGTGGAGGACCTCCCTGTCCTGGACCGACCGCGCATCCCTACTTGCCATCTCCGCGCGCTCGAGGCTAGCAGGAAGGCGTCTTTCTCGTGTGAAACGCCGGCCTGGATGGCCCGCGGGCCGCAGGAAGGCGCAGGAGCGGCGCACGTGCGCTGCACAGAGCGCCAGCGGGCAGGGCACGGAGCGTCTGGACCGCTCGCACAGCCCCGCTCGAGCCCGGGACGCGTGTTTTCTGGACCGCCCCTCCAATGAAGTACCACTTGGCGCGGTCTCGGGGCTGGAGGGCGGGGAGTCCGGGCGAACTCGGGCAGGTGGCTCTGTTCGATTTGCTGTGTCTGTCAGTGCGGCGGAGTGCGGGTTCCCACACCCAACGCCACTGTGACCGTTACGCTCTCGGCCAACTGGCGGCACAGCGCGCCGCGCCGCGCTCACCTGCCGTCCGACCGCGCGTTGACACCTCGTGTCTGACCGAGGCTGACTCATGCCGCATGATGCGCGACCGAGGCACGGCCTCCGGCGACCCGGCTCGCAGGCCACCTCCTCGTGCACAGTGGAGAAGCGCGCGGTGACGACGTGGCGCATCGGCCCCTGCCAACCGCCCTGATGTGTGTATTATTCAGCGGGCCGAGAGATGCAGTCGGTCCGGGAACGGGGTCGCTCGAAGCGCGACAAAAGCGCCCGACGGCGACCGCGAGGCCAGCGCACGACCGCAGCCAGCGGGGCAATCACAAGCTAGCCTTCGTCGCCGTCAGATAGGAACTCCCTTCTGTTCTTCCCCGCACACATTACGCCTCGGCCTTCGGCGCCGACTTCTCCTTCTTCGCCGCAGCCGCCTCCACCTTCGGCGCGGCCGCCTCCTTCTTCGGCGCGGGCGCCTCCGCCTTGGGCGCGGGCTTCGCCTCTGCCTTGGGGGCGGGCTTCGCCTCTGCCTTGGGCGCGGGCTTCGCCTCCGCCTTGGGGGCGGGCTTCGCCTCTGCCTTGGGGGCGGGGGGTGCCTCCGCCTTGGGGGCGGGGGGCGCCTCTGCCTTGGGCGCGGGCTTCGGGGCCTCCGCGGTGGCGCCCCCGGACCCGCGCAAGCTCAGGACGTAGCCGACGACGGCGTACCAGCACGCGACGGTCAGCACGCGCGGCATGAAGAAGGTCAGGACGGGGGCGTGCGCGGCGGCCTCGAGGATGAAGACGCCCACGCCGATGACGATTGCGACGCTGTTGATGGGCACCTTCGGGAGGCCCTCGGACGGGTCCCAGCCCTTGCCGGAGCTGCCCTCGTTCTCCCAGTCAATGATCTGCGCGCCGCGAGAGACACGACATCCCAATCACCAAACCACACATCATCATATCGTCGGTGCTTCGAGGCGGTCTCTCGGGGCGGCTTTCGCGCACCGCAGCACCGCGCAAGCCGTGGCAATGCCATGCCGACGCGTCAGCGTCCCCGGCCACCGCGGCTGCCTCGTCAGCGACGTGCCACGCAGTGCGTCAGGGGGGGGGGACTCACCGACAGCGCAGTGGGGACGACGTCCCTGAACGGCACGCGCACCGCCGCGCTGTTGTCCTTGGCCGTCTCCACGTTCGCCAGCGTGCCCTTCGGCGCCAGCGTGGCCGAGTCGATCGCCTGGGCGCTGCACACACACAAACACACACACACGCCGCGTCACGATGGTGACTCATGCATCGGTGTGCCCCCGGGTGGCGCGCTCTGCGCGGACGCGGGCGTACCTGAGCAGGATGCTCATCATGTAGGCCACGCCGGCCGCGGCGCCGACGGGCTCGCTAGCCAGCGCCAGGAGCGGGTGCAAGCCAGGGATGGTGTGGGCGATGCCGTCGGCGAGGACGGCCGCACCGAGCGGCAGCGCGCCCGGGACGGTCTGGATGGCCTCGATCTCGCCGTCGCGGTCGGGCGCCGTGAAGATCGTCACCCCGCCGACGACGCTCGCAGCTGCCGCGCTGGCCAGCACCTCCAGCACGAGGTTCGGGTCCCCCCCCGCCCGCGCGACGACCGGGCGCGCGCCGGCCCTGCGGTGGCGGACAGAGGAGTGGTATTCGCGTGGAGTTCCGGGACGGGACGGTCGGGGCGCGCCGGAGCTAGGCGGGATCTGTAGGCGGTTGACGTGGAGCCGGCGCTGCCCGGTCGGGGGACGAGGAGGCGCGGGCGAGGCGCGACGCGGATGCGCATGCACGGCTGGGGGGCGCGCGCGCCTGTAACGGCGCGAGTGCGCTGCGCGGGGGCGGTTCGCGGGCGCGTTCGCAGAGCTGGGATAACAGGTGGCGCGTTGCGGGTTCGACGGTGCGCGAGGGCTGCTGGCGCGGGGCGCATCGCGTGAATCCGAAAGTCTTCTGTCGTGGTTGGTGATTGGGACGCATGAGCAGGCGAGGTGACGTGGCGTGCGGCACCTGGCGTCGCCATGAGACGCAATGGCGCCGGGGCGGGCAGGGAGCGGACTGGCAGGCGGGGGCCGGGCATACCTGTGCAGCGGACGAGCCCTCGCACCCAGCGCACGTGGCGCCACGGCGGCGGACCTTGTCACCGCGACGGACTGCATGTTTCGTTGCTCCTGCTGCCAACGAGGATTCTGGCCTGTTCCGGGGTCCAAGCGATACCAAGGCAACCAAAGCTGGTAGGTCCGAACAGCACAGTGCCGCAACACGGCCCGGATCTCCCGCATTGGCGCTCCTGAGGGCGCGGGCGCGCACAACGTTAGCACCCCCTGACAGCAACGTCCAGCGGAAAACGCCCTCTACAGCGGGACTGGTGCAAAATTTTGCAGCGCGAATGGATGAACACGTCAATGCAGGTCTTCATAGATGCAATTCATGTGCATGCGTTGAGCCTGCGGTGCGTCGCCAGCTCTCTCGTTGGCTGCCTGGTCTCCCGCCGATATTGCACTCGGGCGGCATGTGAACGATCTAGTTCCGCAAAACCACGGTCCTGGCCTCGTGTGCGAACACATGAATCACGATATCTTACGCGATTCCCGCGGTATCCGTGCACATTCTGCCACGTCAGGGCCGGAGTGCGTCCTCCCCGCGCGACGGCGCGCGCGTCCACGACGGGCCGCCCTCAAGTGCTCTCCAGACGACCGCGATCGACAGTGTCCGCGGCAACAAGCACGTCCCGTCGCAGAGCGTCCACTTCCGACTTTTCCATCCCCGCAGCGCATCCTAGCCATCCTCCGCAATGCTCCGCACCGCGACCGCCGGCCCCCGGGCGACCGCGGGCTTCGCCCGTAGCAACCAGCGCCTCGCTCCGTCCAGCGCCGGAGCTGCGGCCGCGCCTGCTCGCAGGTAAGGACACATTCCCGGCCCACGCATGACCAGGTCGGCCAACGTGGATGTTCCGGGGCGCGACAGGAACGATGGCGAGACAGAGGCCATCATATGGCTTCGTAGAGTCCGCGCCGAACGTTGATCGGCCGCGGAGTTGCCGTGGGGCGCCAGAATCCGAGACTTAGGTTGCCCAGCTCCCCCCCCCGTCCCGACGTGCACAAGGCTTGATCACGACTTCCGCGGTCGAATGCATGTCTTGACTGGTGGTTTGCCGAGAACTGGATGATGCGGCCTGATGCGTCGCTTGGTACACCCGGTTGGGCTGCACTTGTCCTCCCTCAATGACGAGGACAGCGTGCGCGGCGTGCTGGCGGCGCGGCGCGGCTCAGCGGAGCAGCCATACCGACGCAGCCCTGACGCGCCCGCCGCGCCCGCCGGCGCCACCCGACCCCGCGCACACATGGACGCACGCAACATCGCAGCCCCGCGGCGTCGCAACGAGCCCGCAACGCGCGGACAGCCCCGACCGCGCGCCCGTTCCTACGTTCTCCTCCTCGCAGGGCCGTGGTAGCGGCCGCGACGCTCACCGTCGACGACATCAAGGTCGAGACGCCCAGCGACGCGCAGTCGAGCGCGTGCGCGGCGTGGCCGATCTGGACGTGCGAGCCGAGCGAGTTCCCCTGGTACGCAGCGCGCGGATCGACGGGGCCCTGCGGGGCGCGCAGGCGCGTCGCTTGCCACCGGGTCGTCGCTGGTGCGCGGGCCCTGACCGCGGGCGACCGGTTTCCGTGCGCGGCGTGCAGGTACTACGACCAGAACGAGCAGTGCTTGATCCTCGAGGGCGAGGCCATCGTGACGCCGGACGGGGGCAGCGAGTCGGTCACGATCGGCGTGGGCAACTTGGTGACGTTCCCGCAGGGCATGGGCTGCACGTGGAAGGTCACGAAGGCCATCAAGAAGCACTACAACTTCTACTGAGCGCCGAGCGCGAGGCCCCGGAGCCCGCCAACGCGGCCGTGTGATGTACATTCCAAAACATGACTGATTTCAATTTCAATGACTGACTGTGACATGATTGATTCAACACAAGGCGGCCAAACGCTGCCAGCCACGCACCGCAAGCCGCGACGGGGCGTCGCTGGGAGAAGGGGAGGGCTCGTGACGGTGTCGCGCTGCCTGTCCGGCGGTGTGGCCTGCAACCAACGGCACCTTTGACTTTGCAAACCTGATTTCCCTTCTTCCGCCGCGGGGCACGACGTCTGGCGCCCGGGCGCCGAAACACGCGCCGCCTGCCAGACCACGCCGTGGGCGACACGCGGCCTGGTTCGGCTGCGCGAGGCGGAGGGCGGGTGTCTCGCACTCTCGATGCAGTGTCCGCTCGACTGCCCGGCTGGTCCTACCGCTCCGTCAAGGAACCGACCGCTCTTGCCGTCCCCCAGGACGTCATCCATGCCGAACACATGCGTGAGGTGCTGGTTTGAGCCCCCCGTGCTGCCCCGTGGGCCGGTTCTGGACGCGTGGGGTCATTGTGGAGGTAGGACGCGCGCCCGTCTGACTCGCCCAGCGCCGCGCGGCGGCCGACAGCGGCGCGCAGCGTCGCGTGCGGTCAAGACAATCCCCGGACGCCAGCGTCCGGCACTGCAGACCCGCGGGGCACGCGGTCGCTCGGTGCAGGGGCTCGCTGCCCACACTCCGGCGTCCTGGTGGCTCTGGACGTGAAGTAGCACTTGCTTGGACCGGGCTGGAGAGCGAGGAGCGTCAGGATGTCGAGCGTCGCGTGAGTGCCCCGCACGAGCCGGCGCCGCTGCGGCCACGGCACCGCCCGGCACCACTCTTGACATCGCGTTTCGCGGCCGCTGCTGGCGTGCGAGAGCGTCCATCTGGAGCATCGCTGCTCGCGCTCGCGTGAGAAATACCTCAGCCATCTGCTGAGTCCACCGCGTAACGCGCTGAGAGCTCGAGCGAGCCGTGCGGGGACCGGGCTCCACAGCTGTCGCAGCCAACGTATTCGAGCTCCGGGAGCCGGAGCCCGCACACGCGCCCTCGACCTCCTCCATTTCCGACTACTCCGAGATCGTGCTACCCGAAACAGTGCCGCGATGCTGACGAAACCCAAGCGCTGAGGAGATACGCGGGCTTTCCCTCCGCAGTGCATCTCCTCGACGTCCCGCCATCGCAGCCGGCGCTCGCTCTACGATCGCTCCTCTGCGGCTGCCTGCAGGGACTCTGAGCGCGACTCGCGGTCCCGGGAGGCCCTGGACCGCGCGAAGGCGAAGGTCGTGGCCAGGTTGGGTGGGGGCCGTGTGGCGCGCGAGGCGGCCCTGCGCGCCGCCCGCGCCCGCGCCACCGGCGCCGACAGCGTCGACACCATGTTCGAGTACCGCCCGGAGAATCCGTTCAAGCCCAGCTGGGAGGCAAGCCCCACGTCACGCCCACCCGTCCACCCCTCCGCATCCCCCGTCCCTCACAGCCGCGCACCGCCCCCTGCGCCGCGAAACGACCTCCCGCGCCCGCCCACCTCCATCTGCGCAGGCTGAAGCCCCGAAATCCCCCACTGCGCCCGGGGCGAGGCCGCTGGGCGAGCACAACGGTCCGAAGCATGGCGACGACGGGAGCGAGGTGCCGCCCCCGCAGCCAGCGCTGATGCAGACGCAGCAGCTGCCGCGCCAGCAGCCGCCCCCGAAGCCGTACCGCAGCACGGAGGGCCGCGGGGGCCTGACGCTGTCCATGCCCGACTGGAAGCGCGCCCAGCCGGGTGCCGCGCATGCCGCCCCGGTCAAGGACGCCGCGTTCGAGGCGCTGGCGCCACGCTCAGGTGCGGACGGAGGGTCGCCTGCGCTGGCGGCGGGCGGTCGTGCGCGGGCGCGGCTCGCCCGCTTCCTCGGCTCCTTGTTTGCAAAGACAACTTGCAAGTCGCGATTCCTCGACTCGCGCCCAGCGGCGGCGCGGCGGCTCCCTGCCCCCCTCGCGGCCCTGACGCGCGTCCGTCTGTGCGCCCGCAGTGTCGTTCGACTGCCTGCACCCCGCGCTGGCGGACGAGCACTTCCTGCGGACCGACGACCACGAGGAGGCGCTCGCGGCGGACAAGACGCGCCGCGGGTTCGCGGTCGAGGCCGAGAGGAAGCACATCCAGCGCATGCGGGACCGCGAGTGCGCACCCTCGCCCCCAGCCCGGCCGCGACGTGCGACGTGCGAGGTGTCGTGGACCACGCGCGCTCTCACGGACGCGTGCGCGCTCGTCCTCCCGCCGCGCTGCGCCGCGTGTTTCCGGCGTTGCCTTCGCGCTCGAGAAAGCCCGACTGGTTCTGAGCGCCATGGCATGTCTGCGTGGCACGTTGCAGGTTTGCACGCAAGGTGTACCACGAGGCGCCGCGCGGCGGGCAGCGCGAGGGCACGCCGACGGACAAGAAGCTCCGCCAGCTGCAGCGCGAGGGGCAGCGGTGGCGCCGCGAGGCCGCCGCGGCACGGCAGCGCGCGGGGGACGCCATCGAGGCCTCGCAGCGGGCGACGCGCCGGGCGTCGCGCGAGGGCCTGGCCGCGGACAAGGCGCCCGGCGCGCCGCGCAGCCCCGCCGCGGGCCTCGAGAGCGGGTTCTCCGCCCGCATCGGCGACATCAAGCGCAGGTGCGGGTCTGTGCAGCCATGGCATGCATGCGTGCATCAATTTGTCCGTGAGGGCGACAAACCCCCGCGACCCTCTATCTTTCGCTCTTGTTCTCGGCACTGCAAGGCTGCTGTGTGTCTGGTGCGCTCGTTGTCGGACCGGAGCGCGTGTTGCCGTCGCGTCGTGTGCAGGATCCAGCTCCACGCCGCAGAGGGCGGCGTGAGCAGCAGCCGGGCCGGGTCGTCCCGGCACAGCCCGTCGCGGTCCCGGCGGCGCACGCGCGTCATTCCGATGCCCGAGAGCGACGACCCGCGCACCCTCGCGGACTTCCTCGCGGACCAGGCGCGCAAGGCGGGCGACAAGGAGCTGGCGGACATCCTGGCGAAGATCGTCGCGCTGTCGCGGCAGGGCGAGCAGTTGGCGCAGGGGGACATCGACGAGGACGAGACGGTCACGGCGGAGGCGAAGTACGTCGAGGAGCGCGCGCGGGAGTACTTGGCGGAGCTGGACGAGGCGATGCGGCGGCGGAGGGCCAAGGCGCTGGCGTCGGGGGACCCGGAGCACGCGTACAACAGCGACGAGGAGCGGGAGAAGGACGCGGAGGAGCGCGAGCGGCTCGAGCAGGAGCTCGCGAAGCCGGCGGAGCAGCGGGTGAGTGCACGGCCGCGGCATGTGGACGTGGGGGGCTCGGCGCGGGCGGAGGCGGCTCGTCGTGCGTCAACTGAGGTGTTCGCTCGTCCGCCGCGGGCCGCCGGTTGATTCGCGCGTGGAAGTGGTGTGCTGTGGTTGGTTATGCGCAGGACGCCGAGCGCATCGAACGGCTGATTCGCGAGGAGGAGGAGGCGCTCGCGAAGCTCGAGAACGCGTGGGAGAAGCAGGACGCGTGGATGGACGCGTACCGCAACCAACCCAAGGTCCAAGGTGCGCCGCGCAGACCCTCTTCGCCCTCTCACTTCCCCTCCCAAACGCTCCAACTGAGCCACGACGTCACCCACCGCCCCGGCACCTCCCTGCGCCCCGCAGTCCAACGCCGGAGCACCATCATGGGCCGCCTTTCGTTCATGGGCGGCGGCAGCAGCCACGGCGCGTCACCGCAGCGGCAGGCACGCCCCTCGGAGGCGTGGGCCTTGCAGTCACCGAGGCCGACGGGCGCTGGCGCCGCGACTCTCCGCGAAGTCGCCGAGTCATGGGAGCCCGGGTCGCCAGCGAGGGACCAGGGGGGTCCCAGCAAGCCGGCATACATCAAGAACCCCAACACGGTAAAACACCCCCCTCTTCAATCAGACACACCTCGTCGGCTCGCTCCGTCAGCCCTTCCAGCGCATCCACGCACCCTGCCAACGCACCATCGACGTCGGCAGCACGTCAGAGAGTCCCCCCGCACCGCTGTCAGGCGTCCTCCCGCGCCCACCCGCGTCCCCGGCCCGCGCCCCCGCAGACGGACCTCGACGAGGAGCTGCGGCCGTTCGTGCCGCAGTACGCCAGGGCCACGTACGAGCACGGCGTCGTCCGCCCCGGCGAGCACACCACGGGCCTGGACATCGTGCAGGCCTTCAAGGAGGTCGAGAAGCCCCCGCCGACCGTCCCGAAGCCGTTCTCCTTCGAGCTCCGCGAGAAGAAGAAGTCCATCATGCAGGCGCGCCTCGAGCAGGACCTCGAGGTCCGGCGGCAGGAGGAGCTCCGGGCGTCGCAGCGCACCTTCCGCGCCAACGACCTCCCGGCGTCGACGACGGAGCCGCGGTTCGAGGCGATCATGGTCGAGCAGGAGGTGAAGCGCGCGACGCAGCACCAGCGGTCGCTCGCGAAGGCGTGCGGCATCGCGAAGCCGTTCGCGTTCGAGGAGCGCGAGCGCGAGCGCGAGGCGGCGCGCGCCGCGGCGATCGCGGCCGCGCGCGACCCGAACCGCTTCCAGCGCCGCTTCAAGGCCAACCCGATCCCCGCGAGCATCCGCGAGGAGCGCTACGGCGCGATGGTCGCCGGCCTCGAGGAGCGCAAGCAAGCACTGCGGCAGCGCGCCGAGGCCAAGCTGGCGGCGAGCCGCATGCCGCCGCGGCTCGAGCAGTACGCGCAGCAGGAAGCCGCGGAGCGCGCGGAGGCGGCCGCGGACGCGGCCGCGGCGCAGCGGGCCCGGCGGGTGTCTGCGGGCGGCGGCGCGGACCCCAAGCTGTGGAAGAAGAAACACATGACGCGGAAGATGGGGTCGGTGCCGGACTTCCAGCGGCTGCAGGCGGAGTTCGCGGCGCAGCTGGCGCACGCGAAGGCGCGGAACGCGGCCCGGCAGACGGTGCCGCGGGACTTTGCGCTGACGGGGGCGACGGCGGAGGAGCGGGAGGCGGCGCGGGCGGCGGACGCGGAGCGGCGGCGGCGGCGGCACGCGCACGACGACAAGCTGCGGGAGCTGCGGTGGCCGTACGCGTCGACGCGCGAGAAGGTCCGGCCGACGCCCCCCCCTGCGGAGTACGGCCCGACGCCGTTCCGCGTGTCGGACACGCGCGCGAACGTGCTGCGCCGCGAGCGCGTCAAGGACGACGCCGAGCGCGGGCGCTACATGGAGGCCGAGGAGCGCCTCGCCGCGGACCGCGCGCGCTACGAGCGCGAGATGGAGGCGCGCCGTCGGGCGTACCTGCGCATGAAGGCTGCGCGCGACAAGGCGGACGCGGCGGACGCGGACGCGGACGAGGCGGCGGGGCTCGGCGGGGTCGCGGAGGGGGCCGTCGCGGACGCCGCGGGCGCGGACCGGGCGCTTGCGTGGCAGAAGCGGCAGCACGAGGCCGTGCGGCGGCAGGAGGGGCAGGACAAGGCCAAGGAGGGGGCGGAGGAGGCGCTGCTGGACGCGGGGATGGAGGCGTACCGGTACGTGGAGGGCGTGCACGTGTCGCGGGTCGGGCAGCACGGCGCGGTGGTGGGATCGCGCGACGCAGTGCACAAGGTGCGGCAGGGGGTGGGAATGCAGCTGGGGCACGACTGGGGGTGCGAGCGGTGCGAGTGGGGGGAGTCTGGGGAGCCGTGCGGGAACCCGAAGCCGCTCGGACGGATCTGCGTGAAGCTGGAGCCGCGGGACTGAGTGTGTGCGGGCGCGGAAGTTGCGGCGGTGATGTGTGGTTGTCGGATGTGAGAGCGCAGGGTTCCTTTACACGGAGCGAGGGCGCGCAGTCGATGCACGCTGCGTGCGTGTTGCGCAGCGAGGTCGCACGGTCGCTCGCTACCCGAGCGACGGGAAGGGTTCCTTCTGCGACAGCGACAGTATGCGGTGCCCGTGATTGATCGCTCCGACCACCTTGCGCTCCGCGATCAGGTTCGCCACCACGCACTCCACCTCGTCCAGGTCCGAGCCCTCCCCGCAGGCCGCGAGCGCGGCCGCGAAGAGTGGGAGCGGCACGCGAGCTTTAAGGTTGGCCGTGGCGTCCGCCGGGAGCTTCGCGACGTTGAACGCGTGCACGCGCCGCAAGAGCTGGCGGTAGGCGATCGCCTTCAGTCTGTCGATCACGAACAGCGTTCCGTCGCGCGTGAAGAGCGCCACGTGCTCGTCCACAGCGCGGTTGAACAGCCCGATGTCGCCCGTGGTCACCGCGCGCAGCACGCCGACGTACGCGTCCATCCCGCACGCGCGCAGCGCGTCCTCAGTCGGCATGTGCCCGCGCAGCATGTTGACGGGGATGAGGTATTTCAGGACCAGGGAGCGTCGGCGCGTGTCGGCGACGGGCGTGTGCTCGAGCGCGAACTCCAGCGCCGCGCGCGCCGCGGCGTAGTCGTCGTTGAACATGTGCAGGCGGCCCTCGTAGTACTTGTGCACCACGAGATCCGACAGCGGGATGTAGGCGGGCGCGGAGCCGCCCTTGGGCGCGACGACGACAGACGCGGCCTGGACGTGCTGGAAGGCCATGTTGACCTGCGACAGGTCGAACGCCACCTTGATCATCTGGTTGTAGATCGAGAGCACCGCGGCCTTCTTCTCGATGTCCCCCGAGACGTTGATCGGACGAATGTACTTCCGGAGGTCCTCCATGACGCGCCCGAGGCACTTCGCGCGCTTCCCGGCGTCCGTGAGCTGCTTGTCCGCCTCCTCCGCGGCGTGCCGCAGGTTCCGGGCCATCACGCGCACCGTGTTGGTGATCCAACCACCATCTGCACAGGGGCGCGCGCACCGCCGGGGAAGACCGTCGCAACGGACGCGCTCGCAGGGGTCATCGAGGCAAAGAAGAGGGAAGCATGCAATGCGGTTCGCCGGTCCGTGCGCGCCGTACCTGCGGCCTTGAACGCGTCAATGACTGGCGCGGTGGCGGCAGAGAGCGCGTCGTACGCCTCCTCGGCCTTGCGGGCGTCGAGCAGGCGCATCGTGTCGAGGACGCCGACGATGATGCGCTCCCATTCGGACGCAGACTCGGGGATCACGCGCGCGTGCCGGCCCACTGCGGACGACAGCTGCAACCGCGGGCCCAGGGACCGCACCGCCTCCGCCACGACCTGCGCGCACGGAACGCGGCCGCGACGAGACTGAGCAACGATGGTGCATTGGAGTGTGCGGGCGGCGCGCTGCGGGCCGGGCCAGGCCGGGCGCTGCCGGGACGTGAGAGCTGTTCGTGGTACGTTGCACACGCAGCGCGCGAAAGGGAAGGGCCTCGCAGCGCTGGCTGGCGGCGCGACGAGCATGCACGTTGTCTGGTCGTTCTGCGCGCGTGAGTGTTCGGGGCCGCACCTGCCGGTTCTCCGCATCGTGGACCCGGAGCTTTGCCGCTGCTGTGTTCCCGTCCTTGCGGGCGACAGCGCCCACAATCTCCTTGATATACCAGTCCAGCACACTCATCTAGTACCCTCACGTTCCAACAGCCGGCGTTCCAGGCGCCCCGCCCTCGACGGACGGCTGTGCGGCCCAACTCCCGCCTCCCGCCGACCACTGCGCCGCCGCGCGCCCCCCGATCGCGCAACCCCGAAGATTCGGCAGCGGGTCGCGAACCTAGAGTCTAGACAACGCGGCAGGGGCGGAAAATCCACGTGAGGATCACGTCTGTTCCAGGGGGAGACCCTCTCGAGTCCCTGAAACCTCTGTCACTGGATACTTGCGCACGCAACAGTCCTAAATGCGCGGCCCCGGCAGCTCCAGGCGGTCTACTGATTACTGCTGAGCGTCCACGGGCCGCTCCGGCGACCCAATCACCACACCGCGTGGGGAACATTGTGTCTGACAAAATCACACACTCCCCCCTCAGGTCTTGCCCGGCACGCGCGGGCGCCCCGGGCGTCACACGTGCGGCACGCGCCACAGCCGCGCGCGCTTGTCCGGCCCGCTCGTCGCCAGCACCGACTCGCCAGCCCCGACCCCCACCAGGCGCGGGCTGAAGCACATGCCCGAGATGGCGCCCGTGTGCGCGGCCTCGATGGTGCCCAGCCGCGCCCCGTGCCGCGAGAAGAAGTGCACCGACGAGCCGAACGCGCACGCCACCACACTGCAGCACACACGCAAAAAACCATGCATGTTGCATCGTACGTCTTCTTTGGCGGTTCTAGCTCAGGCAGCGCGCAGCCTCGAGTCAGTCGCAAACGACCTCGGCGCGCACACGCTGCACGCTCCCACCGGGGCGCTTGCGCTCGAGCTCCGCCACGGCGGGCGCCGCACCTGCCGTCGTGGTTGATGGCCACGCGGTCGTACGGCTTGGCGCCGTCGCGCTCCGACAGGCCCTTGTACACCACGTGCGGGTCCTCGCCGCTGCGGTACCGCACGTCGATCGTCCACACGATGAACGAGCCGTCCTTCGACACCGTCGCCGCGCTCCGCCCGTCGCCCGACAGCGCGACGGAGTAGACCTCCGCCTTGTGCCCGCACAGCGACATGACCTTGTTCGCGGCCTGGAAGATGCCCTCCCGGTCGAACAGCAGCTCCCACACGGGCACGTCGTTCGTCCACGCGGCCACGGCCATGAACCGCGTGTCAGGCGTCATCGCGATGCCGTTGTTCCGAACCTTGCCGGAGTCGAGCTTGGCGAGCGGCCGGGGCCCGGTCGAGGAGAACAGGCCGAGGTGCGTGTCGTCGCCGCCCGCGAAGGACGCGAAGATGCCGCGGCCGCCGGGGCTGCGGCCCGACGCCACGCCGCGCGGGGGGCCCCGGTGGACCTCGTGCGCCTCCCACTGCGGCTCCCAGCGCTTCGACCCGGGGGCCTGGTCGAGGACCTGGACGGAGGAGGCCGAGACGCCGCCCTTGGACAGGCACGCGACCTCGGACGGCGTCGCGCAGAACCCCGCGGCGACGGGCTGACGGTTCGTGAGGGTGAAGGTGGTGAGCGGGACGTGGCCCTTCTGGCTGGACAGGCCCGCGGTGTCCAGCTTGAAGATCCTGCGACAAGCGACGACGAATCACGCGCTCGTTGGCTTGGACCAGCTTTCTAGCCCAAGGGTCATTTGTTGCGCGTGATTGATCGAAACGCTCGCAATTTGCAAGCCACGCGCGCCGGATACAAGCTGAGCGTCGTCGCGAGCCACCGCGAGACGGCCCCGTCAACGCAGGGGACCGTCATCGGGGCAGGGGGTCTCATGCAACAGTGAGGCAATGCCAGCGCCCAGCGCCCCGCGCAGCTCACCTGACCCCGCCGTCGTCGCACGCGGTCGCAAGGAAGTGCTTCCCGTGGTGCCCGCTCTCGCCGGGGTCCCCCGGGTACCACGACACGGACAGCACCTGCCCGCCGTGGCCCTTGAGCGCCGTGAGGAACGCCGGGTCCGCCTGCGCGCGCGCGTCCGCGTTCTGCGCGTTGATCGCCTCCATCCGCGCGTTCTCCCGCATCAGCGCCTTCAAAGACATCCCCGGGGTGCTCCGGGAAGTGTCCTCCGGGGCACCATCGCTCTCGCCCGACTCGGGGGCTGCGGATCACGCGACACCATGCGAACGGACGGGTCTCACCACGCGGATACTTCCATGCAGCTCGCGGAGATCGTGTTTTCGGGTCTGAGTGGTGCAGGAGCACGATGTGTTTGGAGGGGGGGGTTTGCTGCTGTGGCTGACCTGCGTGTGCGCCCTTGCCCTTGCCCTTCTTGCCGCCCTTGCCGCCCTTGCCCTTGCCGCCCTTGCCGCCGCGCACGCCGCTCTGCTGCCGCGCCGCGGGCTTGGACCGCCCCCGGGCCAGTCCCAGGGCCGCGAGCACGGCAAAGACCCCCCGGGCGAGCGCGCCGAGGATGGCGACGACGCCGAGGAGGAGGACGACGGCCGCGGTGCCCAGACAGGCGATCACGAACGCCGCGGTGCTGCGCGGCAGCGCCGCGAGGTCCGCTTGGAAGGCTGCGACGTCGCCAGACTCGGAGAGCTTGGTGATGACGTCGACGGCGTCGTCGAGCCTGAAGCGCTCGGTGGCCTTGGAGAGGCGCGCGAGGCCCACGATCGCGTGCTCGACGGCGGCCGTGCGCGTCGAGTTGTAGTACGTGTACGCGCCACTCGCCATCTGCATGGGCGCGGGGGGGGGTGGGGGGGGGAGTAAGTAAGTGACCGGCGCAAGCGCGTGGGAGATCGTATGAGAGTGTATCTGAAGCGGGGACCGAGGGGCTTGTATCGCCAACGGGGAGCGCGGGAGAGCGGCGCGGGACGCGTGTGAGGCTTTGGTCGTCCGGGACGCAGCGTGCCGTGGGTAAATATGCAATTTCGCGACGTAGATTCCATGAATCTGAGACGTTGAATGCTGCAACGACAATTATGCGGTGTGGCATGCGCAGAGCCGTGCGTGCGGCCGCTTCAGGGAGCTGAGCTTGCCTGCTGTGCCGTCTCGCTCTGCACAGCGTCCCGCGCGACATCGTACGCCTTCGAAACAGCAGCCTTGATAGGCCCCGTCACCTTGGCCAGCTGTTCCGGCGTAGGCATCGACATGGTGACCTTCCACGCGCTCGCGTTTGCTCAGCGGCCCAGAGGAAAGGTTTAGCCCGAATGACGCGGATCAGGAGTCTCTGGCTGGACACAGACGCGCACGAGAGGCTGTGGAGACGTGGCTCGGGACCTGGTGTGGCAGGCGCGCCCTAAGGGCCCGCGAGAGTCAAGGTGAAGCCAAGTAGGGCTGAATGGTTGCCCAGCTCTGAGCTGGACGTTCGAAACGAGGTCTTCGCTGTCGCCCAACGCGCGCACGTTTGCGAGACTCCAATGACGGGATGCAATCGAGTCCCCTTGACCTCGCTCGGAGCCCCCGGGCGTACCTTCGGCGACAGCCCACCCGCCGACGCAGTCGGTCCGTCCCCGCGGGGTCACCCTGAGACGGTCTGTTCGCCGGGCCGCGACACGGCATGTGGTCGCGGGCCACGCGGACACGTCCTGGCGGGCGCGGAGACGACGTCGTGCGTACTTCCCGCGGTGCGGGCTTGCAACGGCCACCGTCGCGCATATTACCCGTACGCATTGTCTGCAATCGGCGATGCGCCACAAGGGCTCGAAGTTGCCTCTGACTGTCTGAACGAGGTGCTTGGGCTCCGGCTGCCGCCGGCACAGGAGATCCGAGGCCTTGGCACCGAAAAAAATGGTCGTCTCATCGCGTTGCCTCACAGAATGGTAAATGTCGTCTGCCGGCTTATTCATCAGCTGCACTGCCCACATCCACACGTCACACCCTCGCGCCACATATCGCATGATTCTACCGCTGCCTGGCGCGCTGGCTCGTCCTCCCCTGGCGTCGCACACGAACCCTCACCGCACTCTCTCCATCGCTGCCGTACTCCGCCGCCAGGTGCCGCAGCTCCGGTACCTCGCACAAGGCAGCACATGTGGTCCGCAGGTCGTTCTTGGCGCCGCGCACGTGCAGCTCGTGCATCATGTCACGCACTGCCTGCTCCACTGCGGCATCCACGTGCAGACGGCCACGGGCAGGTCGCGGTGCCGCCAGCTTCGCCACGCCCCACACCGTGTTCGCCAGATGCTGCGTCGTAGCCTCGCCGGCCCGCTTGCCCAGCGCCGCCGCCAGCGCCCCCACCGCCTCCATCACGCGCGCATCCCCACACAGCGCCTCCGCTACCCGTGGGTCGGCGTCGGCGAGCTTCGCCACGCCGTACACCGTGTTTGCCAGCGCCTGCGGCGCAGCCTTGTCAGCCCGCGCGCGCAGTGCCGCCGCCAGCGACCCCACCGCCTCCACCACACCCACCTCGCCACACAGCGCCTCAGCCGCCCCAGCCTCGGCGAGCTTCGCCACGCCGTACACCGTGTTCGCCAGTGCCTGCGGCGTCGCCCTGCCAGCCCGCTCGCCCAGCGCCGCCGCCAGCGACCCCACCGCCTCAATCACGCGCGCCTCCCCACACAGCACCTCCGCTGCCCTTGGGTCGGCGTCGGCGAGCTTCGCCACGCCCCACACCGTGTTCGCCAGCTCCTGTGGCGTCGCCTTGTCAGCCCGCTTGTCCAGCGCCGCCGCCAGCGCCCCCACCGCCTCCACCACACCCGCCTCCCCACACAGCGCCCTTGCTGCCCTTGGGTCGGCGTCGGCGAGCTTCGCCACGCCCCATACCGTGTTCGCCAGTGCCTGCGGCGTCGCCTTGCCAGCCCGCGCGCGCATTGCCCCCGCCAGCGCCCCCACCGCCTCCATCACGCGCGCCTCCCCACACAGCGCCTCCGCCGCCCTTTCGTCGGCGTCAACGAGCTTCGCCACGCCCCACACCGTGTTCGCCAGCGCCTGCGGCGTAGCCTTGTCTGTCCGCTCGCACAGCGCCGCCGCCAGCGCCCCCACCGCCTCCACCACGCGCGCCTCCCCACACAGCACCTCCGCTGCCCTTGGGTCGGCGTCGGCGAGCTTCGCCACGCCGTACACCGTGTTTGCCAGCTCCTGTGGCGTAGCCTCGCCGGCCCGCGCCACCAGCGCCTCCACCAGAGCCCCCACCGCCTCCACCACACCCGCCTCCCCACACAGCGCCTCCGCTGCCCTGGGGTCCTTGCCCGCAAGTGTCGCCACGCCGTACACCGTGTTCGCCAGCGCCTGCGTGGTAGCCTCCCTGGCCTGCCCAGCCAGCTCGCGCGCCAGCTCCCCGGCCACCCCCACCGCCTCCATCACGTCTGTCGTCCTCAACCCTCTCCAACTCCCCCTCGACAGTGTCGTAGCCACCCGGTGGACCCACGCCGCTATGTTGATGGCGTTGAAGCGCGCCCCTTCCCGCCGGTACACCTCCAGCAGGTCCCTCACCGCCTCCGCAGCTCGCTTCTTCTCCTCCTTTGTGCCCGCAGCGATTTTGATGTCTCTGGTGATGCGCCTGGCCTCCCGCAGCCCGTCCTCGCTCCCGTGCCGCTTCCGCGGCTTCTTGCGCCCCACCCGGCCGTCCTCGCGCTCCTGCTTCGCCCCTCGCCCGCCAGCCTCCCCCTCAACCCTCTCAGGTTGAGGACCACCTGCTGGCTTGGCATCGACAGGACGATCCCCACCCATGGGCGGCCTGATCGGCTTCGCGCGCAGCGTCTCGTCGTCGGGCTCCTGCCCCTCCGCGTCAGGATCGTGGCGCCCTTTGCGCGCAGCACGCACTCTCACTGGACGCCGGACCTGCACCAGGCTGATGCGACCTCCCCCCAACAGCGGTGAAGGAGCGGCCAGCATCGGCGTGGGCGCGGCCCGCAGCGCAGCTTGCCGTACACACATCCCCTGCACATCGCCCGTGGACCCCAAGGAGCCCCGTCAGCCGCGCAAGAGGCGTTCGCACCAAACCACCCTCGGGCAGCGCCTGGCCCCGCACGGGAGGTACTGCGGCCGCTAGGCAGAGCGTCGCTGAGCGTTCGGGGTCGCCATGGATACTGGCCGTCCGCGAAGGCCCCACAGGCGACCCAAACAGACGCACACACCGCGCGCAGCCCCAGCGACCCTTGGCCCTGCGCCAGGAGTGCGCCAAGCGGCCCCGCCGCAGCAGAGCGCGGCGCCTGGGCCTGCGTTACCGGACAGTCCTCACTCACCTGTGCACGACCGCTCACGGCTCTCGCGCTCTCCAACCGCCCCGCCCGAGCCCGCCCGCGGGCGTACACCACAGGCGCTGCCACTTGCATCCCGCCACGCGTGTCTAGGACGACGCAAACCGTACCCGCCGCTCGGCGAGGACGTCAGTGCCCCTCACCGCACAATGCGCTGCGTCACTACCGCCACCTACCGTCGCAACGCCACCCAAGCAGGCGCACCCCAGCATGCAGACATCCCAAACAGATCCCACACCCCCCCGGCACAACCTGGGAGCCCCGAAAACACGCCGCCGAGGCGCCCCTCCCCGGCATCCTGCCGCCGGCCCCCTGACGCTGCGCAGCGACCCCCCCCCGTGGCACAATCACGTCACCTCGACCTCCCGCGATGCTCTTTGATGGCGTCCACATACCGCCTGCGTTGCTGAGGACGCGACCGGGCTGTTCGCGCTGAGCGAGAGCCGGAGCGCGCCCGCGCCGCGTCCGGGCGGCGCGTGCGTCCACGCCCCTGCATGGCACACCTGACAAAGCAGGGGGGGGTCAAGCAGAGCTCCCCCATGCCAACGGCTGCGGCGGACGGCTTCGTTGCGACGCCGAGCGCCTCGCGCGCGCCGTTCCTACGCAGCGGACGCGCGCAAGGCGACCGCGTCACCCTCAATCGGTCGCGGCAAGCTCTGCGCGGGGGCAACACTGCACCATGGCTGGCTTCGGCGCGAAGCCGTTGGGCTTCGTCTGCTACCTCTGCGGGCAGCAGTACGGCAGTTCCTCGCTGCCCATCCACGTCAAGAAATGCAAGGAGATGTGGAGCAAGCGCTCGGAGCGCCCGATGCCTGCAGAGCCACCGGAGCTGGCGGAGCCGCTCCCCAAGGCCGCCGCCGCGATCGAAGCCTTCAACAACAAGATGTTTGACATCTACAACGGCGGTGAGCGCCTCCGGACGGCCCTGCAATGCGCTGCCGCGCCCCGCGGCCACCGCGACTCGCAATCGCTAGGTGGTGCCAAGATCCGCCCCGCGGCCGCTGCACACAGCGAATGGGACCGAGCTGCTCCTTCGATGCGATGTTCGGACATATCTTGAGGGATTCGGGCGCCTGAATTGCCCGGAACGTGCCTGTGGGCTCGGTTTCAGGGGACGTGCCTGTGCCCGCTGCCCCCAAGTCGTTAGGACGGGTCCCGCGCGGCTCCGTGCGCCCCGCGCGCTTCCGCCGCGCCTTTCGTGACGCGGCATCTCCGTTCTATCTTGCCGCGCAGCCTCTCTGGCCAGGTGTCCCGGGTGTTCGCGCACGTTCAACGAAGAGGCTCTGGCCAAGCACATGCCGAGCTGCAAGGGCCCCGGCGGCAAGGGCGGGGCCGCGGGGGCGGCGGCGGGCATGGGGAACCTCAGCCTGAACAGCACCGGCGGCTCGACCGGCTTCGGATCGCCTTCGGGCCCCGGCGCGCGGCCCAAGGGCTACGTGTGCTACCTGTGCGGCCAGCAGTACGGCAGCTCCTCGCTGCCCATCCACATCAAGAAGTGCAAGGAGATGTGGACCAAGCGCACCGACCGCCCGATGCCGCCGGAGCCCGCCGAGCTCTCCGAGCCGCTACCCAAGGGCGGCGCCGCACTCGACGCGTTCAACCAGAAGATGGCCGACGTGTGGAACGGGTCGTCGCTGGTGCCGTGTCCGAGCTGCGGGCGGACGTTCAACGAGGAGGCGCTGGCGAGGCACGCGCCGTCGTGCAAGGGCAGGGACGGCAAGGGCCCCAAACCGTCCGGCGGGTCCGGGAGCTTCGGGTCGCCCGCTGCGTCGCCCGCCGGCGGTGGCGGCGGCGGCGCGGGCCCCGGCGGACGCCCCAAGGGCTACGTGTGCTACCTGTGCGGCCAGCAGTACGGTTCCCCGTCGCTGCCCATCCACATCAAGAAGTGCAAGGAGATGTGGACCAAGCGCACCGACCGCCCGATGCCGCCGGAGCCGGCGGAGATGTCGGAGCCGCTGCCCAAGGGCGGCGCGGCGCTGGACGCGTTCAACCAGAAGATGGCCGACGTGTGGAACGGGTCGTCGCTGGTGCCATGTCCGAGCTGCGGGCGGACCTTCAACGAGGAGGCGCTGGCGAGGCACGCGCCGTCGTGCAAGGGCAGGGACGGCAAGGGCCCCAAACCGTCCGGCGGGTCCGGGAGCTTCGGGTCGCCCGCTGCGTCGCCCGCCGGCGGTGGCGGCGGCGGCGCGGGCCCCGGCGGACGCCCCAAGGGCTACGTGTGCTACCTGTGCGGCCAGCAGTACGGTTCCACGTCGCTGCCCATCCACATCAAGAAGTGCAAGGAGATGTGGACCAAGCGCACCGACCGCCCGATGCCGCCGGAGCCGGCGGAGATGTCGGAGCCGCTGCCCAAGGGCGGCGCGGCGCTGGACGCGTTCAACCAGAAGATGGCCGACGTGTGGAACGGGTCGTCGCTGGTGCCATGTCCGAGCTGCGGGCGGACCTTCAACGAGGAGGCGCTGGCGAGGCACGCGCCGTCGTGCAAGGGCAGGGACGGCAAGGGCCCCAAACCGTCCGGCGGGTCCGGGAGCTTCGGGTCGCCCGCTGCGTCGCCCGCCGGCGGTGGCGGCGGCGGCGCGGGCCCCGGCGGACGCCCCAAGGGCTACGTGTGCTACCTGTGCGGCCAGCAGTACGGCAGCTCCTCGCTGCCCATCCACGTCAAGAAGTGCAAGGAGATGTGGACCAAGCGCACCAGCAGAGCGATGCCGCCGGAGCCGGTGGAGATGTCGGAGCCGCTGCCCAAGGGCGGCGCTGCACTCGACGCGTTCAACCAGAAGATGGCCGACGTGTGGAACAGCGCGTCGCTGGTGCCGTGTCCGAGCTGCGGGCGGACGTTCAACGAGGAGGCGCTGGCGAGGCACGCGCCGTCGTGCAAGGGGAGGTAGTCGCTCGCGCACACGTGCTTGAAGAGCGGGCGAGCCGCACTCTAGCGTGCCGAGCTCGCATCTGTGCCTGTCGATGCATGGTATGTAACCCTGGTGACATGACCATCGCCCCGGTCTGTCTCATACACTCGAGCAAGGTGGTATCTGAGCGTATCACTGTTCGGGGGGGAGTCCCGCGAGGGAGTCGGTCAGCGACCTGCGCCCGCGCTCGGGACGCCGCCTCTCGACCCCACAATGCGTCCACGGTCGGCTGAAGTCCATTCAGTCCGGCTGACGACCGAGCGTCGCAGCCGTTCGCCCCGATTCAGCTCCACGGGGTGGAGAGAGGTCGTGCGAGCACGGCCGCCGCCACGATCCTCTTCGCTCGCCGTCGAAGCGACGGTCGCGCCGGCTCTGAGAGCCCGGCGCTGACATGAGCGACGACGTGTCAGGAGGCTCGGGCGCGCCGGGCCGGCAGGAAAAGGTGCGTGATGTCAACACACCACGAGTCCGCTCTGTATGACGTAGTTTTGGTTCTGCATCTCTCTCGAACAAAATCTTCAAAGTCTGATGAGCTTGTCTGGCTCGGTGTTGCGGCGATGACACGGCTAGATTGCAGGCTGCATTCAAATCGACGCACTTCGCGTTGCGAGGCTTTACGGCCCGCTCGCCCCGCGCTTGTGCCTCTCCGTACCACGGAGACGGCGATCCCTTCTGGAGCATGTCGTTCGATGCGTCACCTCCCCGTTTTCGCCCTTCGTTTCGTCCGAAGCTGTTGCTTCCTCTCCGTTCCCGCAGGCTCGGCCGTCCTTCACCGACATCCTGGACGCCGTTCCCCACATCCTGCACTCCCTGCCCGCCGCGTCCTCACTGAACCTGGCTTCCACGTGCTGGGCGAGCCTGATGGCGCTGATGAGGCACGGAAGGCGCGGGATCCCGGGCGAGGTCGAGTGGCGCGCTGCAGAGAGCGGCACGGCCTCCAGCGCAGACCACCGACTCGTCGTCGTGGCAGACGAGCAGCTCCTGACTCCGGTGATTCGCATTTCGAGGCTGCACGGAGCCCTGATGTGCGGCATTTCCGTCCACGTCGACGAAAGCACGCCGTACGTCGGGAAGCTCGACTTCTCCGTCGCTCGCTTTGACGTCGCGCAAGCGAACATACTTCACGACGCCGCGACCCGCGCAAAGCTGCGAGACGACGACGTGGCGACCGAGTACGCGCGCGTGGGGGCGCTGGACCGCATCCTCCGGCTGCCGGCGCGGCGCGGCATGGCGCTGCACGTGCGCAGGGTCGACGTCCCGGCCCGGCTCTTGATCGAGACGCAGGCGGGGCCCGGAGACCAGGATTCAGTATCTGCTTCCATCGCGAACCGCTTGGACGTGGTGTGCGCGGTGCTCGCCGCGCCCGCCGTCTACAGACACGTCGAACACCTCGTCCTGCGTCGCATCACCGTGGCATCCTCGCTACTGCGCATTCTGGCGGCGCTCCCGGAGCTGCAACACGTGTGCACCCTCGACGTCAGTGGGGGGGCCATCGACACCGCGGCGGCGCTCGCGCTGGCCCGGCTCGTCGAGGCGTGCCCCACGCTGCGGCACCTGGACGTCTCGAGGGTGACGGGGTTCACGGAGGCCGGCATGGCGGCGGTCGCGAAGGAGGTGTTCAGGAAAAGGAAAGACCAGAGAATGCTGACCTTTGACTGCGGTTTTGTCGACTACAACGACTGCGTGGCCGCCGCAATGCTGCGCTACGGGGGCGGGCGTCTCGAGCGGCTCGGCCTGGAGCGACGCCCCGGCAGCATCGGCCCGCAGAGCGGCCTGGTGCGGAAGATCGCAGCGAGCACGCACAGGCTGGCGGACCTGCGCCTGGGCATCGCGTCGCACCTTCCCGAGGATCTGCGGGCGCTGGTTGCAACGAGCACCACGCTCCGCGCGCTCGACCTCTCCGGCAGCTGCATCCGCGACGGTTCCCTTGAGAGGTTGTGTCAGACGATCGCCAGCACGCCGGACCTGCGGCTCGAGCGGCTGCGGCTCGACGGGCTCAAGATGACGGACCGCGGCGGCAAGGCGGTGGCCAGGATGCTCGCGGAGACGCCGTCCCTGCGCGCGCTCAGCCTGCGCGACAACAGGCTCCGCGACGACGCCGCGAAGCGCCTGGCGAAGGCGCTCGGCCGCAACCGCACGCTCCGGGAGCTCGACCTCTCGCTCAACGACGTCGCGGTGTCGGGCTTCAAGCGGCTGCTGAGCGCCGTCGGGAACAGCGCGGCCCTCGAGCACTTTGCGATCGAGGGCAACAGGTTCGGCACTGACGGCGACGCGAAGCTCGGCGCGCTCGGCCCCGCGCTGCGCTCGCTGAGGCTGGGCGCGGCCGGGCCGCAGGGCTCCTCGGCGCGGCTGACGGGCTTGTATGCGTTCGCGACGCAACTGGCGGGGAACCTCACCTTGCGCGTGCTCTCGCTTCGGGGGTTCAGAATGGACGGCGACCGCGCGGGGATGATCGCGCGCGCCGTGCGCGAGAACTCCACGCTGCGGTCCCTGAGCCTTGACGAGGCAAGATTGGGCGATGTGTGCGGACGGGATTTGGCAAACGAGGTCTCCCACAACCACGGTCTCCAGCACCTGTCGCTGCGCGGCAACCCCGCCGCGAACAGCGAGACCGCGGCCGCGCTGTGCCGCGCCCTCGACGGGCACCCCACGCTCGAGAGGGTCGACGTCGACGGGTGCGGGTTCGCGGGGGGCGCGTTCTGGCGCGACCGTGTTCGGCAGGCCCGCGGACCTTGCCCGCGGGTCGTCGTGATCGGGGAGGGCAGCGAAGTGGACGAGAGCTAGGCGCTGAGCAGGGACGTGGAGCCGGGAGGGAGAGATATGGGAGGAGCGCTGGAAGAAAGAGACATGATCTGAAGACCTGTGAAGCGACGCGAGAAAGGCAGCGATCGAACGCACCAGGCAGCCGTGTGACGGCTAGATGGGACTGCCTCCGGGGATTGGAACGGCCGCTTGGCACCGTTTCCGCTTTCGGCCGCGGACGACCTCAATCGCGCATGTCTCCTGCGGCGCGCAACCGCAAAACAACCCTTCCTGACCGCCCCGCGCCGTCAGACACGCCACCAGCGTCACAGCGTAGCCGTGACCGCTCACATCAGCCCGAGCACGCGCCCCGTGTCCGGGTCCACGTCGATGTCGTAGAAGCACGGCCGCGTGGGCAGCCCCGGCATGGTCGAGATCGTTCCGACGAGCGGGAACAGGAACCCGGCGCCCACGGACGCGCGGACCTCGCGGATGGGCAGAATGAAGCCCTCCGGCGCGCCCTTGACCTCCGGCTTGTCGCTGAACGAGTACTGCGTCTTGGCCATGCAGATCGGCAGGCCGCCAAAGCCTTGCCGCTCGTACGTGGCGATCTGCTTGGCCGCGAGCTCCGAGACCTCGATGTCCGCCGCGCCGTACAGGTTCTGCGCGATCGTGCGGATCTTCTCGACCACGGGGGACTCGAGCGCGTACGTGAACTTGAAGTTGGCGGGGGTCTCGCAGGCCTTGACCACGGCGTTCGCGAGGTCGACGGCGCCCGCGCCGCCCTTGCCGTGGTGCTCCGCGATGACGGCGTCCGTCGCGCCGGCCTCGAGCGCCTGCTGCCGCACGGCCGAGAGCTCAGCCTCCGTGTCGGTGGCGAAGCGGTTGATCGCGACGACGACGGGGACGCCGAAGGAGCGGACGTTCTTGATGTGGCGCGCGAGGTTGCAGCAGCCCTTGGTCAGCAGCTCGACGTTCTCCTCCTTGTACTCGTGCGCGAGCGGCGTCCCCGCGACCACCGGCGGCCCGCCGCCGTGCATCTTGAGCGCGCGCACGGTCGCCACGAGGACGACGGCGCTCGGCCGCAGGCCCGAGTAGCGGCACTTGATGTTCATGAACTTCTCCATCCCGATGTCCGCGCCGAACCCGGCCTCCGTCACCACGTACCCGTCCTCACCCACCAGCTTCAGCGCAACCTGGTCGGCGACGATCGACGAGTTGCCGTGCGCGATGTTCGCGAACGGACCCGCGTGGACCTGCACATCGTCGATCCCACGGTGCGCGGAGGAGGTCGGCGTCGCTGAAGACACCGTCCGCTGTTCTTTGCGCGGCAGACGGGGGGGTGTTGGTGAGCGAGGCGGGCGGTCGTACCAGGACGGGGGTCTGCTCGAGCGTCTGCATCAGCGTCGGGTGGATGGCGTCCTTCATCAGCACCGTGAGCGCGCCGCCCACGCCGAGGTCGTCGGCCGTGACCGGGCCGCCCGCCTTGTCCGAGGCCACCACCATGCGGCCGAGACGCGCGCGCATGTCGCGCAGGTCCGTCGCCAGCGCCAGCACCGCCATGATCTCCGACGCCTGCGCGCCACACGCACCACCAAGCCCAACAAATCGCATTCATTCGGGACTTTGTATACTTATATAAACGTGCAGGACCGCATGGGCAAGCCGAGGGCGCGGCACGCACCACGGAGATGTCGAACCCGGTGTCGCGCGTCATGTTCTTCTCGTTCGGGCCCTTGCCGATCTCCACCACGCGCAGGAAGCGGTCGTTGATGTCCATCACCCGGCGCCACGTGATGGTGTCCGGGTCGATGTCCAGGCGCACGAACTTCCGCACCTCCTCCTCCGTCAGCGCCGCGGGGTCCGTCTTGTCGATCCCGAGGCGCTTCAGGCGCTCGAGCATCACGGGCGCGAACTTCTGCGACCCGTCCTTGCCCGCGGGACACAGGCGACGCAGGAGCGCCGCGTCCGACTGGGAGTTCTCGTGGAAGATGCGCGTGTCGATGGCGGCGGCGAGGAGGTTGTTCGCGGCCGTGATCGCGTGGATGTCGCCCGTCATGTGCAGGTTGAACTCCTGCGGCGAAAATAGGACCAAAGAACTCATTCAAAGACGAGATTCGTTGGTTGCGGTTCCTCGCCACGCCCGCCGACACCACCCGACGGTCCACGCGCGCGGGCACGGCGCTAGCCACGCGCTACAGGGTCCGCGACAAGCCGCCGGTCCCGGCGCTGCACGTCACGCAGAACCGCAACCATAGCGATGAACGGTGTGTGGTTCTCTGTCGACCCGCGCACCTCCATGGGGATGACTTGGGAGTAGCCGCCGCCCGCGGCGCCGCCCTTGATGCCGAAGGTCGGCCCCTGCGAGGGCTGCCTGACGCACGTGACGACGTTCTTCTGCAGGTGGGCGCCCAGAGCCTGGGAGAGGCCCACGGTGGTCGTCGACTTGCCCTCGCCCAGGGGCGTGGGCGTGATGCCCGCCACGCACACGTACTTGCCATTCGGGCGACGCTCGAGCTTCTGCGCCACCGCGATGTTCACCTGCGGCCCGCGCCGAACCCATCATCCGCGATTTCAACTTCGGCAATCTCCGTTGAGTATCGCACGCCTCGAATCTGACCGACCTACGGCCCAACGGCGCCCACTTGCCAGGCACGCGCGCGGAGGAGCCGGGCAGCTGCTCGGGGGCTGCCCGTCCCCCTCAACCGCGCTGTGGGGCCGCGACACCTACCTTGGCTTTGGTCTTGCCGTACAGGTCGTAGTCGTCCTCAGTCAGACCGAGCTTGTCAGCGATCTCGCGGATGTGAATCGGCGTCACCGACTGAGCAATGTCGATGTCGGCCGGCGTCGGCGTCTGCGGAGCATCGGAGCGCGCGCCTCGCACGGTGGGAGAGAGCGGCGTGCGAGATCCTCAGGCAGCGCGCCGCGCGGAGCTGGCGGGACCGCAACGGACGCGCCGCGGTGTTCCGCGGGCGGATGGAGGTCATCTACGTCGTCGGGTGGGCGGCGTGGCGGGGTTGAGGGGGCCTGCGCGCGGCAATTGCGCCCGCGAGGACCCACAGCACAGAGTAAGCGAGGTAGCTGCAGGGACGCGGAGCGCCCTAAACGGCGCTGATTTTTCGTGGTAGAGGGAGAGAGAAGTAGACAGAGCTAGCTGCGTTGGAGGAAAACGGCCTCAAACGGTCCGGCGGGCGCCTCCGGGTAGCTGAGGTGGGCGAACCGGGCAGGCGCGGCGGTGGCTCCGCAGGGCGCGGTGAAAGCCGCCTCGGTGCGCATCCTTGCCTTGATGTCGAGCTTAGGCACCATCGCGCTCACGATATCGTTTCCAGGGGGGTTGGTTGACGTCAGAGGGACAGGACACGTCTCCTACTGGCCGTGACGCGATGCGGGGCGCCGAGCAGTCCAACTGCGGCTTCCGGTCAAACGATACGACTGATGCAGTCGCTGACGTGCCTCTGCGGGCGCCGAACGGACCCCAACAAGGGCGCACGCGGCTGTGCAGCACACCCCCAGTGGCCCATCCTAGCAGGGCTGGTGCGCGCAGGATGTGCAACCGCGCGCCGTAAACTCGGGGAATTGGACCAGCGGTCCAAGTGAACCGTCGATGGTGCAGGCTTACGGACCAGTCGGAACGGGCCTGACGCCGAAACCGCACCCGAGAGTGCCCGCAGGGTGTTGTCGAGGGGCTACCAAGGTCATTCGAGAGATATCTGCCTCCTGAACGATACAGCCTTCAAGTACGTGAAGTGACCGAGCCCTCGGCCGCGTCGTCGGTGCGGGAACTCCGCGTGTCTTCGTTCGCGAGAGGTTTACCTGAAGGAAGTCCTCCGGCAGCACCGCGCCGACCGCCCTCGCTCCCGACGCCCAGGCCTGCGGTCTCCACAGCCTGGACAGGCTTTTCCGAAGCATCGCGCTCGAGGCGCGGGATCACGAGGGCCGGAACCGCATCCTGCGACGGCACAGCCCACCCGGGCACAGTCAGTCGCTCCGAGGGCCACAGACGCTCCACCCGGGCCTCAGGACCGCGCGTCGCGACGTGGCGCGCCTCGGGAGAGCCGGCGGGGCATGACGACCGGGTCCCCGTCGCGCGCCTGACGACAGCGCAGTAGAAACCTTTCTACTGAGTCAGGCGGGGTGCGGGGTGTATTAGACCCCCAGTGCAGGGCCGCGCGCCTCGTCGGGGAGCGACCGCAGGGCGTGCGGGCATTCTAGGAGGCGCAGGTCGTGCCAGCGCGCCGCCAGACGGCTCCCTGAGTTCTCTTTGCGTCGCAACAGCGTGGGCGAGGTCGCGGGGCGCGCAGCGATGGCGGGCGGACGGGCGCCGACCGACACGAAGATAGCGAACGCATGCAAGAAGATTCTGCCGACGGTGCGTGCCGTATTCTGGCCCGGACACGACGGCGCGGCGCACAGGGAGGGGCAGCGTGCACAGCAGGCAGAGCGCCCGTGCCCCGAACCTCACGTTCCTGCGTCCCCGCTCGCTGCGCAGGTCGACATCAATGTAACGAGCGAGCGGGATGTCCGCCTGCTCGTCGCGGGGAGCCTGCAGTGCCCGGAGCTGGTGCGTTCCCCTGCGCTCACTGCCCTCCACGGCCTACGTTGCTGCGGTCCAGGCGTCCGCGAAGCCCCGCAGAGCAGCCCCGCCTCTCGACCCGCTAGCAGACACGTCGAAAAGGCGGATTCTGCAGCCAGATGAGCGCCGCTCGCGTCGCCCGCGCAGCAAGCTCTGGCGACGAAAAGACGCGACCGCTCTCCTCCGCGCAGACCCAGGACGAGAGCTTCAAGGCCGTGGTGCGCCGCGAAATCGGGGCGTACATCGAGGCAGCAGGCGTCGATGCGACCGGCGTGGAGCCAGCTGCCAAGCGCAAGGGCGAGGCGGGGCCGTCGGACAACGCGGGGGCGTCGCGGAAGCGTGCCGCGGCTCCCGCGGCCAAGGGGACCCCGAAGAAGGCCAAGGGCGGGGCGAAGGGCGACGTCGAAATCGCGCTGTCTGACATGCGCAAGGCGTCCATCTCCACCTGGAAACAGACGCGGTCCGTGGACGTCAGGTGCGCCGACGCACCGCAGCTAGCTGTACAAAGCACGAGCGGGGCTAGCTGCGGGGGTGGGAGCAGGGGCGGAGGTGCCTGCGATGCTCGGCGTCGATGTTGTATGTGGTGGCTGCACAGGACGTGTCCTCGCAGCACATGGTTCGAGGTCGCCGCGGTTCCGTGCGCAGGGAGTTCTACGAGAAGGACGGCAAGAAGCTGCCGGGGTTCAAGGGCGTGCGGCTGTCGCGCGAGCAGTGGGTCGCTCTCGTCGGCATGATGCCGCAAGCGACCGCGGCGCTGGAGGCGGAGGACGGCGGCTTCAACCGCGACCTGGCCGGGAGCAACAAGCGCGTCTCGATCTACGTCGGGAAGATCAAGGCGAGACCTGCACGCCACGGCGCACCAACCGCTTGCTGTTGTTTGGCGCGCTCGCGGGACCTGCCTCCTGAGGTGCGGAGCCGCGTGGCGTCGCTGGCTGCAGGCGGTGGACGTGCGCGAGTACTGGGAGAAGGACGGGGAGTGGAAGCCTGGCAAGAAGGGCATCGCGCTCCCCGCCGACCAGTGGGCGAAGCTGTGCGGCGCAGCGGACGCCCTCACCGTCGCGCTGGGCCCACCGCCGGCGCAGGACGCCGCAGCGACGGGCTCCCCCGCGCCAGGAGGCTCCCAGGCGGACGAATTCTACGTCGACCTGGCCAACAAGAAGCGATGTACCGTGTCATACTACAAGGGCAAACTCTACGTCGGGCTGCGGGAGTTCTACCAGGGCGCGGACGGCGTGGCGCGGCCGAGCTCCAAGGGCATCAGTCTGTCGCCCGAGCAGTGGGCTGCTCTGTCCCCGCAGCTCGAGTCGCTGCAGCAGGCGCTCCACAACCGCGACACGTCCGCGTCGGTGCAGCTGTCGGACACGCGGCGCGCGGTGGTGAGCGAGTTCAAGGGCGCGTTCTTCCTGAATGTGCGGGAGTTCTGGGTGAAGAAGGGGACGGAGGAGCTGCTGCCGGGCAAGAAGGGCGTGGCACTCAATGGGGAGGGAGTGGCGGCGCTGGTGATCAATCGAGAGCGCATCGACGAGAAGGTCCGGGAGATGGAGGCCGAGGGGGACCCGGCTGAGGCCGGGGCGGCGGACGAGAAGGACAAGCACGCGCTGAGGTGAGGTGAGGTGTCACGCTGTGACGCCGCGGACGCTATTCACACGGAGCGGAGACTTGTGTGTGGACTGTGAAATATAAAACGCTGCCTCCTGGTGCGCGCGCCGGCAAGGACCCCTGGGCCCACGCCTGTGCTCGCAGTCACGCGTTCCGAACGCGCTGCACGCGTGCGTCGACGCCGCACCGCTGCAGCTCCGCCAGCCACGCCCGCTGCTGGTCAGACAGCTGGTCGTTGTGACTCTTCACCTCGACCAGCCGGCCCAGGGCGCGGCCCGGGTGCACGACGACCAGGTCCGGCATGCCGCCGCGCCACCCGTTGTAGTCCTGCGCGAGGATGCGGCACACGGCGGCGATGGCGCCGCCCCCGAAGCAACGGCACACCAGGAGGAGGTCTTCCAGGGGGAGTCGGTCCCAGCTGACGCCGCGACACACCTCGCCGTGGTGCGCACGCCAGGCCGCCTCGAGGAGCTTGGCTGCGGGACACAATGCGGGTCAAGTCAATGAAAAATGAACAAATGATGCATTCATGAAACATAGCTATAATTATCAATTCGTCTGTCGCGCAGCAGGTTCTGCTCTGGGCTGGGCGCCCCGCGCGCTTTGGAGGTGCCCCATGCTCACCTGCGCCCCCGTTCTCGATCTCCGCCAGCCGCTCGTCCAGCATCCTCTTGCGCGAGACGGCAAAGGCTGGTCCGCCCAAGTCGAGCGGAGCGGCCTGGAACGGGTGCCGGAACGCTCCCGGCACCCCTGGCGCGAACACCACGTCCCACATCAGCAGCCCGAACAACGTCGACCAGATGCCCCCCTCGCTGTGCCACCCGCGCCACCCGTCGCCAGCGTAGTGCTGCAGGACCGCCTCCTCGACGTGCAGCACCGCGGGGCTGCTCGAAGGGCCGCCCTCGGTCGCGGCACCCTCGCTTCTCGCCGCCATGGCGTCGGCGTCGTCGTCGTCCTCCCCGACGCGGTACAGCACGCGGGTGCCCACGGCGCCCGTGCGTCGTCCGTCTGCGCCCGTCGGGGCGAGTTTCAGCGCGATGACGTCCTCGGGGAACTTGTCGCGGAAGCTCGCGGCCCAGGCCGGGACGCGCCAGCGCCGCGGAGGCTTGCTCAGCCGCAGCACCAGCCGTCGCAGGGCGTGCAACTGCAACACGAGCGGTGCCGAGACATTGAGAGACCCTGAGCGGCGACTGCGCGGTTCGTACCACGCGAAAAACGACCGTGCTCGGTTCAACCAGGAACGACCTCTCTCGGCCGCTGCGGCAGTGCGCACCTCGCCAGTCGTCACCCAGGGGTCCCGCAGGCCCGCTTCTCCGCACAGCAGCGCCTCGTTCTGCCGCCCGAGGTGGCCGAGATTCACGCACAGCCGCATCCACCAGTGCCCGCGCTTCGACGGCGCACGCCCCTTGCCCAGCAGAGCCTTGATGGTTGCGACCGCCGCGGCATACTGCTTTTCCTTCTCGAGGAGCGACACGCCGCAGTGCGCGATGAGCGTGTGCATGCGCAGCGGGCTGAACGTGGCCCGCAGCCCGACGAGGTCCGCCGGCGCCGGCGCGTCGCTCCGTTCCACGGCGTCGCAGCTCCGCCGCGCCATCTGCACCAGCGGCGGCAACATGCACGGATCGCTCAGAGCCCTGACCGTAGAGCGAAGACGCGACCTGGTGCGCGCCGTCGCAGCAACGACCGTGGGCTCGGCGCACCTGCAGGGCCGCGCCCGTGTCCTCCAGCGTCAGCGCCTCCTCCATATCCTGCGCGTCCCTGTGCGCTGCCTCGTATGCAAGCATCTCCCGCCGGGTGCGGAACGGCGCCGCGTCGCCGCCCTCGATCTCGTAGGCCGGGTACCGCACCACGCCGACCCCTGCGAGCGTGAAGAGTTTCAGTCCCTGTTCCTCGTTCCCGAAATACAGCCGCTCGAGTCTGCGCAGCGCCAGCATCACGCGCGGCGCGACGCAGCACATGGGGCCCGCGACCAGCGCCGCCTCCCGCCACATCGCCCGCGCCTTCCCGCGCATCGCCGCCTCCGCCGCGCGCACGACGTCCGCTTTGCGCCCCCGGGGCACCTCCTCCCCGACCGCCGCCAGCACGCGGCACAGCTCGCCCACGCGCAGACACCGCAGCCACTCCGCGGGCGCCGCGAGCGCCGACGGCGGCGGCGGACCCGCCTCGCGCCCCCGCTCCAACACGCCCCCTTCCAACAGCCCCCCCCGCGTCAGCTCCTCCAACCCCCCCTCCCAACCCTCGATGTACGCCAGGCTGTCCCGGCGCAGCCACGTGGCGTCCCGCACCGCCATCCGCAGCAGCAGGACCAGCGCCGGGTCGTCCTCCGCGCGCCGCGCCAGCCACCGCAGCGTCCCCACTTCGCCCTCGTCCAGCACGGTGTGCCCCGCGCCCGCCTCCATCGCGCTGCCGAGCACCGCCGCGGCGGCGCGCTTGAAGCCCGCGCAGAGCGCGCGGTCCGTCCGGGACGCCCCTGGGAGCCGCACGTCGCCGGACGCGGCCCCGCGCAGCTCCCCCAAACACTCCCCCACCCTGTCGCGCACCGCGTCGCCCCGGTCAGACTCCTCCAGACACACCTCCACGCGCGCCTCCGCGCCCGCGCCGCGTGCCAGCCGCAGCGGCTCGCCGTCCGGCCCCGCCGTCGCGCCCACGCGCACCGCCGCCCCGCCCGCGTCGATCACGCGGCTCAGCGGCGCGGCCACGTGCCGGCGCACGTAGGCGACTTTCGCGCCGAGCCCGCCCGCGATGCCCTCGTCCACGAGCACCGCGCACGCGCACCGGTCCGCAGCGTTCTGCGGCTCCCGGTTCACGACGAGCCGCGCGCCGGGCGCGACCGCCAGCCCCGTCGCGCACCCGGGCGCCCACACTATGGGCACGCAACCGACCCAGAGCGGCGTCAGGGGGGGGGAGTCGTTGCCGGCGGGGTCCGCGCCGGGGAGCTGCGCCGAGTCCGCGTCTCCGCTGGACGTGTGCGCCTCGTCGCCGGCGCCGCTGTCGTCGTTTCGTCCCCCCGTGTTGTCGCCTTCCTCGTTGTCAGTGTCTTCGCCATCGATTTCGATCGGCGGTGGGGTTGTCCTGATGGCCGAGGACGGCGGCAGGGCCAGGGCGTCGGCGGTGCGCGGTGGGCCGATGATGAGCTCGAGGTACGGGTTGGTTTCGCTGACGGGAGCTGGGCTGGGGGTGGGCTGGGGAGCGCCGGGGGTGTGGGCGTCGGCTTCGGAGCCCGGGCGCGCGGACAGGAAGCTGCGCATCGTCCGCTGCTTCTTCTTCGCGGTGCCCGCGGACTTCGCCAGACACCGGTCTGCGGACAACGAGGCATAGTGATGTCATGGTCTCAGAGCGCGTTGATGAAGTGAGGGTCTCGACCGGTCATGAAGGAGTGTGTTTCGCACCGATATGGGCGTTCGCGTCGCTTATTCGCATCGCAGCGCCGCACACTGGGCATGTGGCGTCTCCAACAGAGCCGTTTGGGTCCGCGGACAGCGCCTGGGCATCCTCGCGAGCAGTCTCCTGCTCCGAACGCAAGTCTGTACCATGTTCCTCTACGTTGCTGTGCGTCTGCTGCGCGGGAGGCCTCGAGTCGAGCACAATCGGCTCGCACGGGCCCCCATCGCGCACAGCAGGCTCGGCGGGAGCGGCCTCCTGTGCACTGCGCGGCAGCCGGATGCGTCGGCCTATCGCCACCTGCAAGCTTGTGTGTCCCGTGACAGGGCGCTTCATGGTCCTCGCCGCGTCAGCTCCTCCAGAGCTGGAACGACCGGCACTCAGACCCACAGACACCACCAGCGTCCGAGCACGCCTCCAGGGCACTCATACCATCCGGGCGGCGTCGCAATCACCCCCCCAATCGCACAGCGCCCAAAGCGTCGGCTGCGGTGTCAACCCCGGCGCAAAGTACGCGCAGCGGGGCCTTGCTTGCTGAGCAAGTCGCCGGGGGGGACTCCCACCCACTGTCAGCAAGGTCGCCAAGAGCGGGGCGCGACGCGCTGCGCAGCTGACGTCCGCCGCCGCCAGTCCGATCACCCGCAACTGGTGGGCCGCAGGTCCTGGAGCGCACATCGGACGTGACGTGCACAGGCATCAGGTGCCCCACCGCGACAGTGGCTGAAGACCGGAACAGTGCGGGGCCGACGCGTGGGGACGCTGCGCTGAGACGAGCGCGCACCGGGCTCCTGGTGTTACAGCGGCAGCCTTTCGCTCTCAATTGTTGCCCAAGCACCCTCAGTCCCGAGGCAGCCCGCGCCATGCTACGATACAGGCCGGGCCGCCGTCGGTCGTCGGGGTCCTCCGGCGGCGTCTAATGTTCACTTCTTCTCGCAGCCATCAATCCATCGTTTCAAGTAGTACTGGATAGTGTGTTCATTTTCAAGACCCCATCCAAGGATTATGCGCGGCTAGGTCCGAAAGGACGTTCCCGCGACCCGCTGCGCGCGGGGGCTCGCGGCCCGGGGCGGGGCGAAGCAGACGGAGGAACGGGGGGGGGGGATGAAACGGCGCGACCAGTCAGGCCCAGACTGGTCGCAGCTGCAAGCCATCTTTGGTGCACAGGCGGGGTGGGGGGGGCAAAATCGCGGCACCGTGGCGACGGCAGGGCGCGCCGCCTAGACGATGCCGGCCAGCCCGAATTCCTCCACGTCTCTGTCGATGGCGGCCTGGCCGTCCTCGCGCTCAAACGAGGGGTGGAAGTCCAGAAGGGACTTGCCGATCGACTTCCACGCGGCCTTGGCGGCGTCCTCGTCCTGCGGGCGGTCCGGGTGGGTGCGAGCGTGTGGGGGGCGGGGTTGGCGCGTGGTGCGAGGGGAGGGAGGGGTGTGAGTGTGGGGGGGGTCTGAAATCTCGTGTGGTATCCTTGTTTGCATCAGCGCGCGCCCCCGGCGAGGGACGAGCTCAAGAGGAAGGCAACAGTAACAAGGTAGACATATCATCACGCCCCGCTCCGGACAAACGTCAGCCGCGAACCGCCAACAGCGACACAGGACCACCAGGCCAAGCACAGCGGCGCACCTTGCTCTCCTTGATCGCCAGCAGCATGTGCGCGACGAGCGGCACCGCGCCGCCGGAGTCGAGCAGCGGCGGGTCCTCCTCGCCCTCGGGCGCTTCCGCGGAGAGCATGTCCTTGGCCAGCTTGGCGGCGTCGAGCACGCCCTCCGCGACCAGCTGCCCCGCGAGCGTCCCGACCTGCTTCGGCGCGTACGGGTTGTCGCACACGTCGTCGCCGATCACCTCCAGCACGCTCGAGAAGCCCGCCGCGACGTCGGCCGCCGACAGCTTCTTGGCCTCCAGCGCCCCCGTCAGGAGCGTCTTCAGGGACGCGAAGTTGCGCTTCGTCGCGCCGTACCCGTCCTTGATCAGCTCGACCACGATGTCCGCGCCCTTGGCGCCGGCCCCCGTCATGCTCTCGATCTCCAGGTTGGCCTCGGCCACGTCCTGGCGGACGCCGTGCCACTCGTCGCACATGCTCTTGACCTTGCGCGCCAGCGCCGCGCCCGTCATCGCGCCGCCCGCCGCGCCGCGCGACGGCGACGTGGGCGTGGGAGCGCCCGAGTCGCCCCCCCCGTGCCCGCTCGCCCAAGCGTCCTTGTCCGACGCCACGCCGCCGGGCCGGGCGCCCCCGCGTTCGCCGGCGCCGGGCGCGCCGGCCGCCCGCCGCGCGAGCTCCCCTGTTCTCCGTCCGCCCGACGGGCCGAGGTAGTCGTCGCCGCCGCCCCCGCCGCCCCCGCCGCCAAAGCTCGACAGCGGCCGCGGCGCGCTCCGGTCCATCCAGTCCGGGTTCCGGCTCGGCGGCGGCCCGCGGCTGTCGAACCCGCGCGGGCTCGGCCCGCCGCCGCGCATGGGCGGCCCGCGGCTGTCGAACCCGCGGGGCCCGCCGCGCGGCGTGCGCTGCTCCATGGCCGCCGCGCGGTGGATGTCCGCGATCTTCTTCGGGCCCTCGACGGCGCGGCGCATCTGCCACCCGCGCGCGCGCATCTCGATCACGTCCTGGAGCATGAACTTGATGCGCGAGTCGAGCGCCTCGACCTCGCGCATCTGCTTCATGCGGTTGAAGTACACGTCGACGGCCTGCGCGCGCTCCTTGGTGTCGAAGTCCGAGCCGATCGTGGAGAGCAGCTTGCAGAGCGCCTCGACGTCCTCGGGCTCCGGGTTGGTCGGGTTGCGCAGGAGCTGCCGCACGCACTCGTGCATGATCTTGTCGATCAGCATCTTGCGCTTGTACAGGTGGCCGATGAACTGGATGTTGCCGAACATGCGCCGGCGCGCCTTGAGGTTCGCCTGCTCGATCTCGAGCTCCTTGCGCCGCTTCTCGAGCTCCAGCTCCTTGGCCGACTTCTCGGCGTCCGTCTTGCCCTCGTCGTCGCCCTTGTCCTCGTCCGCGGCCTTGTCGTCCTTGTCGTCCTTGCCGTCCTTCGGGCGGTGCTCCATGTGCTCGTGGTCGAACATGGCCTTGGCGCCCTTCATGAACTCGTCCTGGCACTTGTTCAGCAGCACGCGCCGGAAGTCCGTCTTGCCCTCCTCGTCCTCCCACTGCGGGAGCCGCCCGGACCCGAACGCGCGCTCGCACAGCTGCGCGTACAGGTCGCTGAACGTCGTCTCCGTCAGCGCCTTGTCGAAGATCTGGTCCACCAGCCCCACCAGCGTCACCTTCTGCGGCATCTCCACGTTCAGGATCTTGTCCAGCAGCTTCTCGAAGTTGTCCGGCGTCAGCTTGTTCAGCAGGCTCTTGAACGTCTTCTGCCGCTTCTCCTCCTCCGGGTCGTCCCCCGACACCTGCCCGATGACGTACCGGTTGCCCGTCTTGTGCAGCGCGGGCATGTTCGCCGCCTCCGAGCCCCACCGGTCCGGCCCCAGGCCCGGCGGCGGCGTCGTGCGCCCGAACCCGCCGCCGCCGCGGTCGTCGCGGAACCCGCGCGGGCCCCGGTCGCCCATCGGCCCCCGCCCGCGCCGCCCCATGCTCCGATCCGACCCCCCGCGCTCCCACTGCGCGTCCCGCGGACCCCCGCGCCGGTCGCCGCCCCGGCCGCCCCCGCGCGCCCCGCCGCCGCCGCCCTGCGCGTCCCGCTTCATCGCGTGGATCGGGTGCGTCGGCGGCACGTCCGGGCTCAGCAGCGCCGCGGGCAGCTGGTCCGTCGGCCCCTCGTGCCGCAGCACCATCAGCTCCGACTTGCTGTACTTCTTCGGACCCTTGCCCGCCGCGCGGACCTCGTCCCCGATCTGCAGCTTCTCCTGCTGCAGCGCCTTGAGCCGCTCCATCAGCTGCCGCTCCTCCTCCTGCTTCGCCGCCATCTCGCGCTCCTTGGCCTCCACGGCGCGCGCGGCCTCCTCCGCGGCCTCGTTCTCGCGCGCCTTGGCCGCCGCCTCCTCCTGGAGCCGGGCGCGCTCCGCCGCCTCGGCGCGCTCCCGCTCCTCGCGCAGCCGCGCCTCCTCCGCCGCGCCTCGCGCGCCGCAGCCTCGGCCGCCTCGCGCTCCGCGCATCACGCCTCTCCTCCTCGGCGGCCGCCAGCCGCCGCCGCCGCCGCCTCCGCCTGCCGCCGCGCCTCCGCCTCGGCCGCGACGCGCCTCTCCTCCGCCTCGCGCGCCTGCGCCGCCTGCTGCGCCGCTGCCGCGGCCTCCGCGGCCTGCTGCTCCTGCGCGGCCTGCTCCTTCCTGCGCGTGCGCTCCGCCCAGCTCAGCCCGCCAGCGCCTGCGGCAGCGGCGGCAGCGCCGCTGCCCTGCACGCTCGAGCTGGTCGAGGACGGGCGCGACGTGGCCTGCTGCTGCTCGGGCTCCTGCGGCGCGGCGCCGCGGCCGCGGCCACGGCCGCCGCCCGCACGGGGCTCGCCACGGCCGCCGCGGCGGCGCCACGGCCCCGCCCGGCTCGGCGTCGCCCCGGACGCTCCGCGGGCGGCGGGGACGCCTGCGCGGCGGCGGCGGCGGCGTCCATCGGGACGCGGGTGCGCGCCGGCGGGCGGCGCGCGGGCGGCGGGCGGCGGCGCAGCGCGCACCGACTCAGGCACGCCGCCCGGCCCACGCCCGCACCGCCACCGGCGCCGGCCCCGCGGGCGCCGCGGCCACGGGCGCCGCAGCCACGGGCGCGTGCGGCCGGCGCCGCGGGGCCGCCTTCGGCCCGTCGGGCGCGTGAGGCGGCGCGACCGCGCCTCCGAGGAGCGCTCCGCGGGCGCCGCGGCAGCCTGCGCGGCCGTGCGCAACGCCTCGGCGCGGGCAGCGCGGTCACGGCCGCCGCGGGCGGCGCCTGCTGCGCGGGCACGTGCTTGGGCGCGGGCGCGGGCTCCGCGGGCGGCTGCGCCACCTGCGCGGGCTTCTTGTCCTTCTTGAGGTCGACGCTCTCGCCGGACGCGTCCGTGAAGCAGAGGGCCTTCTTCTTCGGGCGCTGCGGGGGCGCCTCGGCGTGCGCGGGCACGGGCCCGGGCGCGTCGGCGGCCCCCATGGGAGTGCTCACGTGCGGGGCGCCCGGCGCGGGGTACGGCACGTAGGGCGGCGCGACGTACTGCGGGGGCGCCATGGTGCCCGGTCCGACGGGCACGTTGGGGTAGAACTGCTGCGGCGCGCCCTGGTAGGGCATGCCCGGCCCGCGGCCGCCGCGGCCGCCCGGGGGCGGGTGCACGCCGCGAGGGGGTCCGCGGCCCTGCGCGTGGGTGCGGGGAGTTCGTGGGGTGAGCGGAGGGGTCGCGGAGAGGGGCGCGGGGGCGCGGGCGGATCCAGCGGGGCGCTGGGGAGAGAGTGGTGGGCTAGCTTGCCTGTCCCCTGCCGCCCTGGTTCGGGTTGGACAAGTGGATGGGCTGTGGATCGGCCATGGTGGTGAAACGGAGCTGTAACGCGGAGTCCGTGGTGGTGGTCCGCGCGTCGGTAGGCGACGGTGGGGTCGTTCGTGCGGCGCGAGAGCTCTCACGAGGCGGGTGCGCGCGCTGGTGGCGTGGTGGTTCGCCGGCCTCGCGATCGTCGGCGTTCCTGCGGAAGGGGGAGGGCGGAACGGATGGGGGTGGGCGGCCGGGCGGGCTGCCGCGGCAGGCGGGGCTCCGAGGCGGCAAGGGGGCTGAAGGAACGAGCGGTTTCCTGGGCGCGTGGCACCTCGCCGGCCCGGTCCGCGCGGGCGGGTGGGCGAGAAAACATTGGTAGCGTCGAGAACGGGCGGCGGCAACGCGTGGACGTGGCGCCCCGCGGCGAAATCGCGCTCTGTGATGCTGGAGGCGGATCAAGTGCCAAGACGCGCGCATATTTCGCGAGAGGTGCGTAATGCCGCTTCGGGCGCAACGTGCGAGTGGCGACGGTGCCGCGCGTGATTGCCGGCATCGCGGCACCGACCGTGCGGAACAACGGAACCGGTGGGGCCCGGCAGAATGTCTCGTGGCCAGCTCCCGGGCGTCCCGCGCGCTGGCGGAGCGCGGCGAGGCAGGCGCCGAATCGTTGCGAGGAGGATCGCGACAGCCGTGCCGGGATCCGGCTGTTTGCGGTGGGACGGGGGGCCCGTGGGCGGCGGCTCGAGCTCGGCCGTGCGACGTGCGCGCGCGCGCGAAGGACGGAGTTTTTCGCACCTGAGTGAGGCGGCTCACTTCTGGCAAAGACGCCGGCCCGTTCTGTCGCGCAAGACGGATTCCCACGTCGACGGGACGAGGTCGGGACTCGTCGCCTCGGTGCAGCACTATATCTGCACAATGGGGCGGGTCGAAACGGCACGCGTGAGGGGCCGAGAACGTGGCAACGTCGCCCGTTGCGCTGCTCGCGCGCGCTGGACACCCACGCGCGACGCAACACGGCGCGAGCGAGCGCCCGTTGTCCAGCCGCTTCCCCGCGAGCCGGGGCGTCCGCGGCCGGATCCCGCCGGCGCACAACGCTGTTCAAGCTGGACGGAAGCCCTTACCCGCTGCGCCCTCGCCACGGGCTGCCCGAGGGGCCCGCCACGCGCGAGGGAGGATCGAAAAGCGTGCCCAGATACGTGGATGGCGGAAACTTTCGAGTCGCGAAGTGCGAGCTGCTTGCTTGTCGCAAGATGTGCACCCTCCTCCCGCCCGCCCGGCCGCAAGGCGCCCCCGCTCCCGCCGCCAGACCTACTTTTCCTAGCAGGATTTCTTCTACCGGCCTCAGGCCTCCCGCACGGGCACCTCCAGCCGCCCCGCCGCGCCCCACGCCGCCCCTGCTCACGATCCATCCCGCGCGGCGCGGCATCTTCCGTTCCGACCGCCCCCGGCCGCGCGACTGGCCACGTGTGTTAACTGCGGCCTAGTCAACACGCGGCGATCCGGCGGCAGTGCGGGCCACCGCGGCGGCGACGCGCCCAGCGTGTCACACGTCCCACGTGTCCCCGTCAACCTTGGCCGCAGCGGGCGTCGCCGCCTGAATCGCCTTCTCCACCGCCCGCGCACGCTGCAGCGCAGCGCCAAGCCGCCTCGCCGCGGCGTCGTCGCCCCGCGCGTCGGCGTCCGCGTGCCGCTCCGCGACCCACGGGCCCACCGTGCCGCGCACCGCCCCGAGCAGCGCCGTCCGCAGCGCCCCGGCCCCCGGCGCCGACACCGCACGTCGGAACACGTCCCGCGCGTCCGCCGTCGACTTCACGCCCGTCAGGACGCCGTACAGCACGAGGCGGTAGAAGTCTCGCTCGCGGGCCGCCCCGCCGGGCCCGCAGGCCTCCCCGAGCTCGCCTGACTCAAGCACTGACAGCGGGAGGTGGAAGGCGGCGACGCAGTCGGCGACGAACCGCGCGAGGTTGGCCGCCCGGCGCGGCTGCTCGCGCGGCACCTCGCGCACGCGGTCGCGCACTGCGTACCGCAGCGTCGTGCGGTGCGCGCGCGACACCGCCGCCAGCCGCCCCGCCAGCACCGCATAGTACCTGTTGTACGTCCCCTCCGACAGGCAGCACTCGAGCAGCACGCGCATCACCTCGCGCTCCTGCTCGCCCTTGAGCGGCAGCGCGAGCAGCCGCTCCGCCGCGTCCGCCGCCCCGTCAGCGCCCATGACGCAGCAGAACACCGCGCGCCGCACGTCCGTGTTCATCCGCATGCGCGCCGCGAGCCGGAGGAGCTCCTGGGAGGTGGTGCCGCCCTCGAGGTCGTCGAGGCGCTGGCGGACGGCCGCGGTCGCCTCGCCGCCGCGTCCCTGGCCCGCGTCGGGGGCTGCGTCCGCCCCCAACAGGGCGCCGGCGGCGCTGCCTGGCAGGGCTTCGCCCGGCTGCAGCGACGGCGAGCAGCACGGAGCGTGGTCGGAGGGGCGCGCGCGTGGACGAGAATCCGAAAGATCGAGTGACGATGGACAGACATATATCGAAACAAGACTGCTGAGGGGCGCAGCGAGATGGCTTTCGTACCTGCAGGTTCCACCAAGCCCCGACGTGGCCGGCCCTGTCCAGGAGCTTGGCCCACGTCACGCTCCGCAGCTGCACCGCCTCGACGCCGAGCTGCCGCAGCCACCGCAGCTGCGCGGCCGACAGCACCGCCGTGCGGCCGCCCTGGCGCGCCCCGGCGGGCGTGCTGGCCTTGGCGCTCCTGCGGTTGTTCTTGATCTCGCACACGAGCTCGAGCATCAGCTCCGTGCGCTTACTCAAGCCCTGCCCGCCGCCCACCTCCGCCGCGCGCTTGTGCACGCCCACCACGAAGTCGCGCATGGCCACGGGGTCGTCGCTGCGCAGCGCGAGGCCGCACGCGTTCAGGACCGTCACCATGAGCGTCACGGCCACCTCGGAGAAACTGCAGATACCCGGGAGGCGCGGACAGGTATTCGAGAACCATAGACTGGTGTTGCACGCGCACATTCGAGTCTGAGTTTCGCGCGCGCGCGATCGCAGACACCACGGCAGGGCGGCGGCCTCACTTCTGCGTCAGGTGCGCGAGCAGCGAGAACGGCGTGGTCGCGTCCACGAGCCCCGCGGAGTAGACGTACGACGTCAACATAGTCAGGTTTCTCCCGCCCAACTCGTCGCCCTCCGCCACCGCCTCCTCGAGCCGCCGCGCCACGCGCGCCATGAAGCTCGCGGCCACCTCCTGCGACTGCGCCATCGCCGCAAAACCCGCCACGAACGCCGCAGCCGTCGCGGCGAACTGATCTGTGGCGCGCGGACCCTCCGACACCGCCGCCACCAGCTCCTCGCCGACCAGCCGCGACACCGTGCCCCGCCCGGCCTCGCTGTACACCCCGGCGACGTCCGCCACGATGCCCTGCATGTTCGCTTCGGCCAGCCGGTTCAGCAGCCCCCGCACCCGCCGCGCCGCCGCCGTCGCCTCCCCGCCCTGCGCGGCCCGCAGCGCCGGCGGAATGTACTTCGAACCGACCGCGGCCTTCGGAACGCTCAGTGCGCGCTCCGCCGGGGCCTGCACGGCCTCTTCGCGATCCTCGCCGCCGCTGCTGTCGTCGTTGTCGTCGTCGGAGTCCGCCTCCGTGCTGCCTGACGCCGTCGTCCCTGCACTCTCGGAGCCCTCGCTGGGGCTCGACGGCCCGTCGGCGTCCTCGAGCGAGCCGTCCGACGCGCCGTCTTCACTCCCCCCCTCGCTGGCGTCGGAGTCTTCTTCGCTGGAAGACCCCCCCATGCCAAACGGATCACCCCCCTCCCCCGACGTACTCGAGTCTTCGCGTCCGGCAGGAGGCGCCTGATCTCGTCGGGGTCGGCGCCTGCACCCGGTGAATCCGACGCAAATCCAATCGAGAGTGACGGAGGAACGGGCACAACGACCCTGCGAAGAGGTTCCTGTCGACGTTCAACTAGGATCGTCGGCGCGCACCTGAGTACCGCGAACGGGTCGTCGTCGCCGGAGTCGCTCGCGTCGGCCTCTGGCGCCCCCGAGGGCACGGGGGCGCCCCACTCACGGACGGCGGAACTTTTCAGACCCTTCAGGATGTCTCCCAGCCCGTCCTCGGCGCCTGGGATCTTCTCGGACTTGCGCTTCCGCATCCCGAGCTTCTTCTCCAGCTGCGCCATGTACCTGCACCGCCGTTCGACCCGAACCACCCACAGAGTTCACTCCGCAACATGAAATCCCTTTTGTTTCATCCGCGCTCTCAACAATCAACCATCGCGGCGCGACGACAGCGCAGCCGCCGTCGGCGTCGGCCCCGCTCCGCACCTCCTCTCCGCCTCGAACGCGTCCTTGTTCGCCCCGACCGGCATCTGTTTCGGCGCAGGTCCCTCCACCCCCCCTCCGGCATCGCTCTGCCGTCTGACACGAGGCTCCGCGTCCGACGGCGCCCGTCCCGGGCGCGCCCCGGGGCGCGCGTCGTGCCTCGCGCGCTTGGCCGGCGGATCCTGCGACCGCGGCCGCGCCTCGGCGGGCTGCGCTCGCCCGCCGTGGTTGCGAGCCGCCCACTGCACGCGGTGCTGCTTCTTCTCCTCCCGCTTGTTTTTCCGGCGCTCCTTCCGTGAGTGAATGCCGCTGATCGCGCGCTTGCTCTTCCGGTACTGGTGCCCCAGCGGCATCTGCGGAACCGGGCGCGTTCGGACATCCTGCTGTTGAGCTGCCACGTTGCCCAGAGGGGGGGCTAGCACGCGCCGACACACGCGCGTGGAGGACGAGTTCCTGGGCGGAACGTCAGTCTCAGATGATACCTGATCGTCGCCGCCGACCATCTCCTCGCGCAGAGCCGCGGGCATTCGCGGGCCGGGCCCTCTGCCGCCGCGCCCATAGCCATGGCCGTGGCCGTGGCGCTGGCCCGCGCCGCCGCCACGGCCACCTCCGCGGCCACGTCTATCCTGAGCCATCGACACGCTAGGCGGCCACAGCCGCCGCCTGGCCGCCTACGCGACCACCTGGGCGCGCTACAGCCCCTGCGATGATTCCTGCCGCCGCACGCGCATGAGCCTGCGCCGGTCGAGCACGCGCTCTGGCTGAACGGCGAGACCGCGAATGCACGCTCCCCTCGCGCGCGCGAAACCTCGCGACGGACTCCGCCGTCCTCGGCGCTGTCGTCAAGCAGGGGTGTCCCCTGACAACAGCGCGTGCGCCCGAGGCAGCGGGCCGGTGCAACGCTCCGCACGGGCGCCGGCGCAGCGCACTTCACGCCCCCTGCCCGTTCCTGCTCGCCGTTCGTGCGCGCCGCGGGCTCAGCGTCAGCAGGTGCCTGGTTGTACACGCGGGCTTGAGCGGTGCGTCGCCGACTGTAGGCATGGACGGCGGTGCGCGGTGGGCGACGTAGCGGCGGAGTAGCAGGCGCCCGGCGAGCTCGGCAGGATGTCGGACCGCCGCGCCGCGATGGCGGAGGCCGGGCGACGCAGGGTGAGTGCCCGCACCTTGGTGCCTGCTGCTCCGCGCACGCTGTGCCGGAGGGAGCTTCGCGCAGCTGGTCTTGAGGCGCCACGGCTGGGGCGTCTTCCTGGTCCAGACGGAACACATGAAGTGGGTCGTGCGGTCGATGGAGGGCGGCGTTCACTCATGGCGCGAAAGCCGAGCTGGGCCGGCACCGCGCGGCCGGGGGCGGCGCTGTCTCCGCGCGGCGGTAGCGACGTACTGAGCAGAAGCGCAGCGTGCGAGTGGCGGCTCGCTGCGCTAACGACGCCGCGCGACGGAAGGCTGGCTCCGCAGACCACTGCACGGCCTTGTGCCGACATATCGGACGCGGGGAAGCAGCCTTGCGTCTGCGAGAATGTGCCAGAAGAGCTGAACCAGGCGCTCGTGTCCATAGACATCGCAGTGTTCGCTGCAGCGCGCCCAAGCGGCGTTTGTTTGCACTGCATCGACCTCCCGCTGCTTCCCCGCTGGTTCGTGCAGCTCGAGGCGTTCCGAAAAGCAAAGGAAGGCAAGGGTCCGTCCGGTCAAGCCCAGCAGAGCGCGGCTCCGGCCACACCGCCGAAGCCAGCGCGGCCAGCTGCACCTGCACCGCTGCATCAAAAGGACGCCTCTGCCGCGCCCGCGACGGCCCCTCTCAGCGGAGACCGCGCGCCGCCGGATCGCACCAGTCCGTATAGCTCCATCAACGGCGGGCGCGCGGACATTACGCCCCCCGCGTCGCGCCAAAACGGCTCAGTCCGCTCAAGCGTCGATGCCGCGCGCGCAGAGCCGCCCCGGCGGGAATCCAACGGCCCTGCGCCGCCGTTTCCGCCGCCCAGCGCCGCGATAGACCACCAGCCCCCCGCCTTCCTCGCCCCAGCCACAGACCCCCCCCTCCCACCGCCCAAGGCGGCCCCGTGGATGTCGCACACACGCGCCAGCCCGCCCCGCGCAACGCCGCGAGACCGCGACCCCGCCGGCTCGCCCCGCGCGGCCTCGCCGCCGCCAGAGCCACCGCGCTCGCCGTCCCCGAGCCGCTACCTCAGCGACGACACGCGGCAAAAGGACGAAGAGATCCTGCGACGCATCATGGGCGGGACCGGCGCGACGACCGCGACGCCGGCGCTCCCAAGCGCGGACGCGGGCCCTCCGCCGCCGCTGCCGGGCGCCGCGGCGCCGTCCGGCCCGCCGTCGACGTCGTCGCGGGGGGGTGTTGCTGCGCGGGCGCAGGTGCTTCAGGACCACGTGAACGACCTGACGCAGGAGAACTACCGGCTCGTGCGCGCGGCGGAGGACGCGCGCAGCGCCGCCGCGGAGGCCGAGCTCGCCGCGGCGCAGCTCCGGCAGGAGCTGGCGCAGGCGCAGTCTGACGCAGCGGCGGCGCGCCGGGACGCGGACCGGCTGGACGGGCAGCTCAACGCGCAGGGGCTCGCGCTCGCGGCGATGGCGGCGGAGCGCGACGGCGCGCGGCGGGCCGCGGAGGACGCCGCGTCGCGCGCGCAGGCGCTGGCGTCCGAGGTGATTGCCTGCGAGGAGGCGCTGCGGCGGGAGCGGGCCGAGGTCGCGAAGCTGCGGTCCGGCGGCGGCGGGTGGGTGCAGGAGCGCGGGGAGCTGCAGCGGCGGCTGGGGCGCGCGACGGAGGCGCTCGCGGGCGCCGAGCGGGAGCGGGACGCGCTGCTGCAGCAGCTGGAGGGGGTGTTGTACGGGGAGTCTGACTCGGGGACGGCGCGGGAGGTGGCCGCGGGGGTGCGGGAGCGTGTGCGTGGGGCGACTGCGGACGCGGCGTGCCAGGCGGACCTCGGCGGGGGGCGGGCGGGCGGCGGAGTCCCCCGCGGGGGTGTCGCGGCGTCGTACGTGCAGATCTCGGACGCGTACCTCTCGCGCGGCAGCAGCCGCCGCGAGAGCCGCTCCGGTGCCGCGCCGCAGGCTGATCCGGAGCCCCCCACCACGGGCGCACGCGACCAGCCGCAGAGTCCACGCACGCGCCCGTCCCCCGGGGGTGCGTCGCCGCCGGCGGAGCCTTCGCGCGCGGAGGACGCGCCGGCGACAGCCGCGGCGGCGCCGGAGGTCGACGCGGCGGCGATGGAGGGCGCGCCGGCGTCCGCGCGGCTCGCGGCAGACGCGCTGCGGTGGATGGTGCAGCGGCACGCGGAGACGGCCGGGCTGCGTCTGTCGGCGCAGCAGCGGGAGGACCTCGGGCTGGAGCAGTCGGACGCGGTCCGCGCGGCGCTGATCGCGGAGGCGCTGGGCCCGGCGGCGGCGGCGCTGGTCCCGCAGCAGCGGGGACCGGAGTCGGCGTGGTGGGGGGGTCTCGCGGAGGCGGAGGCGTCGAGCATGGAGTCGATATGCAGGACGCTGGGGGACCTCGAGGACGAGGTGCTGGCGCTGAAGCGGCTCGTGGCGCACCACGGCGCGCGGGCGAAGGCGCTCGAGAGCGAGCTGGCGGCGGAACGCGGCGCTGCGATGCACGCGGCGGCGCAGCGGGCCGCGGAGGTCGCTGCGGGCGCGGGCGCTGGCGACGCGGCGCCGCCGGCGGAGGCGGACGGCAGCGGCAGCGAGCGCGAGCGCGAGGAAGATTCTTCGCCCGCGGCGGAGCAACCGCCGCCGAAACGAGGGTGGTTCTGGTAGCCGGCGCTTGCCCGGGACACCGACGCAACGGCGGTGTGTGCTGTGATGACGATTTCGATTTCGCGTCGTGCGCGGCGTTCGATAACCGAGGTCGAACCAGCGTGACGACGTACGTCTATCGAGCCAGCATGCCCGCATTTCGCATCAAAGCGCGAAACCTCAATGGTTCCTTGCACACACGCACAGCTTGGTGAGTCGGGCGGAGGCAGGCGCTGTCGCAGCACTCAGCACGTCGCAGCGCTCGTCCTTCCATCAACGACGCTGGGAGGTGCAAGCGTCGCCAGTGCAGTGCTCGCGCGAGCCGCAACGATACTAGTGCGGTTCACACGCCACGCGCCGTTCCAGGGACGTCGGCTCCCGCGCCATCGGCGGACGAGCGACTGCAGTGGCCAGACACCACTTATCGCGACCCCCTCGGCCGTCTGATGTGCCACTACGCTCGGCGAGCAGACAGCACCTGGACCTACCGGAGTAGTACTACGCACCGGTAGGTCCAGGTGCTGTCTGCTCGCCGAGCGTAGTGGCACATCAGACGGCCGAGGGGGTCGCGATAAGTGGTGTCTGGCCACTGCAGTCGCTCGTCCGCCGATGGCGCGGGAGCCGACCAGGGAGCGCGTCACCGCAGGCCCTCCAGCAGCCCCGTGCACCTCTCGAGCACGCGCTGGCAGTCCCCCGGGGCACTGATAGTGATGCACAGCCGGTGGGCCGGATTGTCCGGGTCGTAGCTGCCGAGGAACAGCTCCAGCGGATTGCGCACGCGGAACGACAGCCGTCTGCTCTTCTTGTCCAGCCTGCGTCGCGCAGCCGCGCAGGGGGGGGGCTGAGTCAAGCCGCTCCCGGAACGTGCGTGCGGTGCGCGGGGCAGGCGGCGACGTGGTCGCGCCTGGTTTCGGTGATGTCCCTGGCGTACATGACCATCTCGACGGTGCCGTGGCGGGGGTGTCTGAACTTGTATGTCAGCCTGTCTGACAGCACCGCGAGCCAGCCGGACTCCGAGCAGGCCAGCGTGCCGACCGCGAGCTTCGAGCACCGCACGCGCACGTCGCTGCTGCTGCGCTGCCGGGAATGCCTGCGCTGGCACCGTGGTGCATGCACAGTGAGCGCTGCACGGCCGTCGGAGACACGCGCGCGAGGGCGGGCGGCGACGCACCTCGACTTGATCTCCTCCGTCAGGGAGCTGAGGCTCCCGAGCGCGTCGGACACCGCTGACGCGACGCGGCCCGCGCCTGTGTTGCTGGGACCGAGCGTCCCCGGAGCCGCACGAGGTGCGATGTCTGCGACGCCTCTGCTTGGTTTCTGAGACCTTGGTACGTTGTTAGGATCCTGACTGGCAAGAACGGCCTGGCCGGGCGCTGCACGCTCGGCGGGGTCGTACAGAAGGCCACGGGGCTGGTATCCTCCTGCTCCGTCGCTCCAGACGGAGTCCGACGTCCCTCTCCCGGCGCCATGGTCGCGGTTCCGATCATGGCGCGTCGATCTGGTGCTTCTTGCGGGCGAATCCTTCGGTACCCCGGACCTGAGGGCCTTGTGTCGCTGCTGAGCCTTCTCCGCAGCGCGGGCGTTCATGCCGGCAAGCATTCCCCCGAGCGCGTCGAGGCCAGGAAGATCGAACTGCGAGGCAGGTGGCGCGCCGGTCGCGACCCGCGTCGACGTCGCATTCGTCGCGTCTGGCGCACATGCAAGTTGCTCCGCGCCCTGTGCCCGGCCGTCGAACCCAGGCTGCGCCGCGCCCCGCGGCCTGTTCCTGATGTGGGCCTCCTGGAACATCGTGTCGGCGGGCGGCTCCGCAGCGGCAGAAACCCCAGGCGGAGGTCAGCGCGCGACGCGGACGGCCACCGGGCACTGGTCGGTACTCGTTCGCGCTGAAATCCCGCGCGCACGGCCGCTCCCCAACAGCGAGCTGCACTCTACGCTGTCGTTCGGAGCCATGGGACGCCGCTCGGCGTGGAACTGAGGTCGGCCCGCTGCGTCAGCGACCGGAATCGGCCCGCCCGAGCGGTCGTTGTGACGCGCCCGACGGGCCGACCAGACGCTGTCCGACGCCGCGGCGCCGCCGCAGGGCCTCGATGGCGGCGCGGCGCGCGCCCACCGCGACATACGACAGAGCGTCTGTCTGGATCGTGCGCAGCAGTGCTCCGACGCCGCCCCTGTGGAGGAGAGCAGGTCACCGCGCGCAGCACCAGGCGCGCGAGGCAGCTGCCGGGCTCTGAGTGGCCGCGCGCCTCGCCGGCCGCATCTCTGGAGGCCACGAAGTACGGGGGGAGGGGACTGGCGCGGAGATTCGGGGCGGGCGCGGGTAGCGACGGGCTGTCTCGCGGCGCCTTGATGGAGAGCGTTTCTCTGCAGCGGCGGTCGATAAAGCGCCTGGTCATCGACCAGCCGGACGCCGCGGAGGAGGACGTGAGCCCGGCGAAGCGCCAGGCGTGGTGGTCCCCGCCAATGACGCGGAGCAGGGCGCGGAAGCAGGAGCTCGAGCTGCAACAAACCATGGTGCTCCAGAGCTCCAACATAGCCAACGCGGGCCCCCGGGTGCGCAAGTCAGCAAGCGGGAGCTCCGTTCTGGAGCGGACGCTGTCGGGCGCGAACGCCGCGGACGTCCCGACGCCGCCCGTGTCGCCCTCGCTGCTGGCGTCGCATCCCTTGGCCGACCACGAGAACGACCCCGAGGCCGGGCCGTCCGAGCGCGAGATCGCCGAGGCGCGCGCTGCTGCTGCCAGGCTCGGTATCGGCGGCACGAACCAGCCCGCGCTCGCGCGCAAGAGCCCGCAGCAGCGCAAGCTGCCTTCGGGGCCCGAACCTCAGGTGACCACCACCCGCTCCAGAGCCGCGCGAGCCTCCCCGCCACGGGCGGCCACGCCGCTGCCATGGAGATCCACCACAGCCCCCAAATTTCCGCAGCGAACGTCGCGAACCGCCTCGCGGACGCGCCCCCGGCAGCACGCTCCTCTGCTGAGCCTGCTCGTTGTGCGCGCGCGACGCTGTTTGCACGTCTTCGCGGGCCGCCGACGGGCGGGACCGCTCGCCCCGTACCGCTCACGCCCGAACCGCCCGCCGCGGGCGCAGCTCGGCGCCCTGCGAGGCCCTCCCGCGCTGCCACGCAGTTGATGCTGCTTGCAGCAGCCCACGCGCCGCAGCGCCGCCTCTGACCGCGCACGCGCTCCGTCCCTTTCGCGCTCGCAGCAATACGATATACAGTACACGCCGAGATCGGCGCTCCAGCCGCTGGAGTCCCCGCGCGAGGCCGCTGCGGGTGTGGCCGCTCAGCTTGCCGCCCTGCAGTGGCACACCGCCTTCGAGGCCCTCCACACGGCCCGCAGGTGCGCTCCGCACGCCCCAATCCGCCCTCCTCGCTCCGAACCGCCACGCCAGCGCGCCCCGGGGCGTCTCGCGCCCCCGTCGGCCGGACACGACCCCGCGGCTCGCCGCGTGCTGACAATGGCGAGCGCGGGGCCCCGGGCGAGCGCGCACCGCCGCGCCGCCGCGCCCGCGCCGTCCCCCCTGGCCACCGCGGGCTCACGAGGCGCGCGGGCCGTGCCGCGGGCGCAGGTTGGTCGCCCACCACAGGGCAGAGGTGCAGGACCGGGTGCCGGAGCTGCTGCGCCTCGTGCTCAAGTCGCTGCGCAGCCCGCGCAGCCAGCTCTGCAAGGCCGCGGTCATGTGCGCGGGCGACTTCTTCGACGCGTTCGAGGACGAGGTCGCAGGTGTGTGGCGCTCCTGCCGCGCCTGTCACTGCACCCGCGACGGCGATCGCGCCGGGCGCCCGGCGCGCCGCAGCTTGGCCGCGGGAGCCGAGCTGGGTCGCGCTGCGGGGGTTTGACGCGCCCTGGGGCCGTGCTGCGCGCGCAGGCGAGGTCGACAAGGGGGGTGTGGCGCGGCCGGCGGAGAGCATCGTTCACCAGCTGCTGATCAAGGCGACGAGCAACGACAAGAAGTTCGTGTCCGAGGAGGCCAAGGCGGCGCTGGCGGAGCTCGCGCGCACCCTGCAGGCGCCCAACGCGACGAAGGCGAGTCCCGATGTGCCCACAGACACCGTTTCGAGAATCTCGGTGCCGCGGTCAGCCAGGTCTGCCCATGCCGTGCTCACCCGTCGCCCTCGGCCGCGCGTGCCAAGCTGCAGATGTTCGGGGCGTACTGCGCGTCGCACCGCAACCCGCGCGTGCGGGGGCAGGCCGCCGCGACGCTGGCGGAGGCGGCGTGGAACGCGCAGCCGGCCCGCCTGCTCGAGGCGTGGCCGCTGGGGCGCGCGCTGCCGATCGTGGCGGCGCTGCTGATCGACCAGGCGCCCGAGGCGCGGGAGGGTGGGCGGCGCATCGCGCGACGACTGCAGCAGGGGGTGGAGGGGGGAGGGGGTGACGCGGAAGCAGGGGGAGTTCCGGGGGCGTGGGAGCAGGCGGTGCGGTCGCATCTGAAGCCGCTGGAGGCGCAGAAGGTGCTGGCGGTGGCCGCGGGGTCGCCGGCGTGAGGCGGAGCAGAAGGGGCGCGGGAAGAAAGTGTGAGATATGAAAATGGTATCTCGGCGCAAAATTGTGTCAGGCGCGGGCTCGCGCGCCTCGCAAGCCAGTGCGCGCTCCGTAGGCTGTGCGCGGTGGCTTCCGCGCGCGCCCCCCCTCCGCGGGAGCCCCGCCGGGGGCCACGTTTTGTGCCCCCAGCGTCATGGGCACTTGCGCGTGTGTGGCGGGCGTTGCGCGACGCGCGAGGATCGCGGCGGGATCGCGCGGCCTGCGGGGTGCGCGGGGTGTCGCGGCGCGCACCGGGCGGCCCGCGCCGGGTGTCCGGGGCGCGGCCGAGGTACTAGCAACCGTCGCCCGACAGTCGGGCGAGTCGTGAGGTCGCGCGAGGGGCGATAGGGCGGCCCCTTGGTGCGCAGCGGGCATTGATCTGTTCCGGTTGGAGCTGTACGGAGGGGAGACGCACCGCGACTGGGCGTGGCGAGTGCGAGACACCGGGCAGTACTCGCGACGGGAGCACGATGAGGAGCTCTTTGGATCCCGAGAAGAAGGCGAAGCTCCTTAGAATTCTCGAGAAGGAAAATGCGAAGAAGTCCGCCGAGGCTAAGGTGCGCGCCCACGTCGCCCCGCCGCTACGAGGGCCGTTCCCCCTGATCAGCCACCTCCACCGCAGCGCCCGCACGCCTGCGAGCGGCCCGCGCCGGCGCGTCGCCGGCAATCAGGCCCGCGACGGATCCGCGGCGGCGCCGTCCGGGGCGATTATTCGCGCCAGCAGCGCGCCCGTGGGTGCCCAGTGCTCCCAGCAGTGTTGCCTGTGCTATTCTTGTGCGCGCCCCGCAGCGCCGCTCCGTCGCCCCGTGCCGTCGTTCGGGGCCAGATCCCAGCACAGATACCTCCAACGCACCCTGCGGGACAGCCTGCGCGCAACGCCACCGCGCACCTGCGCTGCATCGCGCGCTGCCGTGACGGCGCTGCACGTTGGCGCGCGCAGCGCCCCCAGGCCGCGGTTCCCCGGGCCGCCCCGGCCGTGGATGCGTGACGGTGAACCGACGCGGCGGGAGCACCCGCATCCCGTCTCGCGGCCCCGGGAGCGGCTGCGCGGCGCAAACGAGGCGCATCTGCGCCGCGGCACGCATCCGGGCGCCCGCACGCGCAGCTCCCCGCAGATATCCGGCCGAGCGGCCCGCGACGCGACGCTTTGTAGCGTTCCTGAGCACGCGGATGCGCGGTTTCCGCGCCGGACCCCGGCCGCTGACGCTCCGGGCCGTCCCCCATGCCGCTGCAGGTGCCTGTGAGGCGCGAGCCGGCCAAGTTCCGGCACACGCTCATGCACGCGGCGGGCTACAGCAACGAGCCGAAGACCGAGGACGAGAAGCGCGCGCTCCGGGCCTCGCTTGTCGCGAAGCGCGGCACGAAGGTGCGTGTCCGCGCGGCGCCTGCGACACACACACACCCGCCGGCTCCCCCGCTCCGTCCGGCCGGGCCCCGCGACGCGGCAGCGCTCAGGCGAGGTGCGGCTGTTTCTGGGCGTGCAGGTGTCGATCGGGGGCAAGGCGTCGACGCAGGCGGGCACGACGGCCGCGGAGAGGTCGCAGAAGCGCGCGGGGGAGCGCAAGGCGTCCCCGCGGCGGCCGAACGACTTCGCGTACGAGGAGGAGAAGCACGAGCCGTCGTACGTTGCGCAGCTGGCCTCGCAGGCCCGCGAGAACCGCGCCCAGTCGGGCTGGGCGCTCATGACCAACTTCGCCGACACGCTGACTCAGTGGGAGGACCAGGAGCGCCGCAAGGAGAAGCGCAAGTGCGTCGCAGCCGCGCCCCGCCCCCGCACGCCCGCCGCGCCCATCCACGGCGCCTCCGACGCCCCGCCCGCGCGCCCACTGCCGCCGAGCCGCACTCCCCCCCCCTCCGCAGGGTCCAGGCGGAGCAGCGCAAGCTGCTGGACGCGCAGATGGACGAGATGAAGCGGAAGGAGGACATGGAGCGCGAGGAGCGGCAGCGCGAGTACGACATGATGAAGCTGCAGGTGGAGGCGAACAAAGCCAAGGAGGCGGCGGCGGCGGCGAAGCTGCGCGAGGATGGCCGGCGGCGCGCGGAGGACGCGCGGGAACAGCTGCGGCGCGCGGGCGCGGCGCGGGAGCGCCAGGCGGCGGCGCGGCGGCGCGCGGAGGAGGAGGAGCAGCGCCGGATGGCGGAGCTCGAGGAGGCGGACAAGCGCGAGAAGGCGGCGCGCGTGGAGGCGGCGCGGCGCGACATGGAGCGGACGCGCGCGGAGAACGAGGAGCGCAGCCGGCTGAAGCGCGAGCGGCTCGAGCGCGAGCACGCGGAGGAGAAGGCGCGGCTGCAGAAGCACCTGGAGCACCTGGAGGAGCTGGACCGGCAGCGGGCGAAGCGGCTGGAGGACTTCCACAAGAGCATCGCGGCGCGGGCGACGCGCGCGGGCGAGATGGCGGTGGCGGACCAGAAGGAGCGGGAGGAGAGGGAGGAGGCCATGCTGGCCAAGTTCCAGCAGGAGCAGGACGCGCTGGAGGCGCGGAAGGCGGAGGCGCGGAAGGAGCTGGAGGCCAAGGTGCAGGAGGACCTGAAGCGGGCGCGCGCGGAGCAGATGCGGCTGCGCGAGGAGGAGCGGCAGGCGGAGCGGGAGCGCACGCGGCGGTACGTCGAGGCGATGCGCGCGCGGGAGGCCGAGGCCGCGCAGAGCGAGGCGGAGGAGGCGCGGAAGAAGCGCGAGCGGAACCTGAAGCACCGCGCGGAGCTCGAGCGGCAGATCCGCGAGCGCGAGGAGCGCGCCGTGCTGGAGGATGCCGTCATGACGGTGCAGGAGGTGAAGCTCAACGACCAGATCCTGAGCCAGGCCGAGGGGCTGCTCGGGAAGCCCGTGGTCGGGAAGCTCATCACGCCGCGGGAGGACCTGCGGTACAGCGTGACGGGCCGGTTCGAGTGAACGCGCAGTGGGCGCAGCTGCGTGTGGGCAGGCGTGGCGTCCGCGGGCTCCTGCGGGCGGCGGGGCGTTCGGGAATAATTATACGGCACAAGTTGCGTGTGAAGCGTCGCGAAAGAACCCTGCGGCGCCCGCCGGGACGGATCGTCGCCGTTCATGGCTCGACTGCATGTCAGACACACGCAAAGTATTAATTGACACGCCGCCGCCGTGCCCCCCCCCTGGCTGATACCAGCGCCGTGGCGGCGTCGAAATCACCGGAATCACAGCGAGTCTCGCGCGCGGCGCGCCGGCCCCCGCAGCGCGCGTCTTGCGCGGGTGTGTTGACCACCCTCATGCGGCAGCACCGGCGCGGTCCTCCAGCGCAGCCAGCTCGTCCTTCCGCAGCAGCAGCTCCGCGACCGCGTCCTGCACCTCGTCGTCCTCGTTCGTCAGCCCCTGCTCCTCCTTCAGGCTCCGCACCAGCGCGGCCTGCTCGTCCACTGCCGCCCGCGCTGCGGCAACTTCCTCCTCGGACGGAGGCCCGTCCTCCTGCGCGATCTCGACGACGCCGCCGGCCTTGATGACGCCCTGCGCGCCCGTCTCGAGGTCCTCGAACGCGTCGAAGATCGCCGCCTGGCCCAGGGGGGTCCCGGAGGGGGACTCCACGTTCCACAGGACCAGGTTGGAGACCTTGAACTTGGACCCGTCCTTGCGCACGCGCACGCCGGAGTAGTTCTCGATGTAGCCCTTCTCCGCCGCCTCGTCGAGCAGCCCGTTGCGCTCGGTCTGTGGGCACACGCAAAGCGCAACATGCTACGTTCAAGGCGTGGTGTTCGCGACACAACGTCCCTGTCTGGATGCCGGGTGACGTCGCAGAGCAGGGCCAGGCCGGGAACAGCGCCGCGAGATCGCCCCGCAGCCAGGACGAGCACACGCAGCTCGATGACACCACCCAGGCGTGGGCCCGTGTCGGCTGGGAGCGCGCGCTGCGGCCTCACCTGCACGGCTTCGTCCGGGTCGGCGGTCTTCGAGCTCTCCAGGCCGATGATCTCGTCCCACGTGTACCCCCACAGGTTCTGTGCCGCCTTGTTGGCGTAGTTGTACTTGCGCTCCGTGGTGTGCGACAGCAGCACGAACGGACCGTGGTACAGCTCCTTCGACGCGTCCTGGATCTCCACGTCCTCCATCGACGGGTGGATCGTCCGCCCTACCTGCGGCGACGCGCGGCGCGCCACACGACTGCGTCTGAGCCGCCCGGCCCCCCGCGCGGGCTGGGTAGACAGTCCGACGGGTGGGGAACGAGTGCCTACCTTGCGCTTGTACGACTCGATGAGCAGCAGGGTGTGCATGATGGTGTCGGTGGCCTCGAACGGCTCCTTCTGCTTCACGGCGTCCATCAACGACCCCGGACCCTTCTTCTTGCCCCCGCCCTTCTTCTTCCCGCCCTTCTTCTTCGCGGCCATCGAGACGTCGCGCACGGCCGGGGCGTGGAAGCCCCCGCGCGACGGAAGCGGCGCGGCGGCCGTCGTGGTCCTAGGCGCCAGGCATCTGCAGGGACAGGCGCACAGTGCACACGTCGGACACTTGTGTCGACGTCGAATTGCTGACGCATATGCGGTGTACCCAGGCCGCCAGATGGGAGGAAAATGGGCGCGCGGGGCCGGCGTGGGAGGGAACGGCAGGGGACGCAGAGCTGCGCCCATCCACACCACTGATGGGCGGCGTGGCGCGCAGCAAAGCAACGAACGCGCGCGCTCGCTGGCCACGAGTATGTGGACCGCTTGCGGTCTCCCGCACACGCGCAGCATCAAGCAAGGCGTCGGACGAGCTGAGCGCAATGCCGCAGAGGAGGCCTGCACCATCGCCACACGAGTCCGGGCGGGGATGGCGCGCGCTCGTGCACTGAGAGGCAGCGAATCTGGCTGAAAGCGATGGTTCTGACAGCGAAGCAGAGAGCGCGGGCGTGTGGGCCAGGCAAGCGTCGTCGATCCGGCGGGGCACGCGCCTCGCGCCCGCTGCTGCACTGGCCAGGAGGGGCCTGCGGGCCAACAGGGGCTGCATCGTCGCCGCCGTCACCGTCCTGATCTAGCTGCCCCTCGCCGACGTCGTCAACTCGCCGGGCGCGCCAGAACCGTGCGCTCAATCGCGAACTGCGCCCTCCGCCCGGCCGCGCAAGCCTTTGGTGCCCCCCTCCCATCTTCACGTCCCGGGGGGTGTCTGGACCTGACTCGGTGCGCCCGCGACGCGCTGACCGCGTCCAGCAGCGTGCCAGGAGCGCGCACCTCGCTCCGACCCTCCCGAGCGCTTGAGTCGGTGTCGAGAAAGTTTCACTCACAACCATGATTCAATATGTCCCTGCGACCGCCCCTCGCCTATCTTGCGTACCTCTCCCGGATCGTCCACACGTCCATCGCCCCCCCCGGCACCGACGGGTCCGTCGCGGCCGCCACCAGCGCCCGCGCCAGCACCGCCACGTCCACCGGCGGCACCGCAGCCGCGCCCACCAGCGGCACGCTCCCGACCGCGCGCGCCGCGGCGTCGAGCGCCGGCACGCGCTTCAGTAGCCCGTCGATCGGGCCGCCGACCATCTGGAGCGGCAGCGTGAACGAGCCCACCGCGCGCGGGCCGTACACGAAACCAGGACGCATCGCCACGCCTGCGCGAGACACCCCCGGGACGGAGGGGGGTGTTTTGATTGGATCGCGGACTCGGCTGAATTTCGCTGGAGGCGCGAAACCGGAGAAAGGCTCGGTGCGTGGTCTCCGAGGCGTCGTGATGAGAGGCGTGAGGGCCCAGCAGTGTGCCACGCGGGCGCCGCGCACCGTCGCTTCCGTAGCACCGCGCGAGCGCGTCCTCGGACTTGGCCTTCCCCTCGAAGTACCCGCGCAGCGGCACGGGCTTGAACGCCCCCTCGCGGTGCACGTCGTGGACCGAGACCAGAGCGAAGCGCGGCACGCCCGCCGCCTTGCAGGCCTCGATGGCCGCGACGTTCGCGTCGCCGCACACGCGGAGCATGAACTCGTTGCTCCCGAACGCGCCCACGCACGACACCGCCCCCATCGCCGTCTGCACCGCAGCGACACACGCAGACGCGCACACCCGACTCAAGTCAAGTCGTTCCACCGGCGACGGACGCCCCCGCCGCGCGCGCACATCGGCGCTCTGGCACAGTGCCGCGCGGGGCGGGCTGAGCGACCGAGGCCGCCCATGCACAGCCGCTCGGGCTGTAACTAACTAACTAGGCGTGCGGCCCTCAAGTGAGCGACCGCGACGAGTCCCTCCCAGCGCACGCGAAAATCAAGGTAGCGGACGGCCAGGCAGGCGCGCAGCCCCACTGCGCGGCGTCGTTTCGTGCGTTGCGCACCTCGAGGCCTGCGGCATCAATGTACGTCGACGGGTTGAGCGCGTCCGCCGCGACCCACTCCGTGGCCTCCACCCACGGCCCGCGCTCCTTCGGCTGCCCCGAGCGGCACACCGCGGTCACCTCGAGCCCCTGCGCGAGGGCCTCGCGACACACCGCCGACCCCACGAAGCCGTTCCCGCCGAACACGACGATCCGCGCGTCGCGCTCCGGCTCCTGCTCGCCCTGGTTCGTGCCTTCGTAGCCCGCGCCCTTCCCGATGTCCTGCCCGGCGGACGTGCTGAACGTGCGCGGTGGCGCGGGACACGAGCGGGCCGTCCTGGCGCCGGACGAGGCCGAGAACGTGCGCAAGATGCTAGCGTAGTTGTAGACACTGGTGCTGTGCGCGGCCTCGGAGGCCAGAGACGTCCTGCGAGGCGAATCCGGGCACGCGACGCGGCGAAGCCTGTGAGTGGTGATGCAGGGGCGGTGGCGCGGAGTGGCCGCGGGCGATCCGCGGTTCGCTCGCTCTCCAGATAGAGCCGGTGGGCGGCGACGGGTCGGGGCGGTGACGGTTCGCGGTGGTGCTTGCGCGCGGCAGGGGGTGCTGCTCTAGGGCCCAGAAAGAGGGAGACCGCGTAGCACGGGCCGCTCTGAGGGCATTGTCGTGCGAGTGCTCAAAACTCAACGTCCTGAAGCAGGGATATCAGTTGAGGGGAGTTCGACAGGGAGAGAGCACTTCGGGAGGTCCGTGCGCGGTGCACTTGCCCGCTCGCGGACAGAGCCTGCGCGGCATGCCGCAGCACGCCGCTCGCGATCCGTTGCATGGCGCCCAGCCGCGACGTTCGACCCGCGCCCCAGCCGTCACGAAATGGCCCGCGCGCGGAGCCGGCGCAACGCACCAGAGCGGAGACCGACCCACGGCGCGGCGCGGTCGCAACACACCTCCCGCAACACCCCCGGGATCCGCACGTCCTCGCGCCCACGCCGCGGGGCCTCCCGCCAGTCTGCGCTGCCTCCACGCGGCGTCTCGAAACGCGCCCCGGTGGCGCCCAGCACGGGTCGCTGGCTTGCCTCAGAGGCTCCTGGCGCCGGGTAGGGCGCTCGCTCGCTTGTGGGGCCTGACGGGGCTCGACTTGTCCCGGAACTCGATACTCGGCTCGCGAAAACAGCGAGCGGAGCGCGTACGGTGTCTCGGCGCAGCTAGCACAAGCGAACGCAGCGCCGCTCGCGCGGGCTGGCAGCGCGCCATGGCGGCCCGGGCCCCAGCGTCCGGCGCCGCGCGCAAGCAGCGCCAGGCGGCCGGCGAGCCGCTGCGCGCGCCGTCCAAGCAGGAGCTCGCGAAGGCGCGGGAGACGGCGCTGGCGAAGAAAACCGCCGAGCTGCCGGACGCCGTCAAGGAGGCGCTGCACGGGAAGGCCCCGGAGGCCGCGGTGTCTCTGGTCCTTCACGACAAGGTGCGCGGCGCAGCGGGGCCGGCGGCGGCCGCGCTGTGGCGGGCGGCGGCCTGCGCGCTGCGGTCTTCGTGCTGGGGCCGCGGGGAGGCGGATGGCGGTCGCACGCGGCGGCTCCGCACGGCACGACGCGCGTGCCGCCTGCCTTGGTGCCCTAGGGTATTGTTGCGTTGGTTTCCGCGAACGTGAGACGCGTGGCTGCGACGCTGTGGCGATGCGAGTGCTGAGACAGGCATCGCGCCGCGTGTGCTGGGCCGCAGGGGCTCGATTCGGCGGAGTTCCTCTCGATTTTCCGGTCGCTCAAGACGCTGGACTTCTCGTTCAACCAGCTGACCTCCACCAGCGGGCTCGAGACGCTCCAGGGACTCAAGCAGCTGCTGCTGTATGAAAACCAGCTCTCCTCGATCTCAGGTGCGCCTGCTGGCCCACGCAGGACACCCGGAGCGGCGCACGAGCCCCCGCTGTGCCAGGCGGGCAGCCGAGACCCCCCCGCCACGCATGCCCCCCACGCCTCGCCGTTGACCCCGCGCGCGCCCCGTCGATCCGTGCAGACGTCCTGTACATCACCTCGCTCCAGGAGCTCTCGCTCGAGGGCAACAAGATGACCGAGCTCCCGCAGCTCATGGCGCTGCGCAACCTGCGCTCCCTCAACGTCTCCGGCAACCAGGTGTGTGTGTGTGTCTATCTGTTCAAGTGTTGCAAGGCGGCTCCCGGCGCGGGGGCGCGGCGCAGGGCCGCAGCCGAGCTCGCCGCGCCGTTCCTGCCGCCTGTGCGTTGTTTGCCGCCCTGGCGCGCGCGCCGGTCAGCTGCGCGCGTCCTCATACGCTGCGTCCATCGTGTGGCTCCGTTCGTCGCAGCTCGAGGCCCTGGAGCCGCGCAGCTTCAAGGGCCTGGCGCAGCTGACGACACTGCGCGCCGAGCGCAACCGCATCAAGGACATCCGCGGCGTGGGCAGCTGCCCCGCGCTCCTGGAGCTGACGCTGGCCAGCAACGACCTCCGCCGGCTGGACGGCATCCAGCACTGCACGCAGCTGCAAGACCTGGTTCTCGACGGCAACCCCCTGGGGTCGCTCGCGCACCTCCGCCCGCTCGGGCCCGCGCTGGACGCGCTCAGTCTGTCCGAGTGCCGCCTGACGTCAGTTGCCGCCCTGCCCGACGGGCTCGAGGCCCTCGCGGAGCTATACCTGCAGGGCAACGAGCTCGCCTCCGTCGAGGGCCTCGCGGCCAAGTGCCCCGCGCTCGAGACGCTCGACCTGTCGGACAACCTCCTGACAGACCCGGAGTCGGCGAAACGGGAGGTGTCCGCGCTCGGGGGCACCCTCGCGGACCTCCTGCTGCGCGGCAACCCGATGATTGGCACCACGGTGCCGCACGACGAGTACCGCGCCCAGTTTTGCCGCGCGGCGGGCCCGGCGCTCCAGACGCTGGATGGCGCTGCCGTGACGCTGGGCGACCGGCACGGAGGGGAGGCGGGGCCCGGGCGGCCGGGCGCGGGCGGCGGCGCGGACGTTCTGCGGCTGGACGGCGACGACGACGGCGGCATCGGCGGCGACGTCGGCGGCGGCGGCGACGGCGGGGTTGAGCGCGAGCTGGCTGCGTACATGCAGCGGATGAAGATATCGGCGCCGGCGGAGGCGCTGGAGGGGATGGGCGTGGACCCGGTGCTGCTGGCGGAGGCGACGTCGGCGGCGCGGCGGGGCGGGCGGCCGTCGACGGCGTCGCGACCGACGACGGCGCAGGCGATGGGGGCCAAGGTGGGCGGGGGTCCGCCGCTGATGCACGCGCGGACGTCGCAGCGGACGGGCGCGGGGGACGGCAAGCGCGTCATCGGGGCGGAGGAGTTCGCGCGCAGCGCGCAGGAGTTCAGGTGATCCACATGCCCGCGCGCACCGGCCCACACGCCTCACAACGCGCCCCCGCGGAGCCGGCCGTGCGCGCGCACGTGCTTCCTACTACATAGCCCACGTCCGACGTGCGCGTCGCGGCGCCCGTGCGATGCAGGGACGCGATGGACGGGTACGCGCAGCGCATGCGGCAGGTGGTGGAGGAGCTCCAGCGCGACATGGAGGACGACGCGGAGACGCTGCTGGAGCGTCTGAAGAAGGAGAACCGCCTCGACGGCCCGAACCCCATCTCGGTGGAGTTCCCGCAGTTCCCGAAGTTCGAGGTGATGCTGCCGCGGCTGCCGGCGCGCGAGCCGGACGACGCCGGCGCGACGTCGAGCGAGCAGGCGCGGGCGGCGCGCAAGGCGGTCGAGGAGGCCATCGGCCCGGCGCCGGCGCTCCCGAGCCGGGACGGCGCGAGGGAGGACCGCGGGGCTGGCGGGGGCGGAGGTGCGCGGGCGCGGAAGCAGGCGGGGAGCGGCGAGGGTGCGGAGGCGCAGGGGGGCGCGGAGGAGAAGGGGTTCCGGGGCAAGGTGGACCTCTCGATGCGGGGGCTGCGGCCCGAGGGGGGGTTTGTGGTGAACCGACTGAAGAAGGGCAGGGGGGGGGTGTTGCGGGGCGGGGCGCGGCGCAGCCGAAGAAGGCCGCGTCCGCGCGCTTCCAGGCGTCCAAGACCCCCGCGAAGGCGCCGTCCAGCACCGGCCTGACTCCGGCCAAGGCGAAGAGCTTGAAACTCCCCCCCGGCGGGAGCCCCCCGGGCCGGCAGCCCGGCGCGAGCCGCCGGAACCTCGGCGCCGTCGGCACGCCCTCGCCGAAGAAGCAAGGCGCGCAGGGTCCCGCCGGCGGCGGGGGGAGCGAGCCCCCCGCGCTGCCCGCGGACATCGCTGCGCTGCTCGCGCAGACCGACGCGCTGCTCCACACCGCGCCGGGCGCGAACGGCCCTGTCGGGTCGCCGCGGCGCCGCGGGCCCGCCGCGGACGTGTCGCCCGTCAAGGGCGGCGGGGGGGGTTCGCCGGCGCGGCCGCTCAACCCCCTGGCCGCAGCGGCGGCGCAGCCGGCGTACGAGGACGAGTCGGACGGCGAAGGGGATCTGGTGCGCGTAGAGAGCGGGGAGTTCGACGACCTGTGACACGTTGTGAGCGAAGACTGCACGTTGGCTGCGTCGCGACGCGTGCAAGCGGCGAGCCGGCCGGTTGTTCGCTAGAAGCGGCGCGCGGCGGTGCGCAACGATTCCACGGATGCGGAGATCGCGTGTCTGCAGCAGGCCGAGCGCCGCGGCTGCGCGCCGCGGCTGCGCGCCCCGCGCGAGTTGAATTGTTGCAGCGAAACGTCGTCGCGGAAATCGGACCTCTTCCGGCCGCATAATCGCTCCTCCCGCGCCGCGAATCGATGCATCGGCGATAGGTTCGCACAGTTGCGTGGACACGCGCACCGAACCTGGCAGCGCGGGCCGATTCTGCGCGCGGCAACCAGGCGCGTCGTCAAACGAGGCGTCCTCGGCCACCCGCAGCTGGCGCCACCGCTCCGTTCGCCCTATGATCGCTCATTTCCCGCCCGTCGTAAGGCGTCGCGGGTGCGTCGGGGCCGTTCCGTGGCCGCCGCGGGCCTCACGTGCGTCCTCGGCGCTCACATGCAACCCTCCAAGCCCGCTGCGGCGGTGCGGCGCGCAGAATCCGGCGTGTTCCGGCGGTTTTCGATCGCGCTTCCTCTGGGCCGGGCGCCCCGATGGAGATCCGCGCGCGTCGCGGGGACCGCGGCCGATTCTGCGGCGACAGAGCACATGCCTGGGAGAGCGTGCACGTGACGCAGCGCTGCTCGCGTTCGCCGCCGCAGACCCCGGCCCCGCGACGCGGGTGCCGCGTGGTGACGTTGCACGCGGCTCCGTGGGACCAGACGTGCGAGGCGGACCCGCCCCGGTGGGTGCGCAGGACGTCGCAAGCATGCTGCCGCAGAATCGGCCCGCCAGGTCGCAGAACCGGCCGTGTCGATGCGCAGTGATGCCGCTGGGGCGTGATACGCACGAGGGTGGATGCGCGCGAGCAAGGCGGCCGGCGCAGGAGGCCGCGGGCGACCGTTGCGCAGTGGTGCACCAGGCCTCGCGGCGCTGCGGCCGTGCGTCGCCTTTCCGGCCACGCTGCGGCGCGAATGAACGATTTGCGGAACGTCACACGTGTTCGACGGCCAAACGCGCCCTGGCGCGGGGCTGAGCGGCGAGCGCTGGCCCCGCACTGGCTATGCGCTTCACCGCGCGCTGTCCGGGCCGTTTCCGCGAATCACGCGCGGGTCATTCCGCTCAATGCGTCGCTTTCGGCCCCGGGAAGCGTGGAAGCGGCCCCGGGAGCGGCGGTTTCGAGGGGCGACGAGCGCAGTCACCGAGGCGCAGGCGAGGGGCTCGTCTCGGCGGGCGAGAAGCTCCGTTCCCCCATCAAGCGGGCGCAGAAACCTCATTCCGTCCCTGCGACGAGCGGCGACGGGGCTGTCCCGCGCCCGCGGCGCGCGCGCGCTCTGCGAGGGCGTGGGAGGCTGGCCACCCGGTGGCGCACTCGGGCCGCTCCGGGCGCAGGCCAGGCCGCGCGCAGGGTGCTTCGGTGCGACACGAGGCTGTGCGCGCCGGCCGCGTGCGGCGGGCGGCGTCGGAGGAGCCGGGACGGGCGCAGAGGGCTCAGGAGCAAGGCGGGGACGCGTGGGGCGCGAGCGGCGCCGGTGAGGGCTTTCCGGAGGGATGGTGTTAATAGAAACACCGTTTTTTGTGTGTGCTGCTGGGCAGCACGGTTTTGTTGCCGGCGGGGCCGACGGTTTACGCGCGCTCACCGCGGATGCGGCGGGCGAGCTGGATGTCCTTGGGCATGATCGTCACGCGCTTGGCGTGGATGGCGCACAGGTTGGTGTCCTCGAAGAGGCCCACGAGGTAGGCCTCGGCGGCCTCCTGCAGCGCCAGGACGGCCGACGACTGGAAGCGCAGGTCGGTCTTGAAGTCCTGGGCGATCTCGCGCACCAGACGCTGGAACGGCAGCTTGCGGATCAGCAACTCCGTCGACTTCTGGTACTTGCGGATCTCACGCAGAGCCACGGTACCGGGCCTGTAGCGGTGCGGCTTCTTCACGCCGCCCGTGGCCGGGGCCGACTTGCGGGCCGCCTTGGTGGCCAGCTGCTTCCTGGGGGCCTTGCCACCCGTGGACTTGCGAGCAGTCTGCTTGGTACGAGCCATCTTGTCTGAATGTTATATGCCGGTGCGGGCGGCGCGCCGGGCCCTTGAGGCCGCCTGGAGCTCCGGGCGGGCAGACCGGTGGCCTGGGGTGTCTCGACCGACTACGTGCCAGCCTGGTGCAACGACGTCCCGTCGCCGCGCACCCGTAGCAGGAATTCCGGACTTGTTTGGACCGTTGGACAGACCACGAATTATAGAAGTCGGGACGGTCGAGAGGTCGGGTCGGGGCGGTGCGGAATCCGCTCGGTCGCGGCCGTGTCCCCCCCCAGGCTGACGGTCGACCCGAGGCCGCCTTTGGGCGCTCGCCCCGCCTCGGCTGGTCACTCTTCGGGTCTCTCAGCAAGAAACGAAAGCAAGCAACAATGTCTGGTCGTGGCAAGGGCGGCAAGGGCCTCGGGAAGGGCGGCGCGAAGCGCCACAGGAAGGTCCTTCGCGACAACATCCAGGGCATCACCAAGCCCGCCATCCGCCGTCTGGCTCGCCGTGGCGGTGTCAAGCGTATCTCCGGTCTGATCTACGAGGAGACGCGCGGCGTCCTCAAGGTGTTCCTGGAGAACGTCATCCGTGACGCGGTCACCTACACCGAGCACGCCCGCCGCAAGACGGTCACGGCCCTCGACGTCGTGTACGCGCTCAAGCGCCAGGGCCGCACCCTGTACGGCTTCGGTGGTTAAATCACCCGCTCGGCTCCGGCCGGCAACAAAAACCGCGCCCCAGTGCGCACCCAACAAAAAATCGTGTGTTTTCTAAACACACCTTCTGCCGGAACTCCGAACGTCGAGGCGCCACGAAGCGCCCGTATTCTGTCTCACTCGCGCCTCTTGCAGCGCCTCGGCCCCTCTGCGGCGCGGCACGGCCGTGCCGTGAGGCGGTGGAGGTGCCCTCGCTCACCGCCAGACGCCTGCGCTCCGCGCCCACCCGCGCCCTCCCCGGACAGCTCGCGCGCACCGCTGTCGAGCTTCTCGGCAGTCGAGGCGAGCGTCCTGTACGCGAGGTCTGCTACGCGGCAGGAAGGTCGTGCTGCCCGGGAGGCCAGCTCCAGCACTTGGCAGAGGCACTCCGCGCCGCCAGGGCCCTCCCAGCGCCGCCGAGCCACCCACTCGCGCCCTCCTGTGTCATTCTCCGCCGCGTCTCGCGCGGACAGCCCTGTTCCGCACCCACCTGCACGGCACGCGACGGCCGCTGCCCATCACGCCCACCCACACCCGCGCCAGCCGTCCAGCACGCGACCCAGCACGGCCACGACACCCCGCGAGCCACCGTTCCCTCGCCGCCGGACCTCCCACGCCCGCGTGCGACCCCGGCCCCCCCGCACGAGCGCGCCACGCACGCTGACAACCCGCGTGACGTGCAGAGCGCCCCCGCCGCGCACCGCGGCCAAGCACCGGCGCACGCACGCTCTCAGCCGCGCGGCCCCGCGCGCTCCCCTTGACGCACCCCCCGCCCGCGCGCGCGTTCACGCCTGCGCCTCACACGTCGCCATCGCCGCACCCCCTACCCTTTCGAGCCCACCGCGAGGCTGAGCTTGGCCCGCTCGCCCTCGAGCACCTTTCGTATCCGCTCGAGGCTGCTCGCGGGCGTGTGCGGCCCGAGCGGGTGGCAGTCCGCGGCCGTGTAGGGCGGCCGCACGACCACCTCCTGCAGCACCACCATCGACGCGCCGTCCCACCGGCAGTCCATCGTCTTGCACAGCGCGTGGAACAGGTTCTGCGCGTCCTGGTCCACGTCCGGGTTGTACCGCAGCATGTCGTCCTCCGCGCGCCGCCACGCCTCCTGCTCGCGCCGCGCGATGCGCTCGTTGTCGACCGTGATGTCGTCGGGCGGCCGGCACGGGTTCGCCGCGACCTCCTCCGCGCTCTTGATCACGGCGAGCGGCAGGATGCGCAGCATGTACTTGTGCGGCCCGTCGCCCGGCTGCACGAAGACCGCGATGCCCGCAGCGGGGTCCACCGCGTACACGGTGCCCTCGGCGACCTCGCCGCCCTCCAGCGTCACCTTGTAGCTCTTGTCCTGCTCGAGGTTGAGCTTCGGCGCCTGCGGGGACCGAAGCGGCGCTCGCCGTCGAACCGTGCCCGCTGGCGGCGCGGGGGCCGGCGTGGACTGGCCGGGAGTGCGGCGCGCAGGTCGGGCCCGCGGAGGACCGGTGCGCTGTCCGTGTGGGCGCTCGGGCGCGGCTGCGCGGGGCGGTGCGTGCGCGCGGGGCGCACGAATCGTGGCGCGCGTCGGAGAGCTCTCTGACGGGACGTGCGCGCGGGGGCGGCGCGGTGCCGAGCGGGCATGCTGTGAGGGACAGGGCGCTCACTTCCGCGTCGGCCGCCATCGCAGAACGAGCGGCGGTTCCTCGCAAAGCGCGTGCTGCCTCCTGGCCTTCTTGTGCGTCCTTGTACCTCCCGTGCGCGCGCGCCGGCGTCCTCGCCGGGGCGGTCCTGCTCTGCGGAGAGCAGGAGCTCGGTGTCCATCGGTGAGGCGCAGCCGTTGGGCGCCCCCCCGCGTGACGGGGGCGGTCGCCTGCTCGCGGCGGAGTGGCGCGGCTCGGGGGCCGTGCGCCGGGGGCCGGGCCCGATGGTTGGGAGCGCGAGCTTGCGGAGGAGATCAGGGTGGGGCGCGGAGCGCCGCGTGCGACCTGGTCGCCGCGCGAGCGGCAGGCGGTGGCGCGAGAGTGCCGTTGCATGCAAACGAGGGCGCTGCGGCGAGGCGTGGCGACGAAATGCGCGTACCTGCCCGCGGCAGTGGCCTCTGGCGAGCGGTACGCGGCGCGGGCTGCGTCCGGGACTCGTACACCGCCTCGATCCGAGAACGCGCGAGCGTGCACCACTTGATGACGGCCTGCAGCGCGTGCAGGGGGCGCCTCGGGTGGTCGGCAGCGGTGGACGCATGTTTTTATTCGTGGTCTTCAAGGAAATTCCCGTCCGGCCTCGTGCGGGTCCGCGCACGGGGCGAGAGCGGCCGGGCGAGCTGCTTGGGCGCTCCGACCTCTGCCGCACAGCGAGTGGGTTGATTCCACGGTGAACGGCGCACCTGCTACCCCTGACCACACGCTCGCTCTAGAAAGCAGACGTAGAGGCGTGGACGAGCTCCAGACGCGAAGCGCTGGGCGCCTCTGCTACCAGCTGCACAGCACGGCGTGTAGTGCGCGCGTGGGAACAATATTTCGACACTTGCTGAGATAGAAACGTAGCTGGAACAACGTTCTACCGCTCCGTGCCGGAGAGCGGCGCTGCAAAGCCCCCGCCTGCCCCCCCCGGCCAACCCCCTCGGCGGACCCTCCCGGCATCGTGCGCCCGCGACGGCGCTCAGCGGCGCGGCCGTCGCGCGCGCGCGCCCACTTCGGCGCGTTCTGGTGGAGGAGAGTGAGCGCTGAGCGTCGTGGTAGCTGCGTTTGAAGGCCTCAAACGCGTCGAACTGCGTCGTTAGAGGGAAGGAGGCAACACGCGGGGCGGGACTGGGCTGGGGCGCGGCATCTGGGAGCGGGGCTAGGGTTCGGTGGTTGATAGAGACTAGGCCAAGATGTCGTACATGCTCCCCCATCTCCGAAACGGCTACGCCGTGGACCAAGCCATCACCTCGGTGCGCACCGGCGCCGCCCGCTCCGACGCAAACCAGACGCATTTCCTGCCGCCGCGCCCGAACGCTACGCACCTGACCGGCGCATCCCGCCGCGCCGGCTGAGCCCGGACTCCCGCGCGCGCAGCCACGCGCCCGCGCACTGCTCCGGCTCTCACTCTCTCGCCCCGCAGCGGACCCTCACTGCGCCATTCGCCTCCCCGATCGCGCAACACGCACCCCGCACAACCACGACGAATCAGCGCGCCGCGTCGTGTTCCCACGTCGCCCTTGCGGCCCATCTCGCACCATCCTCACGGTCCGAGGCGCTCCTCCGCGCGCCGCAGGAGGAGGACCGCGTGGTCATCATCCGCTTCGGGCACGACTGGGACCCCGAGTGCATGCTCCAGGACGAGCTCCTCGCGTCGATCTCCGAGAAGATCAAGAACTTTGCCGTCGTGTACCTGGTCGACATCGACGAGGTGCGCCCCGGCCGCGGTGCGGGCGCGGCGCGTGCGAGCGGTGCGGGCGGTGCGGGGCGTTGCGGTGCTGAGCGAGGTGGGGGGTGTTTTGTGTTTTGTGCTGCGCAGGTGCCGGACTTCAACACGATGTACGAGCTGTACGACGCGTGCACGTGCATGTTCTTCTTCCGGAACAAGCACATCATGATCGACCTGGGCACGGGCAACAACAACAAGATCACGTGGGCCTTCTCGGACAAGCAGGAGTTCATCGACATTGTGGAAACGGTCTACCGCGGGGCGCGCAAGGGCCGCGGCCTCGTCGTCGCGCCCAAGGACTACTCCACCAAGTACCGGTACTGACGCGCCGGGACCTGTGACGCCGTCGCGTCGCGTGCGCTTGCCGGGGCTGGGGTAGAGCGCGCACACGTGCGCGTGAGCGTGGTTTGCTGCGCCTCGTCTCGGGTCGACCCGCGCGTTCGGACCGCGCTCCGGGCCGTGAGCTCTGTTGCCGGACGCGGGGAAGCGGACAGCCAGCGCGCGCATTGACGGCGCGGCGAGTTGTTGCGTGCAAACAGACAGATGAGCGTCGCGGCCGTTGCCGGGCGCGGCGGGGGGGTTGCGGGCCCGCGCGGCACCGCGGCCGAGGTCAGTGTGCGTCACAGCGCGCGCCGGTCCGCCGCGGGCCCGTCAGAGGTGCGCGGCGATGGAGGGGTGTTGGTAGATGTCGGTGAGCGTCAGCGGGGGCAGTGTCTTGAAGCTGCCCTCCACGTCCTGCCGCAGCTGCTCGGAGATCTCCGTCCCGCCGTCCTGGTACGCGAGGATGTTGAACAGCTCGACGAAGTCCTCGCACGTGAGCGTCCCGCGGTCGGTGCTGAACACCTCGAACGCCGACGCGATCGCGTCCTTCAGGTTGCGCCCGGACATGGTCACGAGCACCATGATGAACTCCCGCGGCAGGATCATGTCCATGTCGCGGAAGTGGTCCAGCTCAAACACCTGCGCGCACAGCGCAAGCACTAGGGGTGAGGCGCCGCGCAGCGAGCGGCGCGAACGGCGCGCCCGGCACGGGCGGCGGTGCTTGCGCGTAGGCGGGGGCGCGCGAACCTTGGTGACGGTCGGGGCGGTCACGCCGTGCTGCTTGGCGAGCTGCGCCAGCTCCTGGGGAGCCACGGGCTCGCGCGCGCCGTGGAGCGCGGCGACGAGGCTCCGCAGCATGGGCATCTTGGGTGCCTCGAACTGCTTGAGCGACTTGGTCGCGTTCGCGAGGTTCGAGAAGTAGCTGCGCGGCAGGGAGGGCGCAGCGAGCAGGGTCGGGAGGCGCCGGCCTGCACGGTGGCTCCAGCGCGACGCGCGTGGCCGGAACGGCCCCGTGAGGGGACGCCGGAGCCCGAGCAGTCAGCTCTCGCGCGGGGCGGGGCATTGTGTGGACCGAGGTGCCGCGCGCAGGCGGTTGCGCGCAGCAGGCTGTACATGGCAGGCCGGGTTCGCGCGGTGCCGGGACGGGGCGGGGCGAGGACGCGGGCGCCTCAGCGTCGCGCAACGTACGTAGCCGACCCGGGCGGGTGGTCTTTGCGAGGGCGGGGCCTGGGAGCGCGGCGCGGGGAGCGAAGAGAGCTCGGCACAGCTCTGGTTTGGGCGGGCCGCTCCGCGGGGCCCACAGCGCCGTTGAGGACGCGTGGACCACGGCCCGGCCTCGGAGCTGCAGTCCGTGGCGCGCCGAGCCCGCCGTCGCTCCGGAAAGGCCGGGCAGGGGCGCCCCCCGGGCGGTTGGGCATGCGGCATGGCAGCAGGATGCCGGCGCGCGCGCGCGGCGCAGGCAGCTTCGAACGAGGAGCCGTTCGGCGGCGCGCCACGCGTGGGTGAGCGGGCGTCCGGGGCGGGCGCGGCGGTCCGCGGGGCGCGCACATGGCGGAGAACTCGACGACATCCTCTGGTTGCCGGCGAATGACCTCCTTCGTGTACGACTTGAGCACTTCCGCGAGGTCTGGCGGGATGACTATCTGCTCCGCGCAGTAGATGGGCTCTACGTCCATCCTGCTCCTTCCCTTCCCCCAAGCTTGCGGCGCAAAGTGCCGGAGGCCAGCCTAGGCCCCGTCTCTCCTCCTTCTGCGCCCTGGTGCCGTCGTCAACGGGCGTGCTCAGGGCACGACGGTGAAGTGTGGACAAGGGTAGAGACGTCGGCGACAACAAGTGCGCCCGCGAGCCGCCCCGCGCTGCCCTCGGCGGCCGAGAAGCTCGCTGGGTGCGCCTGTCAGGTCGGACCGCGCCCACGCCCCCGTGCGCGCTCTTGAAGCACGCTCATCCACACCACTGCACACAACCGATGCACGACAGGTTCGCACGAGGCGAATCACGTAGAACCAACGTGATTTCGACCGCAGCGGCGCTCCTACAGCGCACGCCTTGCACCAGCGCTCGCTGCGCGCGAAACCTCCGGAAGCGATCCATTTTTCTGGTCGAGGGGATTGACTGAGAGTCTCTTCACACGCTCGTATATATCCAACGCTATCTCCATCCTCAGTAGCCTCAGGGTCGCAGCCAGACGTTTCGCTGTCTCGACGGGACCGGCGCAGAATGACGCCGTCAGTGCGCCGGTTGCTGCACCTTGCGTTTCTCCTCGGACTCATAGTATGTGTTCAAGCCGGAGGTTCGCCGGGGAACGCGACCAACGCGAACGGTGAGCTCGAATATCCCCGCAACAGCCAGACCAGCGCGGCAACGCACGCAATCGCCGCCCACATGCGCGCGAAGCGTTCTCGTGAACCGTTTACGAGTCTCGGCATCGCCTCCTCTCGGCGCGGCTGCGGACGACGACCGCTCCACGCCGCGCCCACGGAGCTCGCGGCGAGGCCGTCTGCGCCGGGCGAGGGGCCCCGTCGACCGATCCATGTCGACCCCCACGAAGGTATCGAACCAAATACATGCTGCTCTGCAGGAGACGCGCGCCGGAGGTCCCGTCCGCAGTGCAAGCACAACCTCCTGGCGAGCCACATCAACGCCCTGCTGAGCGAGCGGGAGGCCGTGCCCCGGAGCGTCCACCTCAAGGCGAACAGTTTCTTCGCTAACCGCTCCTCCGCCGCGGCCGCCGCGCCCGCCGAGGACCGCAGCGCCCACGCCCGGCGCCGCACAGAGCGCGGCAGTCCCGCGACCGCCGCCGCCTCCGACGGCTTCGAGGGCCTGCGCATCGCGGTCGAGTACCAGCTCGACGACATGCCGGACGGCCCCGCGAAGAACCTCATCGTCGGCGAGCTCGTCCCGCGGGCCATCGCGGTCCTCAACAACGTTCTGCGCGCGGCCAACCCCATCGCCGACAAACTCTATCTCCCGCGGCCCTGCGCGGACGTCGTGCCGGGCACGGACGACTGCAGGAGGATCGTGGTGGCGGACAGGTGCTTCTTCGCGACGCACAACCCGGACTACTTCGCCTCCGCGCAGCTGTGCGACGAGACGGGGTGCTACTCCACGCCGGCTGGGAACGGGGTCCAGGTGCGCCGCACGCCGCTCCGCGCCCGCCGCAGCACGCCGCGCGAAGATCGCCGTCGAATAAGAAGCGCCGAGCCCGCGTGCGAGTTCACCCGCAGGGCGCCGACTTTTTGTTGTACGTGACGAACAAGCCGCTGCTCAACGGCCTGGACTACTGCGGCGAGAACGTGCTCGCCCTCGGGGCGCCGTGCGAGTTCGACATCGACACCGGTGCGCCCGAGGCCGCCCGCGACCCGACGAGCGCGTCACCGCCCGCTGCTGCGCACCCGACCGTCTCCGCCCCGGTCGCTTGCAGGGCGGCCGCTGGCGGGCGTCGCGAACTTCTGCGAGGCCGGGCTGTCGACGGAGCCGCAGGAGCTCGGGGCGCAGCTCGACGTGGCGGTGCACGAGATCATCCACGCGCTCGGCTTCAGCGGGCCGCTCATGCCGCGCTTCAAGGGCCCCGTCGGCCAGGAGCTGGGGCCCGGCGGGCCGCTGGCGCAGATCGACGGGCGCACGTGGGTCGTGACGCCGACGGTGCAGCAGGTCGTGCGCGAGCACACCGGCTGCTCGACCGTCCCAGGTGCGCGCCGCGACCGTCGCAAGCACACGTACACACACCGCCCAGCCACCGATCGCCAGGGCCTCGAGCTAGCTCTCTGTCGCAAGTACGCAATCTCGTTCGTCGGTCTGCGGCGCAGGCGGTGCGTTGGAGAGCGACGGGGGTGTCGGCACGGCCGAGTCGCACTGGGAGTACTTGTACTACGACAACGAACTGATGCTGGGCGCCGGGGAGGGCATCCGCTCGCTGCTGTCGCCGCTGACGCTCGCGCTCCTGCAGGACTCGGGCTGGTACGTGGCGTTCCTCGAGCGCGGCTCCAAGATGCAGTACGGCCTCGGGGAGGGCTGCGCGGTCGCCGAGGCGCAGTGCGGGGAGGCCGCGGACCGCGCGGTGCTGCAGAGGTTCGGGTATGCGTGCGAGACGGGCGGGGGCGCGCCGCGGCAGGTCTGCTCGTACGACCACCTCACGTGGGGGGACTGCAGGGACATGAGCCTGGAGCCTGGGTGCACGGGGGTGGTCGCCGCGGACTTCGGGGAGTGCCAGAACGCAGCCCGCGCGCTGCCCGGACACGCCGCGAACGGACTGCACTACGGCGCGTTCTCGCGCTGTCTCCCCGTGGAGGTGCGTCTCAACACCCCCCCTGGTGACAACCAACCAACCAACGGTCATGACATGATATTCGCCCGTTCGTTTCACGAGCGGCTGGTGCGTCAGGAGCGCACGACGCGAACGACTTGCTCCCGCTGTGCCTGCAGAGTGGGACGGTGCACCACGAGAGCTCAGACGTCGCGTTCAACAGGTTCGCGGGCTGCTTCAAGACGACATGCGGTGCCGACGGCTCCCTGCGCGTCTCGATGCTCGGCGTGGAGTTCGCCTGCCCCGCGGGGCGCACGGTCGACCTCTCGACGGTCAAGGCCGGCCTGTCGGGCGTCGTCGGGCCCTGTCCGGACCCTGCCACCATCTGCCCGGCGCTCCAGTGCCCTAGCGACTGCAGCGGGCGCGGGCAGTGCGTCGTGGGGGGGCCCGGCGAGCCCGCGACGTGCCAGTGCTACCCGGGCTGGACGGGACCGGACTGCAGCTCGGCGCTGCCGGGCAGGACGTGGCTGTCGTCCGCGAGCAGGCTGCACCTCGACAAATCGAACCCTCTGCTGAACAGCGACGTTGTTGCCATGCGGCCCTCGGGCGACAACTTCGTGCAGACGTCCGTGGGGATCGGCGTCATCACCGGAGGGGCAGTGGTTGTCGCCCTGGCGCTCCTCGGGACCGCCGTGATGGTGTATCGGCGCGCCTACGTCAAGGAGATTGCCGAGGCCCACGTGGCGCGCAGCATGCTGGGCTCCGTGCCGCTGGCGTCCGTGGCGACGCGCCGGGCGCAGTCCGACATGCCGAACGGGGCGCGCGACGACAACTCGTTCTTCTCGAGCCTGGCCGGCGGCAAGCGGCCCAAGGCCGTGCGCGGCATCCCCGTCTCCACTCCCGGCATGTACTTCGCGGCGCCGGGCGAGCACCCGCGCGAGTCGACGACGTCGGTCCTGTCCGAGCAGAAGCAGGGGGCGCAGCACTCGAGGAAGCAAGGCAGGTCCCTCGATCGGCGCTATACGCCGCCCCGCACGTCCGTCGACGCCAAGCGCATCGGCCTCGTGCCGCGGCCCGAGAGGCCACGGGCGAGCCTGCGGACGAGCAAGGAGCGCCGGCCCTCGTCGCGCTCGGCGAAGGGCGACAGAACCCCGCCGCGGCGCGCCAGCGGCGGCTCACCGGCGACGAACCAACGGCGCTCGGATGCTGCTGGCCTGACGACGCCCCCGCTGGGCCGCATCAACGAAGTCGCGGAGTCGTCCGTCGCGGGATCTCGCCACGGAAGTGCGCGCAAGCACGCCACTCCCGTCAGACCCGTCGACTCCAACCTGACGAAGCCGGCTCTTGGCGAGTCCATCGGCGTGGCAGGCACCCTCGCGCACTGGGCGGGCGCCGCGGAAGGCTCGCGCCCGTCGCAGTCGTCGCAGACCAGCTCGATCAACTTCTCGAAGTCTTAGATCTAGATTCAGTCCTCCTTTCTTCTTTCATGCACCCTTCTAATTCAAGCAACCCTTCCCAGCAGGTTCGAGCAGGAACGCCGGCAACGACCCGGGCGGGACGACGGCTCTGGAGAGCGTGATTCAGGGACCGCAAGCAAGGCCTCGTGACGGGTCTGGTCCTGTGATTCAGACATGAAACGTACTATTCGAAACACAGCGACTCGCAGTCACTGAATCAATCGAGTCTCACCGTCGCGGGGCCGCCCTCCTCTTCCCGCCCGATCCGCCCCGCGCCTAGTACAGCCCGATCACCTTCCACCACAGCCCGCCGAGCACCGTCCAGACCACCAGCGACACCACGCCCAGGATGCCGCCCACCTTGAACACCTCGTCGAGCTTCAGGTACCCCGCGCCGAAGTACACCGCGGCCTGCCCCGACGCGAAGTGCGTGATCGACCCGAACAGGTTGGTCGTGAAGGCGAGCAGGAGGCCGCCCAGCACCGGCGGGCAGCCCGCGGCGATCATCATCGCCAGGAACGCCGCGTACAGCGCGCCGACGTGCGCGGTCTGGCTGGCGAAGAGGTAGTGCAGGAAGAAGTAGGCCGCGTTGAGGAGCACGGTGAGCGCCTGCCAGGACAGCCCCAGCGACGACAGCGAGGCCCCCATGGCGTCCGCGAAGTGCTTGATGACGCCCATCGAGTTGAGCTGCGCCGACATGCCGATCAGCACCGCGAACCACACGAGCGTGTCCCACGCCGGCGTGTACTCCAGACACTCCTGCATGACACAAGGGAGAAACAACAACTCATCTGTCGCAGAGGGCTCAGCGGCAGTCGGGCGGTTGGTGGTTGGGCAGAAGGCCGCTCCTGGCGCGTTGGCAGCGTCCACCGGGGCGGCGTCGCACCTTCCACTTGAGCACGCCCGTGAACAGCAGGAGGCAGAGCCCGAGCATGGCCGCGACGACCGGCGCCACTCCGAGCCCCTCCCCGGCGACCCAGAGCACCACCGCGAGCCCCATGACGCCGAGCATGATCTTCTCCTGCCCGCTCATCGGCCCGAGCGCCTTCAGCCGCTCCCCGGCCTCCACGGGCGCCTCGGGGGTGTCCTTGATCTCGGGGGGTTGCAGCTTGTACACGAGCCACGGCGTGATGAGGATCCCGGTGATCGCCGGCACGCACGACGCGATCAGCCACGCGAGCCACGGGCCCGGGATGACCGCCCCGAACGACGCCGCGAGGTTGAGGCACAGCAGGTTCTGCGCCGCCGCTGTCAGGAAGAGCGCGGACGAGTGGTTCGACGCCTGGAGGAGGCTCTGCGTCAGGAACGCGCCGACCTTGTTGCGGGACGGGTCGTTCGGGAGGGAGTTCGCGGTGTTGCTCAGCGACTTGACGATCGGCATGAAGATGCCCCCCGCGCGCGCCGACGTGGACGGCATCGCGGGGGAGATGATGGCGTCCGCGATGGCCAGGCCGTACGCGAGGCCGAGCGTGGACTTGCCGGCGATCTGCGGGGGCGGACGGAGCGGGAGAGGGGGGCCGTCTGCCGTCTGTCGTGCGCGCGAGAGAGAGAAAGCCGCAACTATGATTGCGTGTGTTTTTTTAGCAGAGCGTGGTCGTTGCGCGGGTCCCGCGGGGTCGATGGCGCGCGGCGGAGGTGTGTGGAGGTGGGCGGGGGCGTGCCTTGACGAAGAGGTTGGCCACGCGCTCTCCGAGACCTGTTTTCTCGAATCCTTTTGCGAAGAAGAATGAGCACACGATGAGCCAGATGACCTCGTTCGTGAAGGCCGCGAACGCCGCCTGGAACGTCAGCGAGTTGGTGATCACCGCGGCGGTGAGCCCGCAGAAGGCCCACGCGCCGACGGGCAGCGGTTCGAGGACCAGCCCAAACACCGTCGACACGAAGATGGCCAGCGTCTGCCAGGACTGCACGGTCAGGCCGTCGGGGACGGGCACGAGGAAGCGCACGATCAGGCCCGCGCCGATGGCGATGGCCGCGGGCTGGAGCTTCGCGCCGTCCCACGACGGACCTGCGCACCAGAACGCACTCGCACACAACCGTGTCGGCGGGCGGTCCGTGCTGCCCGGCCGGCGCCCACGTGACGCGACGCAGCGGGGCGGCGTGCGCTGGATGAGGAGCTGCTTCGAGCGGCGGTTGAGGCGACGTGGGAGCGCTGCGCGCGGCGCGGGAGTGCGTGGTCTGTGGCGCACCTTCTGCGGGGACGGGCTCCTGGGGGGCGGCGCTGCGGGTGCGCACGGCGTCGCTGCGGCGGGTGGGCAGCAGCGGCGGCCGCGGCTGGGCCACGCGGCGCGGCTTCGCGACGCCAAGGGTGCCCGCCGGAGCGTTGCGCATGGTGCCTGGCCGCGGGAGAGCGCTGGCGGCGGCGGGCGTCGCCCTCGGAGCGCGCGCGGGGCCCACGGTGGCCGGAACCGCGGTCCTGGTGGCGAACATCGCGCTGGAAACGCCCTGATCCTGCGCGTTCGATGCAGTTACGCGCGGGAGGTTAGCAAGAGCGTGGTCTTCGAGGCCGGGTGAGGCGAACGGCAGGTCTGCGAGCGTGTGTGAGCGCGCTGCGGCGGATGGTCTTGATCTGGGGATACCGTGCGTCGGGGCTGCGAGCGACCGCGCTGCGCGAACAGGGCGCGGCAGGGCCTGGTGGACAGCAGTGAGGGCGCAGCATCATAGCTGTGGCCTCGCGGCGGTTTGAGGGAGACGCAAGCCGTGGGGGTGTTCGGCCCGGAATGCTATCGAGAGACGGCGCGTGCAGGGCGCGATCAGCGGGGCGGCCGGCGGGGGACTGGCACGTGCGGCCAGGCGACCTGCCAGGGCGGAGCAATGGCGAGCGTTTGCGAGCGATCCTGAGATTTTCGGGGAACAGCCTCTAGCGGCGCACGGCGGCTGGAGTGCGTTCATGTGCGCGGCGGAAGAACCATCGGGGTCCCAGCACACACCTGCTTGCTTCGAGCGCCTGTGAACCTGCACCGGAACCCACGCACGTTCGTCGCAGTCGGACCGTGCAACGTCCTGCGTCCCCGTCTCCCGGCAGCACAGTGATCTGTCGCGCCCGCACGCGAAACCTGGGCCTCAATTGGCGCCGCAGGACCTCCTGCGGGGGCCTGACGTTGCAGGCGGGCAGTCGGGTGCGTGCGGCCCCCTCGGCCCGCGCTTTGATGGGCGGCGACGGCGGGCGCGCCGGCCCTCTTTCGGCGTTCGTACACTCTACTTTCACAGACTCTGAGAAGTCGCTTGTCGACGGAGAGTCTTCGAGGAGCACCCAAGGCCTTGTTCCTTCTCCCGCGACCACTCGGTCAAGATGGCTCCCGCTGCCAAGACGAACAAGGCGAAGAAGGCCACGGAGAACATCAACTCCAGGCTGCAGCTGGTGATGAAGTCCGGCAAGTACACGCTGGGCTACAAGACCACCCTCAAGACGCTGCGCTCGGGCAAGGCCAAGCTCATCATCCTGGCGTCGAACCTGATGCCTGTGCGCAAGTCCGAGGTCGAGTACTACGCGATGCTCTCGAGGACCGGCGTGCACCACTTCTCGGGCAACAACGTCGACCTGGGCACCGCCTGCGGTAAGCTCTACCCGGTCTCGTGCCTGGCGATCACCGACCCCGGTGACTCGGACATCATCAAGACGGCCCAGGGCAGCGCCTAAGTGGAGGCGGAGAAGGACACCGCAGGGCGCCAACATGGGCGCCCCAGCGCCCGCGGAGCTGCTGCGGCTGCTCAAGCAGCGTGGTGCGGGGTGGGGCTGCGCGCCCAGGGACTGCGGGGCAGAGGCTGCCACGCTACAGGGCGGAGGGAGCGGACTGGCGCTCGCCACTGTGACGCGGCGCAACAGTACACGCGGCGGCTGCCCGCACTCGTCTCAGCACCACCCACCCGCCGCCCTTCCGCCCGCCCGCGCAGCGCCTCCCGTTGCGACAGAACGTGGCGCAAAACGTCCATTTCCGTGCTGCCCGGCTGCTTGAATGCGGACCAGCGCTCGAGCCAGCGACCACGGGAGGCGCCGACCGGTCGGGAGCTCCCGAGCGCGCGCTTGGTTGGTCTGGCTCCTTTGATACGCACACAAGCACTCCATGAATACGTCGGGGCGGGCGTCGGCGTGCGCGGCATTCGTCCTCGCGCCCCTCGGGCCGCCGCGCGCTGCCAGCACCAGACCAACATGCTCTCCGTGTCACGCCACAGCGCGAACGGCGGAACGGGCGCCAAGCGCGACCGCAGAGCCTCTCCCCGCCCAGCACGCGCCAGGACGCCGAACCTCGAGGCACGTCCTCAGAGACACCCCCCCTTTCCGCACTGGCGCCGCGTCATCACACCTCGGCCTGCAGCCCCACGACGAGGTCCTTCCTGGCCGCCGCACCCGCCCTGCGCACGAGCCACAGCATCGCCTCGCACGCCGCCAGCCTCGCCTCGAGGTCCGCGATGTCAATGTCGTGCCCGCCCTCCACCAGACCCCACTCCCGAATCTGTGCGCTCTCCTCCAGCCGCGACAGCTCCACCGCCTCCGCGGCGCCCACGCGGCCCGTGAAGAGCGCGAAGCTGCAGCAGGACACGCGCACCACGTCTCGGGTCGTTGTCGCCGTTGACTGCTCGGCGAGAGGCAAGGGTGGTGTCGTGGTGCGTAGAGCGGCCGCGTGGCACGTGTCGCGCGCCCCGCGCACCTGATCACGAAGCTCCGCGTCGCGCGGCAGAGCTCCTCGAAGACCGCGAGCTCCAAGTCCCCCAGGGAGCGCAGGAACTCCCCCGCCGACTCCGTGGTGAACGCTGAGTGCTCGGCGCCCCACAGGCTCGCGCTGGCGACGAGGCCGAGGCCCGGGACCGCGTCGTTCGCCTCGGCGATCAGCGGGTCGAAGCGCTCCGCTTGCCGCGCGGCCAGCGGCGTGTCGGGCTCGTGCCGGCAGCACGCGACGTCGGCGGGCAGGAACTGGCACAGGGCGTCGACGACGCGCTCGCGGTGGCCGGGCTGGGCGTACACGTCGACTGCAGGTAGATCGCGGGGCGCGGGGGCGACCGCGTGGGCCTGGCGAAGGGGTCGGCGGAACGCGAAATGCAGCGAAGTGCACACCATCATGCTGGGCGGAGTCTCTCGCTGCGCTGAGGCCTTGCGTACCGGCGGTAGAGATGAGGGAGAAGATGGGCATGGTGTACGGGCGGATGTGTTGCGCGCTCTGGAACTGCCACTCGGCAGCCACGGCGGCCGCCATGTCTTGGGAGGGGAGGGCCAGGGCCGCCTGCGCGGGCGTGCGCAGGCGGCGACCGTCCAGCGTGACTGCCCAGCCGTCCTCGACCTCGGCGACGTCTGCGCGGCGCACCGTGATGCGCGGGTGCGGTGTGCCAATTGACAGGGTTGCTCCGCGCTGGGTGACAGGGCGACGGAATGCCGCGCGGGCTGCCATCGCGCTTGCCTGCGGTCTTGTAGAAGCGCTTCTTGAGACCGTCCCCGCCGGCGAAGGTGGACATGGCGCGGCGTGTGGCCCAGGTGCCACCTTGTGGAAAACCTATGCAGCGCTTTGCAGCGGGTCCCGGCGATGCGGCGTCGTGATGCTCGAGTTCCCGGTATGTAATCGATCTAGCCAAGCCCGTCGCAGCGCACACGAATCGGTTCGCGCCAGGACAAGCGTGCCCGCCCGTGCTGGGCGGCAGCGCAGGTACAGCATCGCGCAGGCTCCCGAGGAGGTCCCGCGCCGCCGAACAGCGCCCCGCTCGCAAGATATATGATGTACGGGACATGTCGCGGCCGCAGTCACGCTCTCCAGTCCACCCAGAGGCGCCACGCACCCACCCCAAACGGCACGACACCCAAGTCAGTGCGAGGGCGGTGCACGACAGACTTCGAACTGCGGGAGGCCTTGGGCGGCCTCACCTGGCTCTGCGCACGCCGGCAGGGATGCGGAGCTGTCGTCGCCCCGTGGCGCAGGCTCTCGGACACCCCCCCAAGACACAGGTGGTATAAACACCCGACCACTTGGTGTGACGAGTTCGTCATTCTACTTCACAGATCACGATCTCGCACACGTGCTTCCTGCGGACGCGCCGGCACCGTGCCGAGTCCGCGCACCCGCAGCCATCCCCGCCGTCGCCCCCACACTGCGCCGCACGCAAGGCGGCAGGTCCGTTGCTGTACGCGCGGCCTGCCACCCCCGCACCCCTGCCCTTCCCCGCCGAACGCGCCGTGGCTGCGGCCAGACGCAGCGCCGTGACGCGGCGCGCCGGAACCCCCAACGACGCAGGGCGCGCGCAACACGTGCGACCACGTGCGCCGACGACGGCATCCACCGTCTCGAGTGAGTCGAAGCGCTCGGTGTCCAGCAGCGGGCGGCCGGGAACCCGGAAGGTCGGTGGACCGGCCGGCGCGACGCGCGACGCCGAACCGAGCCCCGCACCTCTGACCAGCCCCTCGGGCGCGAACCTGCCCGACGCGCTCGCCGCTGCTCACGTCCGCGCGCTCCCGTCCTGCGGACAAGCCCGTGTCTCGCCTCGCCGATCGCGTCCGGCGCCCATCGACCCCCGTTCGCGCCACCCCTCGAACGACGTGTGTGCACCGAGGCTGGCGCTGCGTGCGCGGCATGCCGGCCCCCTTTGGCTGCTTTCCTGGCACGAAGCCGCGCCGGTGAACGCGGATGTGCGGCGTCGCGGTCGCATGCCGGCGTCGACCTCGGACGCCCCGGCCCGTGCGCCTACGTGCCCCCCCCCCGCAGCAGTGTGCGTCCAGTGGCGACACGCCTACGAGGGGCCGCGCCCGCGAGCGCTGCGAGCAATACGTACGGGCGCCCGAGCTCACGTAGGCGGGTTGCGGAGGTACGCGACCGTGTGGTCGCGGCAACGCAGCGTGCCGTCGCCCGTCCCCGAGCTGATGCTTCTGGGGGTTGACGCCGCGCGATGCATGCCTTGGACCCGGCGTTTGGCAGCTCTGAGACACAGAGAAACAGCATGAATTCGAAACATCTGGCGCACGCATTCAGCGCCTCCGCGGAGGCGCCGGAGAGGCCGGGAGGCTGGATGCTGCCGCTGGACTCGCAGCCCTCCGCCATGACGGACGTGGCCCTGGAGTCCCTCCCACGGAAGGCCGCGCGGAGGAAGTCGGCGTCGCACCGCGCGGTGGCGGTCGTCTTCGAGGATCGGCACTCTGCAGAGGGCCGGTGAGTGAGGGGCTTGCTCCTTAGTAATTCGCAGCGTGTGCGATGCGCGAGGCTCGTCAGCTTCCGCGACGCGCGTCGCCTGTAGTACACGCTCTGGAGGACGAGCCGCGGCGCTCCCGTGTTCCATCAGCGCACGCGCAAGTCCGTTGCGCCGTGAGATAGCCTACTACCACAACCCGCCCTGCGTCCGCTCGGGTGTCGTCGCCCCCCGCGGCTGGAGTCCGCCCAAACATTCTTCAGCATGCGTACAAGATTGCCCGGCGGCGCTCCGAGTGACGTCGGCGCGACTCTGGGCGGATCCGTAGACTCCTGTGCGGTCGTGCGGGCTTGTGCGGCGATGTGCCATCAGGTATTTGCCACTTCCTCGTAACACGTTGCTCAACTATGCTCTCGCAGGAAGCGCGACGTCGCGGACTTTCTCTCGGCCCTCCTCCAGCGGGGCGTCAAGCTCGTGCCCCTCGGACGGGGCGCGTACACCGTGCTGGCGCTCGTCTTGATGGCCGCGGGCGGCGTGCTGAGCGTGGCGCGCGACTTCGCGCCGGCCTGGAGCGACTCGGCGGTCTGCGGCGACCTCGCTGCGTCGCAGCTCGCCTCGTGCACGCCCGACTCCGCGCGCTGCTTCCTGGACTTCCGCGCGCCGGACCCCGTGCGGGCGGGCTTCTACCGCCGCGAGTGCTACGACACCCGCGGGGACGTCGCGCGCGCCACCGCGCGCTCCCCGGCGGTGATGGTGTCGGTTGCCCTGTGCGGTGTGTCGGTGGCGCTCCTGGCGCTGTGCTGCGTGCGGCGGGGCCGGGACGTCCTGGCCGCGCACCTGGGCGGCATCGGCGCGTGCCTCGTCGCGGCGTGGTGCGTGCCGCCGCTCCTGGAGGGCGCCAGCGGGGCCTGGATCAGCGCGCCCGTGGGCGACCCTGCCGCACGCGGCGTGCTGCTGGCGTGCGGCGCGGCGGCGCTGCTGGCGCCGTCGCGCGTGTCGTACGCGGTGCGGTGGTCGGTGGTGGTCGTCGTGGGGTGCTCGATGGCGGCGGTGGCCTCCGTGCAGGCGTGGGAGCTGCAGGCACTGGGCGAGGCGGTGGCGGGCCCTGTGGCGGCGGCGGTGGCGGCGGCGGTGTGTCCGGCGGTGGCGTACGTGTGCGTGGGGTGGGCGCTGTTTCCCGGCGTGCCGCTGGTGCCGGCGCGGGCGGCGTCGTGGACGGGCGCGGTGGACGTGCAGGCGTGGGGCGACAAGCACCGGGGCGGGGGCTGCGCGTCGGTGAGGAGCGTGCCGCGGGCGATCGCGGCGGCGGCGGGCTGCATGGGTGAGCTTGCACGCCCCGCTGCACGCAGTATGCCACAACACGTGAACATGTGCCACTTTTACGCTTGACGTCTTGGTGACGACCGTGGCCTGATCGTGCACGTGCAGGGCTTCCGATCGCCGCGGCCGTGCTCGGCAGCCTCGCGATGTCGTACTTCCGCGTGGCCTTCGACGTGCCGCCGGCGCTGCTGTCCTGCGGGGCGCTGCTGGTGGCCGGCGGGGCCGCGCGGCTGCTGTACGTGGTGTCGCTGGTGCAGAACGGCGTGGTGGCGGACTACGTGCCGCCGCAGGCGTCGGACGCGCTGCTGGCGTCGGCGATCCGCTGCGGGCTGTCGTCGACCGCCCCCGTCAACGGGCAGAGCCCAGCCCTGACAATGCTGCCACACTCCCCCCCCGCTTCCTCGATCCTGGGGCGGCCGCGGCGTCCGAAGAGGACGTCACTGCCCGGGATTGGACTTCCTAGCACTGCTCCCACGCGTTCCAGCGTCAAGGGGATCGTGCAGGCCAGTAAGAAGCTCCAACAAGACCGACACGACTCCGTGACGGAAGACCAGATCAGCCCGAACTACCCCGCGCGAAAGCTGACTCAGAAGAGCAAATTCGACGAGATCCATCGCTCTTCTGCGGGGTTCCGACGCACAGTGGGAGCGGAGGACAATGTTGACGTGTCGCAGCCGAGCATCAGCGCGGGTGCGGGCAAGGAGAGGACCCTCGCGGGCGAAGAACTCTCAGGTGCGACGGCCAGCCTCGTGCCGACGCAGCGCGTGACTGGGTGGCCCGCAGGAACAAACGCCTCGCGGTGCACGTTCCCCCGCGCCCTGCGCAGTGCGCCGACGACACGTGATTTCCCGCGCGATGTGCAACCATGTTCCGCTCGTCCGTGCTGGCGTGCAGACACCTTCTGCGTGCCGGGCGACGTGCTGTCCGGGTTTTCATGCGAGCGCGGGAGCGGCCAGAACGGCTGGACCAGTGCAGTCGAGCAGAGCACCCTCACCACGGCGCACAGCGGCGGCTTCAAGCGCAGGACCTACGGCAGGCGTAGCTCGCTCGCACCGAAGTCCGCGCACCCTCGCCGCCAGCCCGCGGAGCCCGGGGGCGGCTTTCTGTCCCCGCGGGAGTCGAGCGACCACCCCCAACGCGCCGCGCCGCCCACGGGCTTGTCGAGGCTGGTCAAGTCCAGTTTGCGGGTGCGCGGCTGGGCGCGAAGCACGGTCGCCGAGGGCGGCCAGCCCGACTCGTCGGGCACAGGTCATGACGCGCTCAGTCCCGCGGCGGCGTCGACGAGCTCCGAGCTCGAGACGGGCGCCGCAGGGCGACTGCGCAGCAGCGCGGAGATTCGGCGCGTGTGGAAGACCACGCTCGACGGCCTCGTTCAACACCTGATGCAGCTGTATGTTGCGCAACAGCGTGGCCGGCCGCGCCGGGCCCTCTGCAAGCGCGACCACGACACGGTCTCGGTGGTCTTAAGCGACATCGTGGGCTACACGGCCATGAGCAGCACGCGAGCGGGCGCGGAGGTCCTCGACATGCTCAACGAGTACTTCTCCCGCCTCGACGCCGTGGTCGACATGATCGGCGCGCACAAGGTGAGCGCACAAATGGTGACGCGGGGCTTTGTTGGTCTGCGCGGACGTGCGCGTGCGCCGATGTGTGTACGTGCCGCGCGTGTCTGACTGGTCCGCCTGCCTCGGCCCCCCGCAGGTCGAGACCGTCGGCGACGCGTACATCGTCGCGTGCAACCTCTTCGAGCCCGACGACAACCACGAGGTGTCGGCCATGCTCATGGCCGAGGCCATGCTGCGCGTGGCGGCGACGGTCCCGTGCCCGTCCAACGCCAGCGGCCACCTCGAGATCCGCGTGGGCGTGCACACGGGCCCGCTGTGCTCGGGCATCCTCGGCACGAAGCGCAAGCTCGTCACGCTCGTGGGCGACACCATGAACACCGCCGCCCGCATGGAGCAGACCTCGCGCCCCGGATGCGTGCGCGTGACGAGCGCGACGTGGAGCGGGCTGCCGGCGCCGCTGCAGAAGCTGCTCGAGCCCGAGAGCATCGCCGTGAAGGGGAAGGGCGTGATGGCGACGTACATGTTTGACCCGACGCGGGGCGGGACCGACGGGGCGCCGGGACCTGCGCCCGGGCCCAGCGGGTCGATGAGAAGGTCGCTGGCGCTGACGTTAGCGCGAGGGGCCACGCGACCATGAACGGCCGCGCAGCCATCCATCGTCCGGGCTGCAGGCATGCTCGCTGCATCCCTTGGCGTACCGCCCGTTTTGCTTGGCGCCCTCAACCCCACCCCAGACCCCCCCCCTCCCCCCAAACTCCCCCTCCATTCACCACTTTTTCCGCCTCCGCACCCAACGCTCCCGTCAACCTTGCACATGTCCGGGAACGCCACGCCGTTCGGCTCAACGGATGCATGCCGCGACTAGAGGAGCGTGGATCATGCTTCAGAGACATGATCCTGCCTCTACGTCCACCACGTCGGATGGGCCGCGGTTCGCAAAAGCGACGCGCGGTCCCTGACCATTGCTCCCGCTGGCTGGTGCCGGAATCACATCACACTACGCACAGAGGCCATCTAGGCGATCCACATGAAGCCACGTACGTGCGCCCCCCCCCCTCCTCGAAGAGTCGGACGAAGTGCGCCGGTGTCGTCCCAGACGGCATCGACCGCGCCTGGAGCACGCACGCTTGCTTCAGTCTTTCGCCAGTCCGATGCACGCCGCTCAAGCCCTCGCTGATATGCTAGAAGCTTATCATCATGCACAAGCTGCTCGTCATCCCGCGACACCCCCCCCCCCTTCCCTACCAGCGCTCGCAGCGCGGTGGTGACAACAGCTGACTCCGCCTCCCCCCCCCCGACCCCCTATCCTTCTATCTCCCATGCACTAACTCACGCCTCGCGGAAGCTCTCATCACGCGACCCCCCCCCCTCCCCTTCCCTGCCAGCGCTCGCGGTGGTGACAACAGCTGACTCCGCCTCCCCCCCCCTACCCCCCTATCCATTCTATCTCCCATGCACTAACTCACGCCTGCTGGCTGAAGCTACTCACGCAACACAGGAATCGCGCACTGCGCATGCATTACATGTCCGCTGTCTTGTGCCCCCCGCGTCGCCCCCCTCCCCACCCGCGTGTCACCACACACGCTCCTCAAGGCCTCCTGCTGCCCGCGCGGCGTCCCCCGGAAACCAAGACAGCTTGATTTTCCTGCCGCCGGGGTCGCCGTTGTCGAGACCTAGAGGACCAACTTGTGCGCCCGACGTTGTTCTGTGACTCCGACATCCCCGAACGCACCGCCCGAGGCGCGCCATGATCTGCCGCTTCACCAGGCCAGCAGCGGCAACGGGTGGGGCGCGTCACTACGCCGACATCCTCCACCGCACTGCGCGAAATGTCACATGGCACCGGCAGGCAGCCCTCGCAGGCGGCTCGCCGCGCCCTCGTCCCGCGCCCGGGCAGCTGGTGCGAGCGCGCCGCGCATCGGTGCGGAGCAGGAAGTGGAGGGGGGTTCGAAGGGCGCGCGTGGGGCACTCAAAACAGGCGCAAGCGTTCGGAACGGCGTAGTTTGCACTCCGAGAGAGGGCGAGTTGGGGTCCGTGTGCTGTGCGTGGCTTCTGCGCCGCGCCCCAGGCCACTGGCCGCGCTCGCCTAGCACGTCTTCGCCCCGGTCTCAGGGAGGTCCTCGGTCAAGATGCGGCCTGCTTTCGAGGGTTTCTTGAGCCATCAAGTCGTGCTATGGCCATCTGATGCCGAGGCTTTCGGAAGAGGGAAAGCCATGCGTGGGGCCGTCGTAACAGGGGTGTGGCGCGTGTAAGTGACCCCTCGCCCGGGAGGGCGCCCAGAAGCCCACAACACGGTGCTCGAACGGCCAGGCAGCACACAGTGTTCCCGCTGCGACTGTGGGAACAAATTTTGCAGAGAAGGGCCGGGCAGGCACGTCGCGGAAACGACGCACTGCCTAGCTCGAGCCAGCAACTTCCCGTTGGGATTCCGCAGCGCCCGTTTCAGGAGCGGGCCGTTTACGCTCAATTTCGCTCTGTCTCAAGCTATGAGCGTCCAGGCGGATTCCAGACACGGATCGGTGAGCTTTCCAATGCCCGTAACGGCGCGTGCACCCCTGGGCAGGAGGAGGTCCAGCGTGCGGCCCTCGCGCGAGGCGTGCGTGTTCGACGTGGCTTCGGAGGACAGGAGCCACCGCTCCGCACACCCCTCTATGGGCTTGCCCTCGGGGCACTTCCAGGTGCCCAGAGGGTCGGGAGAGGGAAGGTGAGCAGCAGGCCTAAGCTAAGAGCCGCTTCGGCCGTGCCTGCGGACGTCATCGGCCGCATCCCCCGAATATCGCATCATGCATATCAAAGGAGTCAGCTCCGGAGCGGCTCACGGTATTCCCGATCTGTGCGCGACGGAAAGCCGAGCGACCAGTTCCTCCGACGCAACGACCGGCAGTTGAGGCCAAGGGCAAGTTCGGCGGATCTTCTGCGGTCTTTTGGGATAGTTCGAGCTTGAATAAGCCTGTCGCTTTGCCGCTCTCCCTGACGAGGGTCGCAGCTCGCTTCCGCGGGACGCCCTAGCTGCGATGTTTACGTGCGGCCTCGCTGACGCACAGCGGCGATGATGACATGGCCAGAAATGCAAGCTTTGTCTCATCTTTCATTCTAGTCGTCAATCTGCAGGAAGCGCGACGTCGCCGACTTCCTCTCGGCCCTCCTCCAGCGGGGCGTCAAGCTCGTGCCCCTCGGACGGGGCGCGTACACCGTGCTGGCGCTCGTCTTGATGGCCGCGGGTGGCGTGCTGAGCGTGGCGCGCGACTTCGCGCCGGCCTGGAGCGACTCGGCGGTCTGCGGCGACCTCGCTGCGTCGCAGCTCGCCTCGTGCACGCCCGACTCCGCGCGCTGCTTCCTGGACTTCCGCGCGCCGGACCCCGTGCGGGCGGGCTTCTACCGCCGCGAGTGCTACGACACCCGCGGGGACGTCGCGCGCGCCACCGCGCGCTCCCCGGCGGTGATGGTGTCGGTTGCCCTGTGCGGTGTGTCGGTGGCGCTCCTGGCGCTGTGCTGCGTGCGGCGGGGCCGGGACGTCCTGGCCGCGCACCTGGGCGGCATCGGCGCGTGCCTCGTCGCGGCGTGGTGCGTGCCGCCGCTCCTGGAGGGCGCCAGCGGGGCCTGGATCAGCGCGCCCGTGGGCGACCCTGCCGCACGCGGCGTGCTGCTGGCGTGCGGCGCGGCGGCGCTGCTGGCGCCGTCGCGCGTGTCGTACGCGGTGCGGTGGTCGGTGGTGGTCGTCGTGGGGTGCTCGATGGCGGCGGTGGCCTCCGTGCAGGCGTGGGAGCTGCAGGCACTGGGCGAGGCGGTGGCGGGCCCTGTGGCGGCGGCGGTGGCGGCGGCGGTGTGTCCGGCGGTGGCGTACGTGTGCGTGGGGTGGGCGCTGTTTCCCGGCGTGCCGCTGGTGCCGGCGCGGGCGGCGTCGTGGACGGGCGCGGTGGACGTGCAGGCGTGGGGCGACAAGCACCGGGGCGGGGGCTGCGCGTCGGTGAGGAGCGTGCCGCGGGCGATCGCGGCGGCGGCGGGCTGCATGGGTGAGCCTGCACGCCCCGCTGCACGCAGTATGCCACAACACGTAAACATGTGCCAGTCTTAAGCTTGACATGTCTTGGTGACGACCGTGGCCTGATCGTGCACGTGCAGGGCTTCCGATCGTCGCGGCCGTGCTCGGCAGCCTCGCGATGTCGTACTTCCGCGTGGCCTTCGACGTTCCGCCGGCGCTGCTGTCCTGCGGGGCGCTGCTGGCGGCCGGCGGGGCCGCGCGGCTGCTGTACGTGGTGTCGCTGGTGCAGAACGGCGTGGTGGCGGACTACGTGCCGCCGCAGGCGTCGGCCGCGCTGCTGGCGTCGGCGATCCGCCGCGGGCTGTCGTCGACGAACCCCTTTTGCGACAGACACTCCAGCGTCAGCCGGTCTGCCCACGGCCAGTCGTTCTCCCTGGCACAGGGCCTCTCGCTCACCCTCGGCAAGCCCATGGCGAGCCGCTTCAGCATGACGCAGGCGCGTCCGTCCCTCAAGTCGATCATCGAAGCCAACCGCAAGTCAGGAGTCTCCAAGCCCAGGCGGCTGTCGCACCTGGCACCCCCGGCTGCACGCACCGCGCATGCGGACGTCCGCTCCGCGCTGTCCTTCACTGTCGCGCCGGCGACGCGCCAGGCGAGGCAACTCAAGGTCCGCATCAGCCCCGATCTTCCCAAGACGTCGTTGTTGCGGAAGCTGTCGCCGCCGTCGCCGCTCGGGCAGCAGGCGTCTAACAAATCGACAGGTACGGATCGCTGTCGGTGGCCCATCGTGCCAGCGAGCGCGTCTGCGTGAGAAAACATGACTGACAGTGCGCCGGCTGTTGACTGATGTTTCAAATTGCTCGCCCCCCGAAGCACGCAACCACTGCGTGCGCAGCTGAGCGAGTGCGTCCCCTTGAGAGGACTTTGCGCTGCCCTCGGGCAGAGCGCCTGCCACGTCAGGCGCACTCACGTCCACGTCATCACCTGTCCGTGCCCCTGCAGGCGTGTACGTGTCCACGTCGGGAAATCTGCTGAGCACCGCCGGCAGCGCGCCCGTGACTGCCCCCAGGACGATGCTGTCGACCGCAGGCTCGCGGCAGGGCCGCTCTTCTGCACTGAAGCGCGTCAGCCAGTCGGTTGACGCGTCGGGGCAGCAGACGACCCTCGGCGACGTCCTCCCTGTCCATGCGAGTTCAGCGATCGACATCGACGTGCAGACTGCGACGGTGGCCGCGCCTGCCGCTGCCGCTGCTCGGCTCGCCCAGTCGAGCGTTGCAGACGGCGTGGCAGCTGTCAGCGTGCTCGAGTGCGCCCGCCTCACGGGTCCCGGGGCCTCGCGCCCTGGCTGGGCGAAGACGATCCCTTCCTGGAACGCCCGTCGGTCTGGCGGTCCAGTCCCCGTGGTGCGGTCGACGCACCCCAGCCCGTTCCGTGCGCCCGCCAAAAGCGTGGAGTTCCTGCGCTCCGTGGCGAGCACGGTCGACGACAAGCTCCGCAGCGTCGCAACCTTCGACACCTGCGACCTCGACAGCGGCAGGAAGCGCCGGGCCCTCTGCAAGCGCACCCACCTGGCGGTCTCGGTGGTCTTCAGCGACATCGTGGGCTACACGGCCATGAGCAGCACGCGAGCGGGCGCGGAGGTCCTCGACATGCTCAACGAGTACTTCTCCCGCCTCGACGCCGTGGTCGACATGATCGGCGTGGACAAGGTGAGCTGACTTGCGGCAGTGCGGCCACCTGTTGTGCGCCCATGTGTGCGCGTGCGGCGCGGGTCTGACTGGTCTGCCTGCCTCCCCCCCCCGCAGGTCGAGACCGTCGGCGACGCGTACATCGTCGCGTGCAACCTCTTCGAGCCCGACGACAACCACGAGGTGTCGGCCATGCTCATGGCCGAGGCCATGCTGCGCGTGGCGGCGACGGTCCCGTGCCCGTCCAACGCCAGCGGCCACCTCGAGATCCGCGTGGGCGTGCACACGGGCCCGCTGTGCTCGGGCATCCTCGGCACGAAGCGCAAGCTCGTCACGCTCGTGGGCGACACCATGAACACCGCCGCCCGCATGGAGCAGACCTCGCGCCCCGGATGCGTGCGCGTGACGAGCGCGACGTGGAGCGGGCTGCCGGCGCCGCTGCAGAAGCTGCTCGAGCCCGAGAGCATCGCCGTCAAGGGGAAGGGCGTGATGGCGACGTACGTGTTTGACCCGACGCGGGACGGGACCGACGGGGCGCCGGGACCTGCGCCCGGGCCCAGCGGGTCGCTAATGGGCAAGTCGCTGGCGCTCGTGCTCGCGCAGGAGGCGACGGACGCCTCCGAGCGTGGAGCCGGCTGGCACGCTTGAAGCAGTTCAGCCTGGTTCCTTTTTTCCCGTTTTTTGTCCCCTCGAAGCGCGAAGTCTCCGCCCTGAGTGCCGCACTGAGCGCCCGATGCGCGAGAGGAGGTGTGCGGGCGCCACTTCGCCCCCCTTCTCTTGCTTGCTTGGGCGCGCCAGGGCGAAGGAGACTCAGCGGAGACGCGCTGTCGAAGCATTGCACTGTTGTTGACCGCCACTCTGTCTCCCCCCTGTGTCCACTGACCCCATCTCGTCCTGCCCAAGGCCCCCCCGATCCTTGTCCCCACCCCTACCCCTCAGTCATTGGCGCTTGACATGCGCAGTTCCCCCCCCACCCCCCCTCGCCCCCCTCGACGCACTTTCAATACAGTGCCGCAGCTTGCACCCTTCCCCTAACGGCCAGCTTCCCGCGGGCGAGCATTGTACCCTGTCGCTCATGGAATGACGACCCACACCTCAGGTGCCGCGCAAGGCAGCACCTGAGCCACTTCACTACTCTGTGCGTTGTCGCCAAACGCGCAGCACTCTAGTCGCTAAACGCGCCCATCGCGCCGCACCCTTGTCGCCGAACGCGCGCATCGCGCAGCACTCATGAGGCCACACGCACGCATCGCGCTGCGCTCTTGTCCCCAAACGCGCCCATCGCACAGCTGAAATGGCGCAAATGGCTTTCGCGACGCTGTGCGCCCTCCAGGATAGTTCATCCCCGACGTGTTGTTGTTGTCTAACCAATATTTTGTACCTGCCACACCCAGCCCCCCTCCCGACCACACTACGGATGACAGTTAGCTGGCGACCGTCGCCCGCCGCTAAGTGGATCACGCAGGTGTCCCCTGAATCTCCATTTGGCCGTGTCACCACTGACCGAGCCCGCCCCAGGGAAAAACGCGCAGACTCCGCTAGCAGCGCTGTGCGGTCCCGCATGTCAACCCCCCCTAGAACGGCACCGCGCCCAGCAGCTGCCTGCATACGACCGCGAGAAATGTGCGCCAGACGTCGCACCGATTGCGTTTTTCGTTGCGGCCACTCCAGCCTTCCGCCCGCCCGCCTTGTCGCAGCCAATTTTGAGCAGTACCTCTTCGCCGTCCGTTTTTGCAGCCCCTTGCGACACCTTGATCCCACAGCCGCGAGCACAGCTCGCACGCCCCGTGGAGTACCCATCTGCCGAGATGCGGCATTCCCCTCTCCCCGGTCAGAGAGTCCCTCTCAACTAGTATTAGTAATAGTCGACGTCTCCTCCTTACTTGTGCCCCCTGCGTCGCCCCCCTCCCCACCCGCGTGTCACCACACACGCTCCTCAAGGCCTCCTGCTGCCCGCGCGGCGTCCCCTGAATCCAAGACAGCTTGATTTCGTGCTGCCGGGGTCGCCGTTGTCGAGACCTAGAGGACCAACTTGTGCGCCCGACGTTGTTCTGTGACTCCGACATCCCCGAACGCACCCCCCGAGGCGCGACATGCTCTGCCGCTTCGCCAGGCCAGCGGCGGCGACGGGTGGGGCGCGTCATTACGCTGACATCCTCCACCGCACTGCGCGACATGTCAAATGGCACTGTGCGGCACGCGGCTCTAGCAGGCGGCTCGCCGCGCCCTCGTCCCGCGCCCGGGTAGCTGGTGCGAGCGCGGATTGCTTCAGCGTCCGAGATCGGCACGACGGGGGGTAGAAACTACTCAGACCCCCCGGGGGGTCCCACAACGCGCGGCGCAGCGCGGCGCCTGCGCCCTGAAGGGCGCTGCGTGCGGCTTGTCGGTGTCGTATCCATGGTGGTCGCCGGGCTGGTTGTCTGTTGAATTTTCCGGCTATGGGACGTCGATGCGCCACTTGGTGCTGCGGCTCCGAACGCAGCAGGCGGAGAGCGGCCCGCGTGATCTGAGCAGAGCGTCGCAGGGCCTGCTGCGTGCTCGTCATCATGTCAAGCAGCTCCGACAGCGACTTGCTGGGCGAGCTGCTCGGCGCAGCGGTGGCGCGGCCTGCAAAGCCCCCAGAGGCACCAAAGCGCCCGCCCCCGCGCCCACCGCCGCCGCCGCCCGGTGAACCGAGTAGCCACGGCATGTTTGTACCGGATCCTGTCGTTTCACATACGGACTCGATGGCCATTCCATCCAGCGAACTGCCGGCAGGTACGGACGTCCATTGTGCAAGGAATCCTGCCCAGCGCACGCGTTTTCCGCCGGCCTCGCGCACGTTCGTGCCGTCATCTGCGCGATAGGGATGTGGGGGCTGTCGGCGACGCGTGGACCGCTACCACGAGAGGCTGTGTGGGCGCTGCGGCCAGCAAGTAACCGCCACATTGCACACGTCGCCGCCGCACGCACCACGTGGGGCGCTTTCGACCTCCGAATGCGCGATCATGGGATCAACATGCATATATCAATCGTTTGAGCGCCGTACATCAGGGCGCACGCACCGACACGGCCGTTTTGCACGTCTGCCACCCAGCAACACAAATCGGTTGGTCCGTGTCGGCGCCACGCCCGTGCGCACGCCCGAGGCCCCGGAACCTCCCTCGCTCAGACACTTGCGCGCCGCGGACGTCTACGCAGATCTGATCGACGTCAAGATCTCCATTGCATTGGACGACGGCGCTGCGACTGGCCCCGACCTGCGCGCCGTCGCCAGCTCGCGGAGCCGATACGTGCCCGACGACGACATCGACCTCGCGAACCCCTTCGCGACCGCCCCGGACGGCAGCAGCCCGCTCTCCGGCGACGACAAGCTCGCCATGCTGCAAGCCGCCCTCATGCCCGGCGTGCTCGAGGCTGCCCCGCACGACGAAACCAACCTCATGGAGAAGCGCCTCGCGCTCGCGGCCTGGGCCGCGCGCATGCTCGGCGTCCCGCGGGACGCGGCGCCGGGAGCGCTGGCGTCGGCACTGCGCGCCAACGCCGCGATGCCGCGCGCCATCGGAGACTACCTGGACGCGCTCGAACGGCAGGGAGCGGGCAGCGCCGCGCGGGTGCTCGGCCCGGGCGACTTCGTGGGCGGCGCGGACGCGCACGCGCGGTGGAGGGCGGGCGAGCTGGAGGCATGCGGGGACATGCTGCTGTACGTCCAGCAGCAGCCGCCGTGGCGGGCGTTCGTGTCGGTGCTCGTGAACAGCGCCCAGGGCCTGCCCGCGCCACCCACGGCGCGCGCGGGGCTGTTTGCGTGCTGCGCCGCGCCCCCGTCGGTGGCCCCGAGCACGTTTGCTGCCGTGTTCGCGGGCCCCGACGACGTGCCCGGCGTGACGTCGCCCGGACCGAAGCAGCCGCGGGGGGGCGCGCCGGACGCTGCGGGCGCTCTGTGGTGGGCCGGTGCGGGCGCAGAGGGCGTCCACCGCACCGCGGTGATCGAGGAGTCGCGGGACCCCGTGTGGCAGCAAGTCACTGCCATGCTCCAGTGCGACAAGGCGGGCGGAGACGGCGCGTCGATCCACGTGCAGGTCCTGCACGCCGAAGGCGACACTTCGGCGCCGAAGCTCCCCGCCCCGCCAGCGACCAAGAAGAAGAAGCCGGGCGACGCAGACAGCGACGCGGAGATGGCCGTGCTGACCAACGGAGCGCGCAAAACGACCCCGGCGCGGTCCCCGCCGGCCGGTGCCACCCTGCTGGGCTACGCGACGGTCCCGGTGTCCGGTCTGACGCGCGCCGGCCTCGCGACGCTGCCCCTGGACCTGACACTGCTGCGCCCCGCCGGCGCCCCCGGCGGGTTCGGGCGCGGGGCGGGCGCCGCGGACGGCAGCGCGCCGCCGGAAGTCCGCATCGAGACGCAGTGCGCGATCGAGGAGTGGGGGGAGTCCTTCGCGGACACCGACGGCGGCGACGGCCCCCGCCCCGGTGCCGACGCCCTCACGCGCGACAGGGGCGCGCTCACCGACGCCGTCGTCAACGCCGCGTGGGCCGCGTGGGAGGCCAGTCTCCCGCGGCCCGAGACCGTCAAGGCGCCCGCGCGTCCGGCGCGCCCGGGCCCGATGGCGCGGTTCACGTTTGCGTGCGTCGGCGGGGACCTCGAGCCGCTCGTGGTCGCGATGCAGAGCGCGTCGCCGCACGCGCCGACGGGGTCCGCGCTCGCCTTGCTCGTCAAGTGCGTGGCGACGTTCCGCCTGCGGCCCCCGGCGGTGCTCGCGGCGTGCGCGGGGCAGATGCTGCGGCGGTGGCAGGTGGAGCCGGGGTACCTCGAGGCGCTCGGACACCTCGTCGCGCCGCTCGCCGGCTCGCTCAAGTGAGTGCCGACGATGCGCTGCGGCCGCTGCAGGACGGCGCCCTGCGTTTGTTCGCGCTGTGTTGATTTTTGTGTGCCGTGTGTGGACTGCGGCGCAGGTCGGGGGCGCTGACGACGGGCGAGGCCGCGCAGTGCGAGGCGCTGCTGGCGTCTCTCGCACATCGCGTCGTGTGCGTCCTGGACGACTTCTACCGGGTCCTGAAGCCACGGGACATCCCCAGGGGAGTCCCCATCCTGGTCGGACTCTCCGCCATCGCGCTGCTCGGCTCGGCCGACCCAGGCCCGCTCTCGGAGCCCCTCCGCGTCCACATCACCCGCGCCGCGCGCAACCAGGCAGCCGCGTGGCTCCGCGGCCCCGTGCCCCGCGGTCGAGACGGCGTCAAGCTCCTCACCGAAGTCATCGAACGAGCCTACCAGGAGATCGCAACCGACGGACTGCTCGCGCAGTCGCTCCCGGACGCCACGTTCGTGCTCGCGGTGGCCTCGCGGGCGCGCTACGCCGTCCTGCGCGCCGCGCTGGAGTCGGTGTTCACTTCGCCGGACCTGGCGTACGACCAGCACGTGACGCAGCTCGAGGACGTGCTGGCGGAGCTGAACGAGGCGCTGATCGCGGCGGGGGTGGCGCGCGACCCGGGCCCGAACCCGTTCGCGGCGGCGGCGGACCCCGGCGGCGCGCCGGAGCCGTTGGAGGTGGTGGATGTGGAGCGGCTGACGGAGCGGGCGCTGAGCACGTTTGTGCGGCAGAGCGGGCTGCGGCTGACGGAGTGGATGCGCAAGGTGCTGCAGCGGGACGATTGGACGGCGGCGAACGGGGCGCCGAAGGGCCGCGACGGCGTGGGCGGGCAGGGGGTCTCGGTGTCGACAGTGGACGTGCTGCGGATGCTGCAGAGCACGGTGGACATGGTGACGCGGCGGATGGCCAAGGGGAGCGACGAGCGGAAGCAGACCGTCGGGCTGATGGTCGAGGAGGCCACGATGGACGTCGTGCAGAAGTACGTGGCTGTTCTGGAGGCGCGTTGCATCGAGGAGATGGACGTGCGGCGCCTGGCGCCCGGGGCGGCGGCGAAGGCGGCGCGGCTGGCGAACGAGACGGCGTACGAGAGCCTGTCGCAGGGGGCGGGGGCCGCGGGGCGGGGCAAGCCGCGCGCGAGGGGCGGCGGGAAGCGGGTCATTCGCAGACGAGGTTCCAGCACCTCGGGGCTGCTCGGAGCCATGCTGGCGGCGGAGCCGGAGTCGGTCGGGGGCCTCGTGTGGGCGACGCCGACGCTGTGCACGAAGATCAACAACTTGCGTCAAATGGAGTTGGAACAGTACCACATGCAGCAGCAGATCGCTACGGCGGCGCGCGGGCGGCACGAGCGCGACGACGGCGGGTTCGTGGACGACGACGGGTTCTTGGACGACGACGAGGAGCCCGAGAAGGAGGGGGGGGGGCGCGATGCGGCGCGGGGCGGGCCGCGTGTGGGGCAGTATGGCGAAGAGGTGGGGCGGGCGGTGCGGCGGTCGATGCTGGCGGTGGTGGGGCACCTGGCGACGCGGCTGCAGTCGATGACGGCGTTCTTCGTGCAGCAGGCGCTGACGGAGGCGTGCGAGGCCGCGGAGGCGGCCGCGGAGGGAGAGGACGGCGCTGTGGTTGGGGGGCGCGTGCAGTCGCGGACGCAGTCGCGCGCCGGCGCGAAGACGCCGCTGGCGCAGAAGTGGAAGACGGCCTTCGGGATCGGCGCGTCGAAGGACGCTCCGGGGCTCTTCGGGAAGCGCGGAAAGGCGGGGAGTGTCCCGGAGTCGGGGGGGGACTTGTCGGACCTGGCGTCCATGTCCGGGAGCAACGCGGACGCGGACGGCGCGCCCAAGGTCGGGATCGACGGTCTGCGCGCGTACCTCGACCGCGAGCTCCTCGCCATGTTCGAGCACATGTCTAAATCCGTCTTCCGCATCTCGGCGCTCTCCTGCTGGAGCGCCCTCGTCGCGACGCTCGAGGACGCCGCCCTGTCGCCGCGCTGGGCGACGCTCGGCCCGGGCATCGCGGTGCCCCTCGCCGACGCCCTCGAGGCCGCGCGCGGGTTCTTTTACGGGGAAGGCATGGGGATCCCAGACAAACACCTCGACAGGAGCTCCGCGCGGCTGCTCGCGCTGCTGGAGCTGCACGACGTCCCGACCGCGACGCTGCGGGACGTCTACTTCGCGCTGCGCGGGGAGTTTGCGGGCCTGAGCGCGTCGGCGTCCGAGAGGCGGCGCGGCGTTGGCGTCGGCGACGGCGCACGGTCGACGTCGCGCCGGGCGGGGGCGTCGGGGGCGGAGCTCGTCAAGCCCGACACGATCGTCGAGCGGGAGCTGCTGGAGCGGATGGGCGTCGAGGACGCGTCCCCGAGCGGCGCGGCGGCGGCGAGCGCGAATCCGTTTGGCGCGGAGGGGGAGGCGGCGCTGGGGGGCGGCGCGAACCCGTTCGGGGAGGATCCGATCGCCGCGGTGGCGGACAACGGGCGGAGCGCGAAGGAGGTGGCGCGGGAGGTGGCCGGGAAGCTGAAGGCCGCGGGGGTGGGTCTGTTGGATGTGCTGCGAGTGGCCAAGTGCAGGGCGGGGGACGACGGGGCGCAGGACCTGGTGGAGTCCGAGGAACGGTGCGTGGCGCGTGCACGCGTCGATGCTGGAGCGTTGCGGTGCCGTGCAGGACGAGACATGAATTCCTCGATTCGTTCCCCGCGGTGCAGATATGCGCAGCAGTTCGCAGTCCACTTCATCTTCGGAGAGGCGATGGCCGGCGACAGCCTGGCGCACGGCTTCCCCTGCCGGTCGCGCACGGGCCTGCGAGGCGTCCTCTACATCTGCACGCGCCACATCGGATTCTCCACGCTCGGCCAGGGCCCCTCCACCGCGCACGACCCCTACAGCACCCTGCTGCTCCCCATGCGCGACATCCGCACCCTCGAGATGTGCATCCTCGAGGACTCCGAGGGCCTGGCGCTCACGATGGCCACGGGCGAGCAGCACGCCTTCCGCGGCTTCGGCGGCCTGCGGGACGCGTGCGTGGCGGCGGTGCGGCGCGTCGTCGCGGGGACCGGCGCGCCGCTGGACGCGTTCCTCTCGCTGTCGCTCGTGGAGCCCCCCGCGGGGAGTGTTGCGGGCCGGGACAGCGTGCTGAGGATCCTCAAGTGCGGCAAGGTGACCAAGGATCGGATTCGGTTCAAAGAGGGGTATTTATACGTGTGCTGCGAGCACCTGGTGTTCGACTCGGCGGTGTGCAGCCGCAAGGTCTTTGCGTACGCGGACGTCGCGCGCGTGACCGCCGAGCACAGCACGCTGCACTCCGGCCCCGTCGTGACGCTGCACGTCCCCTCGTACCCCAAGCAGAGGCTCCTGCTGGCAGGGCTGTCGGAGAACGACGCCGGGAGCCTCCTGGAGCTCGTCGCAGGGCTGCGCGACGTCGCGGGCGGCGTGGCGGGGCGCGTGGTGTCCCCCGCGGCGGGCAGGTAGGCCGCCGGGGCGCGATCTAGCAGCGCGAGCGGCGCGACCGCGTGGTACACGGCGGAACGGGAGTGTCGCCGGGGTGTCGCCCACAGCGTCGCGATGTGAGTTGAAGTTGTCGACGGGTGGTGGTGAGTGCGAGGCCGCGAGGGTGCCGACGGACGGGCAGCGGCCCTCGCGCGCGGGCGGTCGTGCCCGGGCTGCCGCTCTGACGCGTCGCCACATACCCCCTGACTCCCTCGGGGGAGCACGTCAGACATCCCCGGGTGCCGCGAGGAGCCGCTGGACGCGCCGTCGGCGCGCAGGAGCACCGGCGCCGGCACTCCGTCAAGCACGCGCGCCTTTACCAGCATCCGCGATCCCGTCAGTGCCTCACCTCGCGGACCTTGCAGAGAGAGGGGCGGAGCGAACGCTGCTGCGCGCGGGTGTTCCGGCAGCGCGCCGTGGTCGAGCCGCCTGAGGTGGATGAGGTGGTGGGAGTGAGTGGCTGTGCGTAGTTGCTGACGAAGGAGGGCCCCCGGCAGAGCTGGCCCAGGACGCGGGCTGGGACATGCTCGGAATATAAGCGCGGGGCCGTCGCAGTGTGGGCGCGGTGCGGGCCGGCGGCGTCGCCCCGAGATCTGACGCGGCGGAGGATCCCGCGGGCGCGAAGCGCAGGGCGTGGCGTGTCCGCCGCTGCACGGGAGCTGCTCAAATATGCGGGCAGCACCAGCGTACCACCAGCAGATGACGGAGGACAGCGCGCATGGAATCGTGCAGCAGATACCTATGCCCGATGAGAGACCTGCGTACGACGAAGCGGACCCTCCGCTCTTCAAGCGCCTCAAGGAGCGCATGGTTCTCAGCGAACTGGTCAGGTGGGCTTGTCTGAAGAATGTGCTCTCCGTGCGGGTGCTGCGGGCCACTCTCGATGTTCGCGCTCAAAGCCCGACACCGTCCATCGTCTCTCCGGCGAAACATCGTGTGGAGATCGCAATCCGAGCGTCGGCCTCGACGCGTGCGGCCCCGCTCTGGTCCGCGCAACCTCGCCCCGTTTCCCGGCCGCTGGTGCGCGCGTGCAGGATTTCCATCGCCCGCACCGAGGACCTTGCGCTCGTGGACAGGCTCTCGGAGCAGCCGCAGGACAGCAGCGCCCCCCCGCAGCCCTCCGCCGGCCCCGCTCTGGCCCCCGCAGCACGGAAGCGCGCTCTCACGGAATGCAAGTACCGCGAGGAGCACCGCGTCGCCCGCGAAGCGCGGCTGCTCGAGGAGATCGCCATCATGGAGCTCGACTCCTTCGCAGACAAGGCAAGACCCAGCCCCGCTCAGGCAACACTGCACCACAAACATCAGCGTCCGCCCCCGCGACGAGCCCGCAATGCCGCACGCGCCGCCCTGCAGGAGACCAAGGCCCTCGCGGAGGACCTCATGTCCGAAATCGACAACATGGCGCCCGTCCGCCGCGGGTACTCGCTCGCGCGATCACCCGGGCGCCGCTCCCCCGTCAACGCGGGCGGGGCCGAAGCGGCGCGCGTCTCGACCGTGGCGTCCCTCGGCAGCTCGCCGTCCAAGCGGGCCAGCGCCGTCGCCTCGCCGCAGCGGCAGCCCGCGCGCCCCGTCAGCGCGCGCCCGACCCCGGCGCCGTCCGCCGCGCCGACACAGGCCACGCTGGTCGGCAAGCCGCGGTCGTCTCGCGGGCCGCGGGTGCTCGGCGGGCCCGCGGCGGCCCCGAGCAGGGGCGCGACGCCCAGCAGCCCGTACCTCGCGAAGCCCGCGCCGCGCGCGGCGCCGCAGAACCCCCCCCGGGGGATGTCCGCGAAAAGGGCCCCTGCGCGCGAGGACCGCCCGCGCCCGGCGTCCGCGGTCTCGAAGTTCTCGAGGCAGAGCACGGTCGCGTCGTCCGCGGGCCGCGAGCGGCGGTCCTCGCTCTCGCGCGGCGGCCGCGAGCGGCGCACCTCGATCACGCAAGCGGGGCCGCGCGGGCCGACGATACCGCACGCGCTGATCCCGGCGAAGCCCGCGCCGGGCGCCCGCGCGACCGCCGCGTCCACGGCGGCGCCGGGGACCGTCCTCGAGAGCATCCTGCACGTCGGCGCGCGGCTGCGCCAGAACCTGTCGACGCTGCGGGACGACGACGGAACGGACCTGGCGCGCGAGGCGGTGTCCTCGCACGTCGGGAACGCGCAGGATCTCTTCCGCGAGGCGCTGGCGGGCGCGTTTGCGCGCGTCGACGGCGGCGGCGGCGACGCGGAGCCCCCGCAGAGCCCGGACAGGCGGCGGGTGCGACAGATGGCGCAGTGGCACCTCGGGGCGACGCGGGGCGACGAGTTCCGCGCGGAGGAGCTGCGCATCGGGCACTTCGCGCGCGTGATTCAGCGCCACGCGCGCGTGTGGCTCCGCGGCCAGCGGCGGAAGCGCGCGGAGGAGGCGCTGTTGCAGCGGCACCGGGAAAACGCGGCCCGGTGCATACAGCGCGCGTGGCGGGCGCACCAGTCGCGCCAGATACGGCACGCGCTGCGGATCCAGCACCTGGCGAAGTCGATCGCCGCGCGGCGGATCCAGAAGGCCGTGCGGCGCATGCTGCGCCGCCTGCACATGGGCCGCCTCGCTGCCGAGCCCACGCGCGCGGAGCGCATCGAGGTCGAGAACCACTGGCTCTGGATGAAGGAGGTCGCCGTGTTCGCCGCGCGCTGGAACCAGCTCGAGCCCGTGCGCAGCCGCGCCGCGCTGCGCGTGCAGTCCTTCTGGCGTGGCGAGACCGCGCGCCGCGTGGCGTCGAGGCGCGCGCACGCCGTACACGTCATACAGCGCTGGGCGCGCGGATGGCTCGTGCGGCGCTGGGGCCCGCTCCCCGTCCCGATGCCCGCCGTGCACAAGGCCCTGCAGAGGCGACATGCAGGCTTCGGCGCCGCCGCGCCCGGTCCGAGCCTGGGCCGGCGGTCGTCGATCCCGATCCGGAAGTCGCTCGCCATGGGGCTCGCGAGCGCGGGGCCGTCGATCGCGAACCTGCGGCCGGTGCTTCCGGGCGACGCCACCACGGAGGACACCTTGAGTGGCACACGGGCTAGCATGAGGGTGAGCGAGTCGGAGCAGGGGACCGTCGGTCCGCAGGCGGGGCCTGGGCAGCGCACGGCCGCGCCGCAGGGGGTGCTCCGCGCGCGGCGGCGGCGCGCGTCGTACGCGGCGGGCATGGAGCGGGCGCGCCACCTGCGCCTGGGGCGGCTACTGCCGGACCCCGTGGCGGAGTACAAGGACGCGTTCCGGCTGCGGCGGCGCAAGGAGATCACGCGGCGGTACGAGGCGACGCGCGCGGAGCTCGCGCGGTCGTGGGCGACCCAGGTGGAGCTGTCGGAGGGTTACCTGGCGCACGAGAAGGAGGTGGAGCGGGCGCGGGCGTACGCGGACCGGCAGGCGACGCTGCTGCAGCGGCAGTGGGCGGAGTACTACGAGGTCGTGGCGCGCGAGGCGCTGGAGGGTCCGCTCCCGCGCGGGTGGATTCCGCAGGTGGACCCGAAGACGGGGGGGTGTTGTATGTCAACGTCCGGGAGGGGGAGATGCGGCCGTCGCACCCGAACCTGATCCCGCTGCTGCCGAAGCTGCAGGAGCAGTACCAGCGGGCGCTCATGGCGCTGCAGGCGCGCATCACGGAGCTCGAGGTGAGCGTGGCGCTGGCGGAGGAACAGGTGCAGCGGCGGTGTCTGGCGCTGAGCGTGTTGATGGAGAAGCAGCGCGTGGGGGTGCGGCCGCCGATGGTCGACTTGCCGGAGAGCGTGAGGGAGGCTGCGCGGCGGTTCAGGGAGGAGCAGCAGCAGGGCGCCGCAGGCGGCAGTTGAGCGGTGACGTGGCGATGTGGTCGGTCGTTGTTCTGTCGTCGGTGTGAAGCTCACGGCGCCGGAGACGAAAGTGCTGCGCTGGGGTGGACAGGTTCGGTGAGACTAGCACATTGCCAGCGACCAATTCAAACTTTGCGCCTGGCTCGCAGCGACGTGGAATCGCATCTTGACTTCGCGCCTACAGGAGAGCGTGCATTGGTCCTCCTCAAGGCACGCAGCATGCTTCACGCCCCCGATCGTCAGCAACACCCGTGTCACAGCGCGGGGGGCTCCAGGGAGACGAGGCCGGTGCGGAACTCCCCGGCGTCGGTCACGCGCCACACGAGCGTCACGTCCTGCGCCGCCGCGTCCTCGAGCGCGCAGCACAGCACCGCCACCAGCCGCGCCACGTCCACGTTCCCCCGCTTCCCCACAAACGCCCCCAGCGCCGCCATCTCCGCCTCGGACGCCTGCACGCCCAGTGCCTCCTCGAACAGCGCCCGCGCCTGCTCCACGCTCACCACCGCGGACTCCTCATCGAACTGCACCACCGACAGCAGCCCCGCCACCAGCCGCACCCAGTCCCGGTACACCACGCAGCTCAGTCGCACCACCGCCGCCAGCGGGTCCGACGCGTCGCGGTCGTCCTCCGCCGCCAGCCCCTCCGCCGCCCCCGCCGTCCCCACGGGCGCCGCCACCTCCGGCCGCAGCCCCCACAGCGACGTCCCCAGCGCCGCCTTCTCCACCTCGACCTCCGCCTTGAGGGGCGAGATGGCCCGCAGGACCGCGACGTAGTCCACCTGCACGTGCTCGTGCTTGACCTTGGCCGCGAGGCCCGGGAGGTTCGGCGCCGCGAAGGTCGCCATCAGCGCGTCGATCTCGCGCGCCCCGAGCGCGCCGCACGGCCCGTGGTCCGACACCATGCGCACGCCGTAGACGAGCCCGTCGCGCGCGAGCGAGCGGCGCGGCGGCGCGGCGTGCTTCTCCAGCGCGACGAACGCGCGCGTGAGCGCCGCGCGCCGCCGGTCCATGACGCCCACGAGCCGCTTCACCAGGGGCATGTCGGCCACAGGATGCAGGTCGGGGGGGGCCGCGGCGCCGGCGGGGGCGCGCGCGGGGCCGCCGCGGGCCTCGTGCTTCCAGTCGACGTGGCACCGGAGCTCGCAGAGGTCCTCGAGGAGCGGCGTGCGCGCCAGGTCGCGTCGGCGGGCCTCGGTCGCGCGGTCGCGCCACCAGGTCGCCTCCTCGCGGGACCACGTGAGGATTTCGTCGAGGTCGTCGTCCGGGAGCATGAGCGAGGCGATGAGCGCGGCCCAGTGCACCTCCGTGGACGTCGCGCCGCGGTGTGCCTTGGCGGACACCCCCCCCGACACGGGCTGGCCAAAGCGGCCGGCGACCTGCAGAACCTCGGTGGCCGAGAGCGGGAGGCCGGCCTCGACGAGCGCGAGCCGCAGCGCCGCGAGCCCGCAGTGGCCCGTGCCGGCGCGGTCCACCCAGCTGAGCGACGCGCACGGCCCCAGGGGGGGCAACGCTGGGTCGGTCATGGCCACGTCGACGCCCCCCGCGCCCGAGACAGACACCTCGACCTGGACGCTCGGGACCTCCGCGAAGGCCACCTTCGAGAGCCGCACGTACGCGGCCGTCACCTGGTCCTGCAGGAAGCGCGCGTGCTCACTGAGGCGCGCCATGAGGAGATCGTCGTCGAATGCCGCGCGGTTGTCGGCCGCGCGGGCGCGGAGGCGCTCGAAGAGGGCGTCGCGGGCCTTGACGTAGCGCTTGTCGGACCAGGGGCGCTTCGCGGTGCGCGTGAGCGCCCCGGATTTGAGCTTCTCGGTGAAGGCAATGTCCCGCGCGGCCTGCTCGAGGTGCCGCACGTAGTGGTCGACGCCGAAGTGGTAGAGCCGCTCGAAGTCCTGCGGGCGGGCGCGCGGGCGGGGGCTGTTCTCGCGGCGCCGCGCGGCGCGAGGGGCGGTTGCGTGCACGCGGTTGGCGGGATCATCATCACGGCGTGGGCGCTCGCCTGGAACGAGAGGCGGCCGTCGCGGTTGAGGTACTTCGAGGAGTCGAATTTCCGGATGAGCTGGCGGGCCTTCTGGAGCGAGCAGGTCGCCCCGACGCCCTCGACTCCAGCGCGGGCGTGCCGGGCATCGAGGTACACGGGGGGCACCCGCGAGCGGCCCAGGGCGTACGCGAACGCCTTGGGGTCCTTGTCGAGGAGCAGGGCGAGGTTCGCGGAGTCCGTGATGTCTGCAGACGCAGCGGGGGGCACGCGAGCGCCGCTGAGGCCACACACGGCACATGTCGCGAGCCATCGGGGCGGAACGACCGTCGCTGCAGGCACCCACGGGGCGAGACAACGCACGCGCGTCCATCCCGGTGTCTCGAGCGAGCGCGCCGGGGCGCTGCATCGCCCCGAGAGGCCGCGGAACAGGCGCGGGCGCGCTGCTCGTGCAGGCCATGTTGCGCCGCACAGGGCCGGGCGCGCGCCCCCGCGGGCGCGCGGCGGAGGCGGCGTCGCGCGCGTGCTCGTTCCCGGCGGATCGCGTCGGCGCGGGGCGGCCCCGGGCGGAGGTCCCGGCGGCGCGCGCGCGGCCGCGCACCTGCGTCGCCCTTGGAAATTTGCACGACGCGCGCGGCGTCGCGCATCCCGCGGGCGTAGGACCTGAATATCTCCTTGCTGACGGTGGTCTCGTTGAGGTTCAGCGACGGCAGCAGGTCCTTGAGCTCGTCCAGCCGGTTGCTGATGGTGCGCCCGAGGAAGTGCAGAAACGCGTCCTTCGCGTCCTCGAAGTTCCCGCGCAGCCGCTCCGCCACGTCCTCGGACCACTCCAGGACCTCCTCCTGCGCGGGGCGCTGCTCGGCGCCCATGGCCGCGCCGGCCCGCCCGGCCCGGTCTCCGCGCGGCGCAAACGTGCTGCAGCAGCCGCGCTCCCGCTGCGTGCTGCGCGCGCGACGCAAGTCGGCCGTCTGGCGATGTGGGGGCGCCGTTCGGGCGGTTCTGGCCGCGGACGGGGTCGCGGCCGGCCCGTGTCGCGCCGCATTGTCGGATCTTTGCAGGTATGAGGGGGGTCCTGAGTGTCGGTTGCCCGGGCGCCGTCATGGGCGCGTGCCGCGGCGCGCCGACCGCACCTCCGCGTTGCAGTGAATCGGAACTTTGCAATCATGCAGGCCATCGCCCAGGTCACGTCTTTCCGCTCGTCCGTGCGGGCCCCGGCTCCCCGCCAGGCTCGGCTCGTCGTCCGCGCCGAGGGCGAGGCCCCGGCGGAGAAGCCCGCGCCGAAGCCGCAAGTCGGCCCCCCGCGTGGCTCCTCGGTGCGCACCTCGCCCGAACAGCGCCACACGCGAGCCGTCTCGAACTTCCATCAATGACCCCGTCCCGCCCGCGCGTGCGGGCGCCCGCTGAGCGCGCCCCGGCCCGCCGCTCCCCGCGAATGCAGGTGAAGGTCCTGCGCCCGGAGTCGTACTGGTTCAACCAGGTCGGCAAGGTTGTCTCGGTGGACCAGAGCGGCATCCGCTACCCGGTCGTGGTGCGTCCCCGGCCCCCAGCGGCCAAATTGACGCCACTGCGCATTCATCTTCCCGCGCTGACGCGCCCGAAGGCCACCCCTGCCTCCCAGCGGGCCGCTCGCGGGGCCACGGCGGTCTCGAATCTGCCGTGCGATTTCGCAACGTCCTCGCGGGGGCGCGATGCGGCCTCGATCGCGCAGCCAACTCATTCTACCATCGCCTCGTTTTCGACCCACACCGCGGCGACGCGTTCGCGACCGTCTTCCGCCGCGGGCCCTCCCTCGCACCGATCTGCCTGCACCCCCATTGGAAGATGGCCCCGCGGGCCGCCGACGCGCCCCCGCGCCCCTACGACCCGCCACTCGCGGCTCCTCGCGCGCACACACGCCCCGGCGCGCCCCCGGCGCCGTATCTGTACCCGTCGCGCTGCCGACCCGCCCCAAGCCCGCTGCACAATCACTGCCAGCTGCGGCCCGGGCGGCGAGCTCAGGGCCGGAGCCGGGCCGCACGGTCGCGCCGCGCGCGCACTGCGTCGCTAGCATCCGCCGGGGCGGCCGCGCTGCGCCGCGGAAGCCCGTTCGACGGGATCGCAGCCGCCTGAGTGCCCGGCTTGTGCTCTCCGCGCTGTGCAGGTGCGTTTCGAGAACTGCAACTACGCGGGCGTGACGACGAACAACTACGGCCTGGACGAGGTCAAGGAGGTTTAAATTGACGGCTAGCAACCGCTGCTCGCTGTGAGAGCACCCGCACAGCATCCCGCGGCATCCGCTCGAGGCCGGCCGGCTGCGGCGCCCACCAGGCCCTCCCGGCCGCCCACAACACCGCAGCTCGCCCAATCACTGCATCGCGGCCTCGCATCCGCGGGCGTGCGCGAGCCCGGGCACCCCGCGACGCCCAGACCGGGCCAGTGACGCGGCGCGCACGCAACCGCCGCGCCCGCGCCCGCGCGCAGCGCACCGCGCCGCCACCTCGCCCCAGCTGCCGATCAGACGACAGCGGCACCGCCCCTGGCGCGCACCCGCCACATCGCATCTCTGATGCACTGTGGCTGCGTCGTCGCTGCACGCGCGAGAGTCACGCCACTGCCGTTGCGGCCGGCGCTTCGGACCCGCATTTGCGTGTTCCGCATCCTCGCACGATCAAGGCCTCTGCGTACGGGCACACAACTCCGGCGAACGGCCCCTGGACTATGTTGCGCATGCCTCGCCTCGTCGCAACCAACCAAACCCGCCCCTGCCGCACAGAAGTGAGCCGGGGACTCCCCGCATGCGCCCCTCACATCCGCGCACGCACAGCCGTTCACCGTCGCCGCGGGCGCGCGCCTCGCCCAGCATCACCGCGACACGTTCCAGGCACCACAGGGCCCCCGCGCCACCTACACGGGCGTGCCGCGGACCTTGGCGAGCAGCGCGTCGAAGTGCTCGAACGGGTTCCTCGGCGACCCGTCCGTCCTGTAGATCCCGACTCCCCCCACCGTCACCGACTCCCCCGCCCCGAGCGCGAGCACGCCCAGCGCGTCCGCGGCCGCCGCGCGCTCCGCCGAGCACCGCCCCGCGGCCGCCTCCTGCCGCGCCAGCCACGCCGCCGCCGCCGCGTTCACCGCGTCCGGCACCTCGTGATGCGGACAGTGCCCCGCGGGGGACAGCTCCAGGTAGTCGGCGGGCGGAACGGAACCGTCCCGCGCGTCCAGCACGCGCTTCGCGCGCTGGCCCCACAGCGGCACTACCCTGCGCACGGAGCGGAGAGATGGCCGCTGCAGCAACAATGGACCATGAAGCACTGCCACACGGGCCGGACATGAAGCGCGATGGATGGATGCTCCAGGGTGCTGTTGCATGTGCGTTCGTCGCGCTTCACCACCGCCGACGGCGCAGCGTCCAATGCTTGTGATAGTTGCGCAGGCAATGGGAGGACCTCCCAAGAGTGTGGCTGTTGTGCAGGGCGTTGCGGGGCGCACCAGGGGTCGTCGCGGCCGTACAGCAGCAGGACGGGGCAGCGCAGCGCGGCGACCATCTCGTGGAAGGGGCGGCGCGTCTTGGGCGCAAACGCGATGCTCGCAAACGCGTCCACGGCGCCAGGCCGCTCCGTCGGCGCCACGATGCCCTGCAGGCGCCGTGGAGACAGAGGCGGTGAGGCGTGCGGGGCGCTGCAGGACCGTCGCCGTCGCAGCGCAGGCGGGGAGGCGCCTCACGTCGATCATCACGGGGCACGACGCGGCGTCCTGGTCGGCGTACACGAGGCTCAGCATCGACCGAATCGTCTCGGGCCGCTTCAGGTTGTTCCACCAGAACCGCTCGATGAGCCCCCGGATCCACCGCGGCGCCGGCACCGCGCCGTCCCACACCTTGCCGAGCAGCCACTTGAGCCCTGCGCGCACGGGGGACCTCGCGCGAAACACTCAGGGTCAGGGGGCGGAGCGCCGGAGAGCAGGCGGGCGACGGCCCGGCAGTGTCGGGCGGGGCACGCCGCGGGCGGGGCGGCCCACCTCGGCTGCGCTGCTCCTCACGCGGGAGGAAGGACCAGAACGGCGTCGCGTTGAGCAGGAGGAGGCCCCGGCACAGCTCCGGGTGCTCGTACGCCAGCTGCACCGCCAGGAACCCGCCGAGGCTGTTCCCGCCGATGTACGCGGGCCCGCCGATGACGTCGCGGCAAAAGTCGGCGAGCATCTGGGTCCACGTGTCGGTCGAGTACACGAGCGGGGGCGCGTCCTCGCGCGCGGCCTCCTCGGAGCCCGGCGCGGCGGCCGGCCAGGAGCGCCCCTGGCCCAGGATGTCGAGCGCGAACACGCGGTAACCCTCCGCGGCGAGCTGGTCGATGTTGCGGCTGAAGTGGAAGGCACCTGCGTCGGGGCGTGGCCGGGGAGGTGGCGTGACGCTGCCGTTCGCCGTGTGCGGTGCCGTGCACGAAGGCGCGGTCGAAACGGAGCCGTGAAGACATGGTGGACGCACGCGCCACTTTTCGAGGGTAGGGCGTTGTGAGCCGCGGAATCGCGTGGAAGCGGTGCGGCTAGATGGGGAATGCGCGCAGAGGTTCCGTGTGTGTCGCGAACGTGGCGGGGCGCGGCTACGCACCGACGCCGAAGCCGGGGACGAGCAGCAGGGGGGTGCCGTCCACGGGGCCCTTGACGACGTGGTGGATGGTCGACCCGAACCTCCACGGCCAGTACTCGCCCTCCTCGTCGACCGTAATGCTGTCGACGGCGCCTTGGCCCGCGCTCCGGCGCCCGCCGACCGCTGCTTGCGCCACCGGGAGGTGCTGCCGCAGCCGGTCAGGCGGCCCGGAGCGGAGCGAGACGCCTGCGGAGTAGGTTAGGAAAGGATGGACTCAGGACGGGGGGGCGCGCGATGGAGCGATGCGCGCGGCGGGGAGGGAGGATTTCGCGCCCAGAGAAGCTGCGCTCCAGGGCGGATCTGCGGGCGCGCGGTGCCTTCGGGAACCGTTCGGCGACCCGTGCAGGTGCGCTGGATTGGTCTCGTCTTGTTGCGTCTCGCACCTGAGCGGACGTCCGGACGGATCGCGGAGCAGGCGGCCCGCGCTGCTGGCGCCCGCAGCGCACCGTGCGGCTGCACACAAGGGGCCCTGTGCGCCATTCCGTGGCTCATTCTCGCTTGCGCCGCTGGGTCCGTGGGAGTCCTGGAGGCGGGGCAATGCGAGGCTCGCCCTGAGCCAGCGGAAGTGTGAATTGGACGGACACCAGTGATGGATCTTGCAGCGTGATTCCCGGTGCCTTCCGTCCGCGCAGTCACGACGTCAGACGTCGACGGCGTGCGACACTCCGCAACGGCGCCGGCGAAGCGGACTCTTGAGGTTCGCAGGCTCGCCCGCGCGCCGCGCGCGGCGCGTTTGAGTCGAGTCGAACTGTGCTGATGTGGCACGCCCGACACAGCCCCACCGCGGCCACAAGGCGGCTCAATACCACTCCGCGGCGGAGCACGCACGTACTGACGTGGGACGCGATCTGTGGCCGGGCACGACTCTGACAGTTCGGCAGCTGGCCGCTTGAGAGTGCGTGAGAGCGAGCAGCAGCCGTCGCACCAGCGAGAGGGCGAACGTCGACTCCTGGTTACCTGACGAAGTACCGGAATCTCAATTAGTGGAGTCCGCGCACGATGAGGCGCTGGAGCTGGCTGTGGGGCGCGCTGCTGGTGGTGGTGATGCTGGCGGGCGCGAGTGCGCAGAGCGCCGGCGAGGAGGGGCCGCTGAAGAAGCTGATCATCACTAGCATATCGAGGGAGGGTCTATACCACGACATCTTCGTCACGTCTCTCATAAACACCATGGAGTACTTCAACACCGACAAGAAGGTGCCGGGGTGGCGCGCTACATATGCCTTCATCAATGACATCACAGGCGAGCGATCCACCGCCACTTCGGGCGTCTTCCGCGCATGTTCCTTGCACGAGGAGAGCAGGCGATGACCATTCGCGGCCTGTCTCGCGCTCCGCGATCGCGGCGAGCCGCGTTTACTGTGCCGTTTCAGTCGGTGTCGATTTTCGCGCCAACCGGTGACGCACTGGCGCCCACGTCCGCGCACGATCAGACTCACATTCAGAAAGGAGGCCGTGCACGTGAGACAGCGGCTTGCTTCCATGCACGACGTCCCCACGGCAGCAACGAACGAACGACGCGGCGCGCACCGCGCGGCGCCGGCCGGCACGCCCGACCGGACCGACGGCGCCGAGCCCTGCTCCCGGTGCCTCCCCGCAGACATCGCGCGCGCCCGGAACTACGCGCTGAAGATCTTGATGGACAACAAGGAGGCCGCGGCGCTGCTGATGATCGACCACGACCACCAGTGGTCGCCCGAGCACGTCCACCGCTTCGTCACGAGCGGGTGCGGCTGCAGCGCTGCCGCCGCCGAGCACGTGCCGCGCGTCCCCCACAGTGCCCGCAGTGTCCCCGCACCATGCGCGCGTGTGTGCGAGCGGAGGGGGCTCCGCGTGCCGTCGTCGCAGGAAGGACGTCGTCGGCGCGGCGTACCCGGCGAAGAAGATCAAGTGGGAGCGCGTGCTGACGTTGGTGCGGCGCGGGTACAGCGACCAGATGGCCCTGCTGGCGGCGCACGACTACGAGGTGCAGCTGATTCAGGGGAACGACACGGACGCAGGTGCGTGAGCGTGTGTGCGTGCGTGTGTGCGTGTGTGCGTGTGTGGGCGGCGCGGACAGGGCGCTTTCGAGGGCGGGGGTGCGGCGTCAGTCGAGGACGACCGAGTGGTGTTGAGCACGAGGTCTTGGTTGTTTCGCGTCCGGCGCAGGTCCGATCGGCCCGAAGAACTCGCCGTACGAGGACCACAAGTTCCCGCGCGACAAGCAGGGCTTCGTGAAGGTGCGCCGCATCGGCACGGGGTTCCTCCTCCTGACGCGGGCGGCAGTAGAAACCATGATCGCGGCGTACCCGGAGACGAAGCACCTGGACCACACGGGGCCCGAGGTGCACGCGCTCTTCGACTACGCGCTGCGGCGGATGCCCGGCGGCACCGTGGCGCGCATGACGGAGGACTATTTGTTCTGCGACCGATGGCGGGCGATCGGGGGGGTGGTGTGGGCTGACGCCACGAGGGGGGTCAACCACAAGGGGTACTACACGTACAAGGGCGAGAACTGGGTGTGGCCGGAGCTGGACTGGACGCCGCCCATGGACATGCCGTGACGGGCAGTGGTTGTGTGACGCGTGGAGATGCTTACCTGTTGATGGTCGGCCGGGGGTTGTCCGGCGACTGGCGTGCGTGTCGCGCACGGACTGCGGAGTGCGGCGCAGCCCTCCGCTCGTCGTTTCGTGGGCGTGGTCAGGGGGGAGGGGGGGTGTGCTCGCTGAAATTGTATGACAGAGTGGCGCTGCGGTGGGAACGTCGGGTCGGTGCCCGTCGCGCGCGGAGAACTGCGTGGCTCGCGTTCCGTCCAAGGCTGTGTCGATCATATCCGTGTTGCGTGATAGCACCAGCGATTCACTGGTGACGTGCAGGAGGGGCCGTGACTGGCGCGTCCCGTCCCGCTCCACGCGTGACGCCCCTCGGGCACGTCGCTCGGGATCTCTGCGTCTGTGGGGCGCGAGGGCGTCGTGACGTCTACGGGGAGCGGGCGGTGAGGGCGCAGTGCTGAGGTGAGGGGGTTCAGAGCACGAGAGGATGCCGGAGCTGGACGACTTCGACAACTCCGATGGCGTGAAGGTGGCAGACTTTGACGTAGAGGAGACGCTGGGGAAGGGAAAGCACTCGGAAGTGTTCCGTGCGCGCCACAAGAGCACAGGCAAGGGGCCCGGGGGTTGCTTGCACGACCCCGGCATGCACAGCGACATCCAGAGCTTTCCGACACCTTGCATCGCATTACCGTGTCAACAACATCCGAGCGGGCTGTGTGTGCCGCGTGCATGCGACGCGTTGAGCGCGTCTTGCGGTCTGGAAGTTGCACGGGCGATGAGCTGCGTGCAGCTGTCGCTCCGGTCGCGGCGCACTTTCACGCACTTTCACGTGAAGCTCTTGTGCGCGAGGCTCCGTTCACGCCGGTCACGCGGCGTGCCCACCGTTCGCAAGCCCGGGAACCCCCTGATCGTCCCCATAACAGCCTCCCCTGCCTCCGGTGCACTTCCCCGGCGCAGGCCAGACGGTGGCGTTGAAACGGATCCACATATTCGACATAATGGACTCAAAGCAGCGCGCGGACTGCCTGAACGAAGCCAAGCTGCTGCAGAGCCTGAATCACCCCAACATCGTCAGCGTGCTCCAGGCGTGGGTCGAGGAGAACGACGTGCTGATGGCGCTCGAGTGCTGCGAGCAGGGCGACCTCGCGAGCGTCCTCGAGGCGCACAAGACCAACGGCACCGCGCCGACGGAGCGCGAGATCTGGATGTGGTTCGCGCAGGTGGCCAACGCCGTGGCCTGCATGCACCGCCACCGCGTGATGCACCGCGACATCAAGCCCGGCAACATCTTCATCACCGGGAGCGGGAGCGTCAAGATCGGCGACCTCGGCCTCAGTCGCTACCTCTCGAGCCAGACGGTGCAAGTGCAGTCCATGGTGGGGACGCCCTGCTACATGAGCCCCGAGGTGATCCGGGGACTGCCCTACGAGTTCTCCTCGGACGTCTGGGTGAGCCCGGCGCGCCCCGCGGAGCCCGCGTTGAACACGTGCGGTTGGCACGCGCTGTGTCTGTCTGTTTTGGTTCGTGCACGACGTCAGCGGCCATCGCGTGCCCGCGCTGCCGTGCAGGGTCTCGGGTGCCTGCTGTACGAGATGGCGGCGCTGCGGAACCCCTTCGTCGGCCCCAAGCTGAACTACTACACCCTGGGCAAGAAGATCGCGTCGTGCCAATACGACCCCTTGCCTGAGTCAGCGCCGGAGTCGGTGCGCGAGATGGTCGGGCTGCTCCTCCGCGCGGACCCCGCGGAGCGTCCGAGCGTCGAACAGATCCTCGAACGCATCGAGTCCCTAACCAAGTGACCTCTTGATCAAGATGCCTGGCCACCCAGTACTGACAAGCCAACTCAGACAACGCGCGCCCCCCGAGCGCCCGTCGGGGGGAGGTGTGACCTCGTTGCGGGTCTCTCATCGCGTCTCACATGCGCAGGGCGGCCAGGCGCCCAAGCAAGCGGCCGGAGCACGAGCGCGCGCCGCCGCCCCAGGAGGTCCGGGGCGTCAGAGGTCGGTCTTCTTCTCGCCGCCGCCGAAAATCCGCGAGAACAGGCTCTTGCGATTCTTCGGCTTGGTCTGCTGCTTCCCCAGCGCCTCCATCACCTCTTCCTTGCCTGCACGATAGGTGACGAAAACAACGGTCGCCAGTTTGATCGGCGGAAGGAGCAAACATCGCATTGCAGCGTGCGCCGAGCTCCACAGATCAGCGGCCGATGTGCCGCAGCGACACGGCGTGCGTGTGCACACGCATGCGTTCGTATGAGTGCGTGCGCGTGGCAAACATGAAGTCTCAATGTCGACTCACTCGTGACGTCCTTGTAGAGCTCGTCCTTGAGCTTGAACGGGTCGCACGAGTTGTCCGGCTTGATCGCGCACACCGCCATCTTGAGCGCGAGCTGCGCCCCGTCCACCGCGTGCCACAGCCGCGCCTCCCGGATCGAGTCGAAGGGCGTCTTGTGCTCAATGTCCGGGACCGAGTCCTCCCAGCGCCTGCGGACCGACGAACGCGGGCAACGCGCACCGCGTGTCGACCTCCCCGCGAGCATGCACATGTTTCTATCCGTCTGTACTCATGCTGCAGCTATATATATGATGGGTGATAATTGTATGTGTCTGCGCACCTGAAGATCTCGTCGAGGACGAGGACCGACTTGTTGCGCGCCTCCTCGCCCTTGAGCCGCAGCCCGGCCTCGATGTACAGGAACGCCATCCCGTCGAGCGGGTGCTTGGTCGAGAAGTCGAGCTGCTGCACGGGCGACAGCGCCTGCGACTGCTGGACCTGGTTCTTCGACGCCCGCGCCTTGCTCGCCTGCCGCCGGATGTTGTCCACGAACTTCTTCTCCGTCTTCACCGTGCTGTTCACGCCCACCGCCGCCGCGGCCTCCAGCGTCATCGCCGGCGTGATCTCCGACGAGAAGCAGTCGTGCCGCCGCATCGACCGCTGCAGCAGCCGCGCGGAGATGCCCAGCCGCGCCTCGTCCGTGAGCCAGCCGTGCGTCGCCAGCGCGCGGCCGTTGCACGCCGGCCCGCCCGTGTGCACCGTCACGGGGTCGCCCGCGCTGGCGTTCACCATCGAGTTCAGCTCGACCGCCAGGCCCGAGGGGTGGTCGGGGGACATGTGCATCGACAGCATCGCGAGGTTGTTCACGCGGGGGAGGTCGTCCACCAGCGGCACCAGCATGCAACCAGCCTGCATGTGCCGCTGCGCCTCCGGGGAGCCCACACCCTGCACACACCGACACACCGCGCCGCCGGTCGCGTGCGCCGGCTCGGACCGCCGACGCTACGGCGCGGCGCGGCGCAGCCGCCACGACGGGTCCGGGAGCGCAGTACGTGCGCGGGGGGGGGCGTACCTCGAGGGACTGGTGCATGACGACGGCGTGCGCCCAGCGCAGGTCGTCCATGACCACGGCCTTCTTCTTCTTGCTCTTGAGCGCCTTGCGGAAGATGTGCCCCGCGGGCAGGTTCTTCGCCACCTGCCCCTTGAGCGTGTCGTACATCTCCTGGACGATCTTCTCCCGGCGCTCGACGATCGGGCCGGCGCTCGGGATCTTGCGCAGCCGCTCGAGGTCGCTCTCGGGCCACAGGAGCGGGTGGTCGGGGTCCGCGGGCAGCGTGTCGAGGTAGTCGGCCCAGAACGACTTGCCGTCCTTCCACACCTCGAGCGCGAGCGCCATCGTCGTGTCGCCGCACTCCTGGCGCCAGTACGTCCCGAGCTCCTGCGCATCGACGCCCGCGCGCGCACCGCGCCTCTCAGCGGCGCGTGGGACGAGGACGTGCAGGGGGGTGTGCAGACGGGGTGTGTGTGCGCGTCGGCCGCGGGCGCACCTTGGGCTTGAGGAGCTTCCTGACCTCGGGGTGCGTGGGGTAGATCGTGAGCACCTGGGGGATGCTCAGGTACGGCGCGCTGTTCATGTGCGTCTCGGTGTACCAGATGGTGGCGTTGGCCGTCGCCTTGATGTGCGCGACGCCGTTGCTCTCGACGACCTCCCACACGGCGCGCGGCGAGAACGTGGGCTTCGAGAACGCCCACTCCAGCACGCCCTTCTTCATGCGCAGCGAGAACCCCGGCTCCGCGGCCTTTTCCCGCAGGCGGGCGCGCACCGAGCCCGCCGGGGGGCCGCCGGCGTCCGCGACGACCTTGGCGTCCTCCGCGGCTTGCCGCGCGTTGCTCACGAAGCTCGCGGAGAAAATCCCGACCACGAAGATACCTGCGGCGGCGCGTGCGGTGCGTCGTCGCTGAGACGCGCTGGGGAAGCGGGCGAGCGCGCTGCCGTGGCCGTCGCCGCCCGAAACGGACCAAACCTGACGCCACAGGCAAGATACGAAGTGAGGGTAGGCGCAGGATGGCCTCGCTGCCCGCGGGGACCGGCCACGCCTCGCGCGGGCGGCTGCGCGCACATTGGCAGCATGCAGCACGGCGGGGCGGTCGCCGCGCAGCCGATGCGGCGACATACAGGAGCCAGGGCCCCCCAGCCGCACATCGACATGCACGGCAACGCCGCGGAGCGGCCATCGGTGGCGCGCGCGCCCCCCCGGCCACACACGCCCGCGCTGCCCTCGCCACGCGCTTGAGCGGGCGTGTGCCGCGGTCCCGCAGACCGCGCGCCGCGATGCGCGATCGGCGCTACCGGGCCGGGTATTCGTCGCGGAGCACGCGTGGCGGTCCCGCGGGGTCCGTGCGTCGCTGGCGGCGGCGCGGGCGCGGCCTACCTAGCACGGCGAGCGCGGCGAGCAGGAGCTGGGTCGCGCTCATGTTCTGCTTCCTGCCCTTGCCATCGCCCTTGTCCGCGGACGCGGAGGCCATCGCGACGCGCGCCTCCGCCGGCGCCGTGACCGTCAGCCGGGGCCGCTTTCCGCGCGCGTGGTGACGCGGCGCTCGCGGTGGGGCTGGGCGCGGATCTGAGCGTCGAGGGTGAGTGAATGTGCCGTTGCGGAGCGTCGCAGGGATCAGCCGCGGTAGACTATCCCGTGTGCGGCGCGCGGCGCGTGGAAGTGCCGCGCCCGGTGCATCGCGGCTTGCGTCAGCAGGGGTGGACCCTCCAGACGTTGCGCTCGTGCCGGTACGCCGCGAGGCTGCGTGCGCGCGCGGGACTGGCCCATTCCGCTACTTTCGCGACCTCTGTAGCGCAGACTCGCCCAGACCGCCGGCGCTCGACCCCGCACACCGCTACCCTCGGTCGCTGAGAGCGCCCACGCGACCTTGCCGGCTCAAGGCGACGCACCGCGACCCCCGGACTGTTCCTGACTGCTCCCTGACGGCCAGAGAATGCGAGCGGGAGCTCCGCGACCTGCAGCCATGCGCGCTGCGATGGCACGGGCGGGGGGAAGCAGCGCACGGCCAGGATGCTCAGCGCGCACCGCGGCGATAGTCCGGCCCCTCGGCCCCTCCTCGAGGTACGTCCCGCGTGTCGCCTCGACGGCCACTGCTCGAGCGGGCCTGCGGCGCGCCGCGGGCCCCGTGTAGCGCCCGGCGGGGCGGATCCACCCTCCTGCTCACCCGTGCCGTGGAGGTGCGCGCGGGGCCGCATTGGCGGATTTCTCATGGCGTTCGGGGTATGTCGATGCCACATTGGCCCCGCAGCGGCAGTACGGCGCCGTGGAAGGCCCGGATGCTGCGGGGCGATGCGGCACCCGCCCGTGGCCCCTTGCTCCGCCCCGGAAGTCAGACGCGTCCTCACCTCGCTCCGCCCGCTCGCCGCGAAGGACGATGCGTGCGTGATAGCGTGGCAGCGTCGCAATCGGTGTTTCGTCCTCCACGCGCGCCGAATTATCCCCTGGTTGTCTCTGTCGACGCGCGCACACCTCCGCTCCCCGCCGCGCCCGCGTGCTCACGAGCCCAGCGCGCTCCCGACTCCGCAGGACGCCGCGGGTCGCTGCGCGCGCGGCCCGCGAGTCGGCCGGGAACGGCACGAGCACCACGGCGCCCGGCGCGCAGCCCGACGGGCCGCTGGCGAGCAAGAACGACCCGACGGTGCCGACGGACGAGAGCGTGTACGTGTGCGACGACATCTGCTCGACGGCGACGTACGGGGAGGCGGAGATGACCGAGGAGGCCGCGGAGGCGCAGGCCAAGAGCGACCTGTTCAAGGCGATTGCTGTCGGGACGGGCCTCGGCGTGACGGCGGGCATCCTGGACCAGCCGTGGGTGGTGTCGCACGAGGCGCTGACGATGAGCATCGTCTTCGCGATCGGCTACGTGGGCATCATCCTGGAGGAGGAGGTGTCGTTCAACAAGAGCGGCGTGGCGCTGGTCATGGCCGTCGCGCTGTGGACGATCGCGGCGCTCGGGCTCCCGGACGGCGAGGTGCACGCGGCGCTGAGCGAGAAGCTGAGCGAGGTCGGCGAGATCGTCTTCTTCCTCATCGGCGCGATGACGATCGTGGAGACGGTGGACGCGCACCAGGGCTTCAAGGTGGTCACCGACGCGATCAAGACGCGCGACCGCCGCGCGCTGCTCTGGTCGATCGGCACCATCACCTTCTTCATGTCGGCCATCCTCGACAACCTCACCTCGACCATCGTCATGATCTCGCTGCTCCGGAAGCTCGTCCCCGACGCCGACGTGCGCAAGGTGTACGGCGCCGCGGTGGTGCTCGCCGCGAACGCCGGCGGCGCGTGGACGCCCATCGGGGACGTGACGACCACGATGCTGTGGATCAACGGGCAGATCACGACCGGGCCGACCATGCGCGACCTCGTGCTGCCCTCGCTGGCGTCCGCCGCGCTGCCGCTCGCGCTCATGTCGTTCTTCACCAAGGAGGTCCAGGGCACGCTCCCGGAGGACGCCGCCGCCGCGAGCCCGCAGCTGGCGCCGCGCGGGAAGCTCGTGCTCGCGTCGGGCATCGGCGCGCTGCTCTTTGTGCCCGTGTTCAAGAGCCTGACGGGACTCCCCCCCTACCTGGGGATGCTGGCGGGCCTCGGGGCGCTGTGGCTGCTCACGGACGCCATCCACTTCGGCGAGGAGGACCGCGAGAGCCTGCGCGTGTCGAACGCCCTGTCGCGGATCGACTCCCAGGGCGCGCTCTTCTTCCTGGGCATCCTGATGTCGATCGGGGCGCTCGACTCGATGGGCATCCTCAAGGACCTCGCGCGGTTCATGGACGCGCACATCCCGAGCCAGGAGATCATCGCCGCCGCGATCGGGCTCGCCAGCGCCGTCATCGACAACGTGCCGCTCGTCGCGGCCACGATGGGTGCGCGCCCGACGCGCCCTTCCTCGCTCGCACACACACGCCTCAGTCACACGCTGATGAGGCCATCGGCCGTCCGCGGAACTTTCTCACATGCGTTACACGTAATCACACCCCCCCAACTCCCCCCCCTCGCAGGGATGTACGACATCTCGCAGCACCCGGTGGACAGCGACCTGTGGCAGCTGATCGCGTACTGCGCGGGCACGGGCGGCTCGATCCTCGTCATCGGCTCTGCGGCGGGCGTGGCGTTCATGGGCCTCGAGAAGGTCGACTTTATGTGGTACGTGCGCAAGGTGTCCCCGTGGGCGCTGGCGGGGTACGTGGGCGGCATGGGCGTGTACCTCGCGCAGTCGGGCCTCCACATCCCGATCACGTCGGCCTTCCAGCAGATGCTGCCGCACCTCTCGTGACGCGCGCGGTGCGGCGGCGCTGGCAAGCGCACGTCAGTGGCTCTGCATGGCTCGTGAATCCGAGGGACTGTGACAGCGAGAACGCGAAGAAATTGCGGGGAGGCGCGGCCAGACGCTCAGCGCCGCCCCCCTCCCCGCCCGCACGCCCCCTCCCTGCCCCCCACCACTGCACGCGACGCCGCCAGCATCCCGCCCGCGCCCGCCCAGCCCCCGCGCTGCTCGCGCCCGGGACGCTTGCTGCCCAGCCACGCCGCCCGCGCACCCACGCACGCGTCACCGCCCGCACCACCGCCCCACGATGCGACCCCTACTCGCCAGAGGGTTGCCCACCTGGTACGCCCGCGACAGGAGCCAACGCCCCACGCACGCTATGTGTGTGCAGGGCGCGCCGCGCCTCGCTCCGCAACCACGCGGCGCGCCTCACGCAGCTCAGCTGAGCTGACGTCGGCATGCACAACACTACCCCCCCCCCAAGTATGAGCATGACAGCCCCTGCACGACGCACCCCGCCACGCGCCGCTCCCCCCTCGCGCCAGCTGTCCCTCGCCCGCGCACCGCCGCCGCCCCGCACGTCACCCGCACTACACCCCCCGCCCTCGCACAGGTCACATGCCGCTCGCGTGTCACACCGCCTTCGCGTGCTTCTTCGCCCGCTCCTCCACCACATCCTTCCACACCTCCACGTCCACGCCCAGCCTCTCCAGCATACCCTTGGTGCTCTTGCACCCCTCAAGCTTTGCCTTATTCGCCAAGTCGCCCGGTGTTCTCCGCATCAGCTCCGCCGCCGCCGCCCACACCGCTGCCTTCTTCTCGTCCATGTCCCCGCCCTCCCGCACCGCCCCCGCCTCCCACTCCTCCGCCAGGTCCACAATCACCAGCAGCACTGCAATGCTCTCCAGGCCACTCCCCATCACCGTCCCGATACTCCCCGCCCGCGCGCTGTCCAGCCAGTCCCCCCATCCCTCGCAGCGCTCGCACGCCCACACCAGCAGCCTCCACTTCGCCGCCAACGTCTCCGTCTTCATCAATATCAAATCGGGCCTGGACATGATCACGCCGGCCGCGCACGCACGCCCCACTCTCCCCTCCATCAGCCTGATCAGCTCATGAGCGTTTTCCTCCACCGTGTCCTCGGCAGACGTCAGCAGCCCCGGCGCGGCCCCGATCATCTTCGTTGCCACACCCTCCGCAGTCGCACCCGCCTCCGCCCAGTACGCCCCGCGCCTCGCCGTACCTCCCTGCTTGCGCCCCCGGCCCGCCCCTGCTCCCGCCGCCCCCGCGTCCCCTCCCGACACCCCCGCACCCTCACGCACCTCCCTCAGCAGCGTGCCTGCCAGCTTCTCCACCGCACGCCGCTTCTCCCACAGGTTGTCGGTCTTGAGATTCAGCACACTCGGGCACTTGTACACCACTTTCGCGACAGCTGCGTCGCCGTCCTTCCCCTCGCCGGCGTGCAGCACCTCCCGCAGCCCCTCCACCTGCACCCACCGCACACACAGCCGCACCGCGTCATGCGCCCCGCGCCCGCCGCGCCCGCCGACCCCACGCCCCGCCCGCACCTGCGCCCGACCTGTCTCCAGCAGCCAGCCACACATCACGCTGCCACACCAGCACACACCAGTCTCATGCTCACCTGCTCTCTCAAAGTGTCATTGCTCCTTAACAGCACGCTCGGCGCCTTCGTCACGACCCGCCTCCACTGCTCCTCCGCCATCGCTGGCACATACCCCCGCAGCGCCTCCATCGTCGTGCCCAGAGCCCCTGGCGTGGACGTGATGATCTTTGGTTCGTTTCGTAGCATCGCTCGGAAGACCTTCTCCGTCATCCATCCCAGCTCCCGCAGCAGCTCCTGCACGCATGTCCCCGCCGTGCAGCACCGCCGTCACACCCGCCTGCCAGCGCCACCCGCACAACGACCCTTTGCACACAGCTGCTGCGGGAGGACGTCGCCGCGTCGTGCTGGACGGTCGCGGCCCCCTCGCGACGCGCTGCCGTGCATGCCCAGCGTGTGCCGCACCTGCTTCCGCGCGTACACCTTCTCGCCGCTCCTCCAAGCTTGCATTTTCGTCCCAAACCGCTTCTGCACCCGCTTCATGCTCTTGCCCGCCTCCTCCCTCCAGAACCTCTCCGCCATTGCATCCCATCCTCGCTCGTCCTTCCCTTGTTTCTCCTCACCGTCGCCGCCCCCCGGGCCCTCCCCGGCACCGCCCCCCGCGCCGTCCCACGCCCCACCAACACCCACCGCCAACACCCGCCGCGCCGCCCCCACCGCCGCGCCCCGCCCCGCGCCCGCCTGCCCCGCCCCTCCACCGTACCGCCTCCCGCGCGCCCCGCACCGCCCCGCGCCCCGCCAGCCCCCTCCCGCCACCCCGGACCCCCTGGCCCCACCACTGCACGCGACGCCGCCAGCATCCCGCCCGCGCCCGCCCAGCCCCCGCGCTGCTCGCGCCCGGGGTGCTCGCTGCCCAGCCACGCCGCCCGCGCACCCACGCACGCGTCACCGCCAGCACCACCGCCCCACGATGCGACCCCTACTTGCCAGGGTTGCCCACCTGGTACGCCCGCGACCGCGACAAGGAGCCGACGCCCCACGCACGCTGCGTGTGTGGCAGGGCGCGCCGCGCCTCGCTCCGCAACCACGCGGCGCGCCTCACGCAGCTCAGCTGAGCTGACGTCAGCATGCACAATACACCCCCCAAGTATGAGCATGACAGCCCCTGCACGACGCACCCCGCCATGCGCCGCTCCCCCCTCGCGCCAGGTATACCTCGCCCGCGCACCGCCGCCGCCCCGCACGTCACCCGCACGACACCCCCCGCCCTTGCACATGTGGTGTACACCGCCTCGGCCACTCTGCACCTCGCACAGGTCACATGCCGCTCGCGTCTCACACCGCCTTCGCGTGCTTCTTCGCCCGCTCCTCCACCACATCCTTCCACACCTCCACGTCCACGCCCAGCCTCTCCAGCATACCCTTGGTGCTCTTGCACCCCTCAAGCTTTGCCTTATTCGCCAAGTCGCCCGGTGTTCTCCGCATCAGCTCCGCCGCCGCCGCCCACACCGCTGCCTTCTTCTCGTCCATGTCCTCGCCCTCTCGCACCGCCCCCGCCTCCCACTCCTCCGCCAGGTCCACAATCACCAGCAGCACAGAAATGCTCTCCGGGCTACTCTTCATCACCGTCCCGATGCTCCCCGCCCGCCTGCTGTCCAGCCAGTCCCCCCATCCCTCGTAGCGCTCGCACGCCCACACCAGCAGCCTCCACTTCGCCGCCAACGTCTCCGTGTTCCTCAATAGCAACCCAGGCTGCGACATGATCACGCCGGCCGCGCACGCGCGCCCCACCCTCCCCTCCATCAGCCTGATCAGCTCATGAGCGTTTTTCGACACCGTGTCCTCCGCAGACGTCAGCAGCCCCGGCGCGGCCCCGATCATCTTCGTTGCCACACCCTCCGCAGTCGCACCCGCCTCCGCCCAGTACGCCCCGCGCCTCGCCGTACCTCCCTGCTTGCGGCCCCCGCCCGCCCCTGCTCCCGCCCCCCCGGCGTCCCCTCCCGACACCCCCGCACCCTCACGCACCTCCTCCAGCAGCTCCCCTGCCAGCTTCTCCACCGCACGCCGCTTCTCCCACAGGTTGTCGGTCTTGAGAGTCAGCACAGTCGGGCGCCTGCGTATGGCTCTCGCGACGGCTGCGTCCCCCTCCTGCCCCTCGCCGGCGTGCAGCACCTCCCGCAGCCCCTCCACCTGCACCCACCGCACACACAGCCGCACTGCGTCATGCGCCCCGCGCCTGCCGCGCCCGCCGCCCGCATGCCCCGCCCGCACCCGCGCCCGCCCTGTCTCCAGCAGCCACACCAGTCTCATGCTCACCTTCTGTCTCATGTAGTCAGGGGCCTGGTGCAGCACGCTCGGCGCCTTCCTCACGACCCGCCTCCACTGCTCCTCCGTCATCGCCGGCACATACCCCCGCAGCGCCTCCATCGTCCTGTCCAGAGTCCCTGGTGTACTTGCAATTATATATGGTTCGTTTCGTAGCATCGCTCGGAAGACCTTCTCCGTCATCCATCCCAGCTCCCGCAGCAGCTCCTGCACGCATGTTCCAGCCGTCCAGCACCGCCGTCACGCATCCCCGCAAATGCCACCCGCACAACGACCCTTCGCACACAGCTGCTGCGGGAGGACGTCGCCGCGTCGTGATGGACGGTCGCGGCCCCCTCGCGACGCGCTGCCGTGCATGCCCAGCGTGTGACGCACCTGCTTCCGCGCGTACACCTTCTCCCCGTACCTCCAAGCTTGGTTTCTCGTCCCAACAAACCGATCCTGCACCCGCTTCATGCTCTTGCCCGCCTCCTCCCTCCAGAACCTCTCCGCCATCGCGTCCCATCCTCGATCACGCTTGCCTTCCTTCTCACCACCGTCGCCGCCCCCCGCACCCCCCCCCGCACCCCC